AACCAAAGTTGCTTGTCTCTTGTGAATGTTCCCAAATGTCTGCGCGCAACAAGTATTTGGCATTGAAGTACCACTTCTTCAGGTCCAATATCGGGGAGTCGAAGGGATCCTGGCCAAGTATATTCCGACTCTGGAACAACGGGCCGACATTTTCACTAAGGGTCTTCCGTCTCCACAGTTTGCTTTCATTCGGAAGCTCCTCATGGGATGGTAATTTACCTCAGCACTTTGCTGGGACTCTCTCTATCGTTTCTTGCTCCAGCTCATTTCAGCTGTAAGGGAGTGCGACGGGATACAGCTTACAATTCAGCTTACAGCTTTACAATTAGCAGGCTTATTCTAGAAAATAATCAATAACTGCTCACTTATTTGGAAATACAAACTTTACATCTCTTAGATCTAGACTAGTCAATGCACAATGGTATTGTCGCATCAACACTACCAAGGCCTTCCTCGAAAGGAAGAACTTGAGTATCCAGACAATTGGACTACTCGGAAGGAACCAACCTTAACTAAAAAGATAATAAACGCGATCCAGCTATCGCTCTTCCTACCAACAAGAAGAACTTCGTGGATTCATGGACCAATGAACTACCAAGGTCTGCTCCAAGACAGCAGACGGAGTAACCATCATTCTGAAACAGACGTGGGTTACCCAGTATCCATGACAATGGACAGAGAACGTGAGTCCCGCGCAGAGGTCGAGAAGACTCTCCGGGATGAACATGGACTTCGTCGCAAGTTCACGCGCGTCAATCGTGACAAGATTCACCACATCCGTTTCAAAGCAAACCGGAAATACATTAAGGAACGTCGCCAACGACTTATCCAGAAAAACACCAATAGGGAGAACACGACACGTGTCCCTCATCAACACCATGTCAACGATACTATGATGATTCATCAGTTATCAGAACCGTTAGTACGGTCAGCCAACGCACAAAGGTCCTTACCACACAAACCGAGTCAATAACAATGGCACTGTACGGCTCGACATGCTACCGCCAATAGCGGCACAGTCTACCAGACTTGGAACATAAGGTATTTACACCCATACAAGCGCCTGATCCCCTTGTAGGATTGCCATCGTGCGACGCACATGTCTACATCCAATCCGGAGAGTGCCCCGCACTTTAATCATATGTTCTCCTTGTCCGACTGATGTCGTGCCTCCCGTGACCCTTGTCAGGGGGCGAATGCAATACACGGCTCTTAGCCTTATTCGCGACTCGATCCTAGATAGGGTTTGAGTTCGACTCATGACTGAGTCTTTCGTGAATAGTCATTGAGACAGGGTCTCATGACCGCTAGTCATACTAGGTCGATGGTGAAACATCGCGCTAGATATTTAGCTGACGTGGAGAGATTCCACGCTACTAGATAAATGCTAGACGAATCTTCCACGCGTTCCGTTTTCGGATCGTGGAGTGAGTAGGATTGCTACCGCAACCTACTCTATCACACTCTACAGTCTCCCGCGGGAGTTCAGATCTACGATCCTTTGATTGTGGATCTCTCTCGTGATTAGTTTTCATAGCTTTCTAATCCTCTCATAACTTTCATTCTCTCAAACTCAAAACACTCGAAAGATCTTTACACTAGCTTTTAGCGTAGTGCACATGTTCGAACTCGCCATGTGCCACTTGCACCACGGAGGAATTCAGCGCAACGCTGACGACAAAATTTGCACCTTGAATACGCGAGAACAGATTGCCAAACGACGATTTGTCTATCGCAAGGTCAAGGATGTCTGCATGGAAGATGCAGCACCTGTAGAATTAGAACAACAACCAACAACAACTAAAGACGCCGAGACAATAGAAACAGTCTCGACCGTCGACGACGACAAGATGGCATCCGATGCCACAATCACATGCGAAGCAGAGGTGGTTCCCACATGTGAAGCAGTTGTGTTTCCCACATGCACAGCAGCGGTCCCATACGTTCAAAAGTGGCATGTGACACACTTCAAGATCAGTGTGCATGGACAACAACCATTTGTATTGGAGATGCGAATGATGAATGGCGTGCTTCTTGGAGTGGTACCCAACGACATTCTCGCAGCCTTGATGAAGGATGGTGGAGACCTTGTCAAGGAATTGATGCGGCGGCACAAGACACTACAATTGGAGGCAGACGTTGCCTCAGACGATACTGATTTCGAATTCGCTACTGGCCAAGTGGAAGCTGAAGAACCAATGGTCGAGGTCGAGGTCGAGGTCGAGCAACAACAACAAGTTGATGCTGAAGAACCACTGGTCAACAACCGGGTCGACAACCGGGTCGACAATCGAGTCGACGAGGAGGACAACAATGTGGACACAGCACAATCAACTTTGCGACGATCAAAGAGACGCATGGCGGCGATTGCATCTCAGAGAATCGCAGAACAAATCAAGACGAAGCCACGGCGGGTGGCAGTTGAACAACCTAGAATTAAACGTAGACGGGCGGCGGCCACCAAGAAAAAGGCGACAAAGCCAAAGGCGACAAAGCCAAAGGCGACAAAGCCAAAGGCGACAAAGCCAAAGGCGACAAATCCAAAGGCGAAGGGCAAGAAGAAGACGACACAACCTGTGACGGGCACACAGCAGCAAACAACAGTTCAGACAACAACTCTTTCTGGACGGCAAGTCAGAAAGCCTGACCGGTACATTCCAGTCTAGGACAACAGGTAAATAAGTGGGGATGTCAACGACGGATTGGGGATTACTAACACAATACAATACACAACGAGCAGGCATCTGGTGGGGTGCAGGGCTATACAACAATTTTTGCGGAGATGAATATAGTTGGTTCAATTGAAGGGTCACATCGAAGGTAGCCAGGTTTGTGGTTCCTGTGCTAGGCAGCCTCTAATGCAGAGTGCTTGTCCGAACGTCCTCCACGTGACGAAAGTCCAAAGTTAATACCCGTGACACCTGACAACCAACCTCTACCGGTATCATTGTTGATGCTTTGCTACAATCATAAATACAACCAAACATAAACATAGAACAATAACTCATAGTAGACAATCTTTTACAACAACAAAACCATGGCTTCATTCTTTATAGTAGTCGTAGTTTTAGCTAGCTAGATCTTGTAGTTTGTAATCATAGTGCACATACTGCTGCGAGTAGGGCACTTGTAAATGCAGCCGCTGAAGGAAACCAGCCCGAGTGTTGCATGCACGTATGCAGGTACTGTGCCGTAGTCGCGGGTGGAGCAACTACACGCTGCTGGATGCCAGATCTCTTCCAGTAAGAAGGGAGCAGTGGGATTTGCTCCCTGCAAAATTGGGACAGCTATTTGCCCTCGTTCGCACTTCAGTCAGACAGTGCATATCCTCCTGTAGCCAGGCGAACAAGCTGCCAGTTGCATCTAGCTAGCAGTTCGAGCTAGCTACGCAGGTGCAGTCCAGTTGCTGAAAGTGGAGAAACTAAATCTCCAAATCACAGCAACACAAAAACGCAACCTCTTCCGTTCTTTCGGTCAGCCAAACTCGCAACTATCACAAGACTTTGTAGTCCTATCCTTCCCGCACATTGGGCAATAATAAGCAATACCGTAGGGACAAATAGAAGCAACAATACAAGTCTGCCGTCTCTCTCCCAACAGAAGATACAGGTACTATGCAGAAGACCCCCTCCCTATCTCATCAGATTCACAGTTTCATCTTCTGTTTTCGTGTGGTCCACAATCGGTATGAAGTACAGCACTTGGACCACTTGCTCACTTCCTCCTCCCTGCCATCCTCGTGGCGACCCAACGATACAATAGTGCAAGAGTTTGATCTACCGTACCCAGCTATGCATAGCTACTGCCTGCCTGCCTGGCAGCCTACGATAGCTCGCCTACTCTACCGTGGCTATTAGAGGGACCCTCGTGGGAGACTGGAAATCTCGTCTCCCGGAGACGATTTGCTTTTAGGGGTAAGGGTACCGATGGGGAGTGGAGGTTTGAATTATACCCGGCGTGCATTACTTAGAGGCCTCTGTAGAAGTCTACGTATTCGACTAGTATTGTATTGACGGGATACAGTCAACGCATGTACATGCACATGAAAGTCGCCTTGCGTTCTTCACATTTTTCGCATGAATGAGGGTTCTTCACATTTTTCGCATGAATGAGGGATCGGGGCGAAGCAGAGAAAGGGATGAGCGCGCGGAGCGCGCGAATACAGTGTACTGTTTCAATAAAGCGAGTTAGGTGTTGGTAATAAAAGATTTATGGAAACGGAGACGAGCCAGGAGGCATATGAATCTCCTTCAGTGGACTTCGGTGAAATTGCCACTCTGCAGCCTTCTCTAAATGAAATGGGGGTCGATCTTGGATCTTGGACCCTGACGAGATACCAACGGCCAAGTAGTTGAGCTGACACATCAACTCCTTTGACCTTCATCTATGTGATGATTGCCAATAGTGACGCGAGATGACAGAGAGTGACTATCGGTTTAGTGAGGGAAACTTGGTCCTCTTCAAAAGGCGCAATGGTTGGTTTGAAGGGGAGGTCAAGAAAGTGGGAGGAAGTCATGGTGGAAGATCCATAGCATACGTGGTCAGTAGACCGGAAGCGAATGAAGAATTTCAAATTGTTGAGGATACGGACAATTTCATTCGACGGAAACCTAACAACTTAGCACCCGACTCTCTCTGCTTTCAACCACCCATTCCTGAAGATCCATTTGCATTTGCTTATACGGGAAAGACCAATAATCCATTCAGCGAGGACGGCTTCAACTTGGCGGAAGAATTCCAAAAACTAGACTCTGTGGCATCTGCACAGATCCAACCAGATGGAAGCATCAAAATCCAAAACAAGGATGGAAGCGTTCAATTAAGCTCCAGCTATAAATTTGAAGCACAAACGGTATGTGGAGTTCCAACCCACAATGCCATGTTTGCGGGGAGCTTGGTAATGAATCGCCGCATCATTGGTGGTATGGTCGGGATTCCAGATCTAATTGCCAATTTTCTTGACGCTGTCCCCACAGAAACCCGATTGGGAGCTCTGGTACAAGCCTCCAAAAAGTCAAATCGTAAAATGCTACAGCTGGCAGATGGATTGATGTTTGGCTTTCATGGATGGCCTCGAGATCCTGACCGAGCAGGGCGGTGCTATCGTGCGGCCGCTTTTGGATGCTCCGAAAGGGATGAAAAGACAAGATGCGCAGCCTTTGGTCCTGACAACGGAGTGCCTGTTGGGAGTCCAGAAGCCATGATTGCAACCCTCCAAGGCATGGAAAGCTGGATCAAAGTCTTCTTGTTTGAGGCTTCCCCTATGGACCGGGTGCCACACAAGAACATGCTGGTGGCTGCACATCATCACAAAGGTGGCATTGACCTTGTCAATCAAATGTTTTTTTGGCTTTACCATTCTGCGGTTCGTGGTTGGGTGACGCCTACAACCATAGGATACTCCATGGCCTGTCATGAAATTGACACTTCAGCTATCCAAGTCCATCTCCGAAAGGTTGGTGCCCCAGAAGACACCATGGAAGTTATCCGCAATGTCTGGAATTATCGTCAAATGGAGATGAACTATCAAAAGCGACTCGATAGGGGGGTTGTCCCAAGAGGAAATCCAACGGAAGCAACTATCGCCTCATTCAAGCCAAAGTCAATGGAGATATTCCAATCTTTGCCAAGCACTCTTGACCAAGTGTACATTGAGTTTCGAGAAGTCCCTCGTGTGCCTTTTCCAATCGCCGTCTATGCGTTGATCCCGGCCAAAAAGAAAGTTTTGAAAGTGCTCGTGATTCCTGAGCATCTACAACTGTCGCCCTTCTCAAGCGAGACTTTCGAGTACGTGTGGTTAAGGCTGGCATATGAGCTACATCTTGGTGATCCTGCGAGCAAACAGAGAGAAAGGCCCTCCGAGTGTTTCATGGTTCTTGACTCTTATGGAAACCGTCAGTTTGCCGAGTACCTACGACAAATGCTGGACGGGTCCGAAACGCAAGTCAGATTGGTAACACACGATGAAATGATTTCGGAGAATCTTTTACGTCGTCAAAGTCTGGGAGACTTGGTTGAAGCAGAGGAAGTCAAATTCTTGTCCTTGCCAAAATATTTGAACGGTGTTGAATCGGCAGAAGGCTCCGTTCTAATGGCGGCCCAGCAAGAGTCTGCGAGACGATATCGACGGGGACTGAGACTTGCCACCGCGAGTGATGACCATACCCAAGCTCAGTATCGGGAGGAAGCCAACCGGCTCATGGAGCAAGGAATTTCGAGATTTGGTGTGGGGGCTTATGGAGACGCCGTGAAATGCTACTCGACTGCAATATTCTTGCTACGGCAGACGCTGGATCTTGACCAGGATGGCAGACGTTTGCTTGGTATTCTGCTTGCAGGTCGCGCAACCAGCCTTTGGAAGATGCAGAGCAATACCATTGAGTTTGGCAGGCTTCTATTGACCAGCGCCGCCAGGGACTGTAGATTAGCTCTTGGTAGTCGTCAGATACGAGATGCTCTTCCTCGCGAAATCATCAAGAATCTCAAGTTTCTCTTGGACAGAGTGGACGCTCGACTGGAGAGGATGCGGGCCAACGAAGGTTCTCGCATTTGGGTGACCTGGAATGCAATCGAATCTTACTTCATTGGCTTCAGTTGGAGGACGCTCTCAAGTATATTGTGGCTCTTCTCGTGGATTCGTACTCAACTCGTGTTCTGGGTATGGGATGTGGCTTTGAGTATCGTCAAGAAGTGGGTTACTGCGGCTGTCTCTGAAGCCAACAAACGTGCTACGACGATTGCAAATGAAACTCCCGATACCGTACCTCATGTGGGGGGCAGTGAGACAACCGATCGCGAAAGTGCTACGATGTTAGTCAATGACACTGCCAATGCCGCCCCCCAAACCGAGGGCCTTGAGACAACACATGGAATAACCGTTCAGAGAAGAACCCGGGATCCAGATACGGCGTTGCAGCAGCAGTCACCGTCGTCGCAGCACAGACGCGACGTCGCCCTGCTGGAAACTGGGCGTGTGATACACGATAATTCGCTGGCAAAGAACTCTGATGACGGCTGTCCAGTTTGTCTGAAAACCTTCTCGGAAGAGTTAGAAGAAACCTTGGTTTGCGTTTTGGCTTGTGGAGATCACGCACTCTGTGTGGAGTGTGTCTGTTATGTGAAGAAAGGTTCAGATCGCACAAAGCAACAGATGAAATGCCCTCTTTGTCGGGCTGCTGTAGAACCTGATTTTGTCGAGGATCTATCCTACCAGATCATTGAAACGGATCAGAGCCTTGGCGCCCTAATGGAGAAGCTTCCCTTGGATGACGCCGATGATCGCGAAAACGTCCTTCAGCGGCTACTTTGGACCCACGAGTTCCGAGTGGATCGGGTTGTGGATAGTCTGGAGAAGATGCTCGACGATCAAGTGCGTGCTCAATTCTTCAGATGCGAGACTGATTTTACGCATGGCCAAAAGGAGGAAATCTACCAGACAGCCCGCCGTCCAGTGCTTATACTCCAAGAAAAGGTTCACCGGCTGGTTGAAGAGCACAGAACAACTTTTGACGCAGCCAAGTTGAAGGAGCTGAATGCGACAATCACCCAGGTTCGCAACCAATTGGCTTTTTCAAGAGTCGAGGCACGCGAGCAGATTTACACCCGAATGAACGAAGTTGGAAACATGGGCGCGGAAAGCTCCTTGGAGGGCGGAAGTAGCTTGATTCCCGTTGACTACCACGGAATGCACGTTGGTGAGATGCTCTCAAAGTTCCAAGAGCTAGTCAAGCCCATTCTTCCCGTAGTGAAGGAAGTGATGATCATTACCGGAAGGGGGCTACACAGCGCCAATAACGAAGGCAAACTGAAGAAGGCGCTCATTCGGCATATTGACAACAAAGAAGACGACATCCGATGGGAACGAGTCGAAGAAAACCCAGGCGCACTCAAAGTTTTGTGGCGGCCCAGATGATTCACTCGGGCTCGGAAGAAGAGTCGATTGCTTGACAATGCTAGCTAGAGGGAGATAGAAGTTTTACCATTGTACGCTAGAACAGCCTCATTGCGGTCAAGTTGTGATGCAACAAATCCAAGACGTTTCGCTGCAGAGGGTCCTCCTCATATAGTCCATCGCTCACAGCATCGTACGAGCGGACAATCTCGTCCTGAATGCGAGCCGTCGTCTTGCGGCTCAATCGTTGGGATCGATAGTTGGCTGCTTTCAAATAGTGAACCAGCCCTGCCTCCACTTCCGTTTTTACGGGACCTGGGGAGCAGTACTCTCTCTGAAAACGGTATACTCCGCGAAACTTGATTTGGTTGATTTCAGAAGTGGTGAAGTTCAGATTGGTAGGCTGATTGAGGAGGGTGGATAAGTGGCTCTTCAATGATGTCTTGTTGTGCAACCCAGTCGGTCGAACGCGATCGAAGGCATCTCGAACTACGTGCAACTCGAGGACGTGATCCAAATCCATCTGACTCGAGTCCATTTCATAATGGAGGAAACCGGTGTAGGCATCTTTGTGATTCCTGAGGTCCCAGACAGCCACGGCCTGGGTCCTGTGGAGATTTGGAATTCTAAAGTCGGCAGTGTCTGTGCGGCTTTCGAATCCGCGCTTTTGGCTGACGAACTTCTTCGTATGCTTTCGCGAGGCTGTGATGTTGCGGCGGTTTGATGGAGCTGTGCTCAGTGGGATTTTTTGCTTGTGCTTCTTGTAGTGAGTGAAGCTCTCCAGAACTTTCTTTGCAATCCATTGCATGCCGGTTGAACCACAAGAGGAAGAATAGTGTTGGTGCCAATGGCAGTACCTTGAACCAGTACCAGGGCGATTTCGACACGGTTGTTTCGTGGACTTGGCGATTGCCTCGCAACGAATCCTGGTGTCGTGCAACAATCGCTTCCTCCCTCTCTGTTGCTGGGCTCGAGCAACGAGCCATTGGGCAGCCTTCTTGATCCATCGCTGTGCCCAGTGTACTAAGGCTCTGGTGCTCACCGTTGATGTCATGATAGGAGCATCCTCTACTTTGTGGACGTTGTGGAGTTGATGCTATCGTCGTAAGTCGTGGGATGTTGGCGCTTTCACTACTGTAACGTGTCAGATTTTCATGAGAATCATGTGCAAACCACATAATCGAATGATTCTTCGATTCAATCAACGCACCAATCCCACCGAACACAGCGTGCTTCGTGACTTCCGGCCTATCGTACTGCTCATCGTAAGTTGACAATATGCATAGATGCAGGGCCAAGATTGCTACGGACAATCTACGGCATGGTGGGCGTTGGATCACTTCTTAGTAGTCTTCGATGCGCTTGATGAAGAACTACCGTGCCCGCCCACTAAGTTGCACTAGCCAGGTTACACCTACAGCAACCCCGTCAGAACAGGAGGTTCCAGGACGCTCTCGGGCCAGCACCTGTCGCTGACCACCAAGGTATTACTGTTGCCCTTTGAGCTCTCGTCCGAAGGCAAGGACTTAGAAGTGTTAGCGTGCAGCAGCCCATCATTCCATCTGCTATCTGGCTGCTGCCAAGCTGGTACTTGCTTCTTGCTTCTGGCTGGTAGCTTCCAAACATGGACCCTCCTGCTTGAAATGCTCCTTTCAAGTTGCACCCTGGCTTCCAGGCTTCCAGGCTTCAACTCTGCGACGAGCTGAAAGACGATGAATTTCATAGAATCCCAGTGTGAAGAGAATTGCGTGACTCCCAGCCACTGGATCATTCAGCTGGTACCTGTACCGTAGCAATAGTACCATCATCTTGCAAACCAGCATCACCGCAAGGCGCAAGCAAGGAACTAATAAGCTTTGAGACAAAGTCAACATGAGATAATTCGACCGAGGGCGCTGTGGGTAGGCAGATGCCTGTCCAATGTTACAAAAACTAGATGGCCAGCTAGCTGGCTAGCCAGCATACCGGTAGGTCCTTGCCCGCTGCACTACTACATGTCTACATGATGTAGTACTGCACCGTTTACGTCCGGTTAGCCCGAACCGGTACCGGTAGAGGGTTGTGCATCCGTCCCAATGTCCCAATGATGTGCTAGAATGAGCTGGCGATGCTGAGATGAGAAGCTGATGAGGCTCCTGTTCTTCTACTCGATCCCGCCGTAATTGTACCGCTTCAACCCCTTCTTCTGGAAAAGCTCGAATCGAATGTCCTGAAGACGCGGAGGTGTTCCAAAGGAAAAGAATAGATCCCAGCCAAAGTGTTCCAAAGGAAGACCAACATCTTGGGGAGGACTTTGTCCTAAATCTTGGAGGCTACTTTAGTACAAGGATTCAGGGGTTGTGTAGTTGCGTAATTAGAGTAATAATAGTACTGATAGCCATGAATCTGTGAACTGGAATTGTACTCTTTTATTATAGCAGATTTCAAGTCATCAGTGCTCCAAATTGTCATGTGCGTTTCAGATGTTTTAGCATGACATTGTTTCACTGGGAGGATGGTATTACCTAGTCTGCGCCTCTTCTTTTAAGGCATAAGGCAGAAAGGTCTTAGGAAGATGTTTCTCCTGTACCCGTACATGAGTGCTCCAACTATCGGTACCCTTATATCCGTTCTTCACGCGGTCAATGACGAAAGTGCATCGCCTTCATTCCAGATTCTTCCATGCTGTTGGAAATTGTAAAGGCTTTGGTATCCCAATCTGGCTAGGTATTGTAAAAGAGTAAATATTGAAGTTGTCTCTCTCTCGCCTCTACCGACCAATTGGTATTTAAATCGTGAAAGAGATATAAGGTGTCACCCAATGTTATATCTTTGGAGAGGTATCAAACCAAGCATTATGGACTATGAAAGCATTTTCATATATCTTCTACAGCATGAGTAACAGATGTAAACAGTCTAAAGGGAAACAAGTATAAATTTTATTCTTTTTTCGCGAAATTGACAATCAGGTACACTTCGTTCATGTCACAATTATGAAAAACGATGGAAGTTTGATTCGGAAAATCCGAATAATGAAACATCAGCAGCAGCAACAGCAGCATCAACAAACTGATGAGCTATAGACTCAACAACAAGAGATCCATTGACCACCCAAGCAGCACCTTTAGTTGGAGTACTCCAAGGGGCAACTAACGCTGGTGCTCCCATGGTCAAACTCCTTCTGGTTGCGATTTCTATGCATATGGCTCCTCACCTCTCAAAGCTCCTCTCAACTCTCACTTGATACAGCTCTTTATACTGACTTGATACCAATTGGTCGGTATAGCTGATGAGCTAGCTAATGTTCCTTGGAGTTCAGGAAGTTGGCTCTTTAATTCTGAAATCGTCTGAGCTAGCTTCTGAGCTTCTGTTCGATGTCTCTTACTCTCTAATGGATTTACTAAAGCTTGACTGAGTTGCTGAAAAGGATTACAGATTGCTGTTTCGATTCGTCGATGGCCATCCAAACTTGCTTGAAGATAAGAATCTGATGACAAAAGGAGACTCACAAAGCACTAGCATCGTGTAAGTGTCCTCTACTGTGAGAGATTCTGTACCAGCAAAAGAACCAGCAGCCAAAAGCGAACACTAAGACCATACTATTGAAAAGATTGTAGCTATATGTATTGCACTGAATGCACCCGCTACCATACCCCGCTATGCACCTTCCTTGGTTCACAATCTTCAATCTTCGGACCACCTTCACTCTCTCGAACTCTCGAACTCTCATCATCTCCTCCCACAATAATTCATTTCAATCAACGCACCTACACCACAATGAATCCAATGAGCGAGCACTTGAATGAAATGATGAGCCATCAGCCGTTGCCCTGGGCTGCTAACTTTGTGGTTACACTCGTCCAAGACAATGCCGCAGGGAGGAGCTCCTCCCAATTTGCAGAGCAGGAAGACGACACACTCCAAAGGCAACGACGATCATCGGGAAGCAAACCTCTCTGCCGCTGGACCAGCAGCTCTTGTGACAATGACTCGCTGTCCAAGTCACATGTAGCACGGACGTGCAGCCCACCCAGAAGACCACTGCGCCACCAAGAACCTTGTGCCCTGGAAGGACCTCCCATTCCGCTAGCTGACACGGTAGAGGACAGTCCGCATTGCGCAGCCAGGAACATCAGTGTCAGTGAATCAGTACCCACGGCAGAGTCGGAGGCCAAGATTGGTTACAATGCGGCAAGATTATCCCCTCCACCTGCAAAAGGGGCGGCTATTGTATTCTCAGCCACCATGGCATGACATTGAAGTTGGAGACAGAGACCACAAGTGTCTCTCTCCTTCTCTCCTTTCCAGTTTTGCTTGTATCTCTGTAACCTAAACAAACGCTACTTTCACACCTGCAATACGCTTAGAAAGCTTAGACTAGCAATAGATACTGAAATCTACCGTACAGAATGCACACATGCACACCAGGGTGATCAGATGGCTGCAAACCTCATACCAGGAGCAGGGAACAGCCATTAGCAGAAGACAGGCTGTCGGAGTTCCTCTTTGGAGATGGGGTGGCTTCCCAGCAGCCAAAGACGACCCCGGTGTCTGGTGGAGCCAAAAGCTAGCTGCTCCAAGTACACTCACTGCCTGGCTGCCTCCCTGGTACAACACTTGATCTTCGCATGCTTGCAGAGCACTTATCAACCACTGCTCGTGTGCTCTGTTTGGTATGAAGTCTTAGGGCTTTAGCAGATGCGGGCAGCCATCCAGTCATGGTATGCAAAATAGCAGATGCAGCACCAAAAGCCAGAAGCCTTGTTCGGCGTTGCCTTCGGATCAGGATCGTTCCCGCCAGCATCTTCAAAGCTTGAAGCCTTATCTGGTTTGCCTCGATGAAACTTTTCGTTGGCACCTGGTGCTTACGGTCCTCATCGCTCCTTTTGGAGCTGACCTGCAAAAGCCTTACCCGTTGGCTCTCGAGAACGAGACTATTGCTTGGGCTCAGGACGACACATCAATGAGAAAGAGCTTGTCAGGAACTCTTACGGTACAAGCATATGAAGCGCGGTGCTTCTTAGGTGCTTGGCGGCTCGTTCACGGCCTGATAGGATAGGCTACAAATGGTATGCCTTCGGTCCCAGGGGTTGACACCCGACCCTGGGCCATGACTGATGAATCAATCTTCGATCGAATCTTCAATCGAATCATTCGGCTGATTCGAATAGATACATTCTTGCAACACGTCATTGTTGCATCCAAAAACCAAAGCAAAAATTTGCTTGTATGGCGACCATGGCTGAGTATCATCATAGCCACATCGTCGCCACTTGACCGCAACCACAAACCAAGAAGAACAACACGGAAGTGACTATACGTATCATGAGATCTCTTCAGCTCTTTTGTGTCGCCTTCTGGGTGGCCAGCACTACTGCCTTTACCACCACACCACAGTCCCAATTTCACATTGCGTCGTCGGCTCTGTCCATGGCCAAGTTGCCCACCTATGACAAAAAGATAGAACGTTGGAGTCCTGCCAGTGAGGAGGAAAGTGCTGCCAATGCCTACGATGCCATTGGCACGCTGCTTCGTCAAGGTCCCAAGGCCTACTTTACGCGCGTGTCCGATGCCGATCTATACGACCAAGCTTGTCTGAAATTCATGGCCCAGGAAAAATGCAGTTATCAAATGGCCCAGGGAAATCTGGACCGCATGAATGAGAATATGCAAGATTGGATGTTTGAGCGTATGGAAGCTGAAAAGAAAGGACGGAAGATTGACTATGTCAAGCTGGACATGAAAGATGTGACCTTGACCGTTGTGTGGGGCGGCTTTATTACTCTGGTGCTGGGCAGGGTTCTGTTTTTGTATTTTACTGGAGGCTACGACATTTGAAGGAGCTTTCAATCACTCGTAGCTGGAAAACCCGACATTAGTTGAGAGAAAGCTATGCGGCTAACAAAAAGTGCAGATCCTACACACAATGATGATGATCTACAGAATAGCCGTATACTGATTTTGAATTGATGCTGCCGAGTGAGATCAACACCAGGCAAGTTGTGGGTACTTAGTTAGGTCACCAACGTTATCCGAGGAATTCAATCGCACGGATAAGCTATTGTTTCCTGCCACCAAGATCAATGTACCAGTATTGTAGGACTTGAAAGGATAAAGACCAATGAAGGTAATGAAGGCATTAACAAGTAAGCATGTCTTGCGTGAATTCTGGCAACACATCAGGGAACGAGGCTTGGAATGTTAAGCGTCGTTCTGCAGCTCTTCAAGCATTTGCCTCGACCGTGCTCCGTAATCTTTGTCAACAGTTAGACTTCGCAGCATCACAGTGACCTTTGGGATGTTCTTTGCAGTTGGCTTGTTGCCATCTGTCCAGTCTTCCTCTGTGAAACCGAGCCAAGGGAACCACCTGCAGACCTTTTCGTGGAACACGGAGCATAAACAATCGGGATAGCAAGCACGTAGTATACACGCACATCTTGATTGGTCAATGGACACACTGTCAGGGCACCTGCGAGAACGGTATAAGCGTATAGGAGTTCCCAATCAATGTGGGAGAAGGATAGGAAGAAGAGATAGAAACGAACGTAAATGAAGGTATTCACAGACCCCCTTGATATCGAAAAAGCAGCGTGAGGGTTGCCGAGGAGCAAATCGATTGTTAGGATTCGAAGCACATGTTTCAGCCGACCTACTCACCACAAGAGGAAGAAGTTCCTTATAGATTCTGTTTCGAGAAGACATAAAACAAGCGTGAGCATGACGGATGCAGCGTGAGATGCAAATCATGTCTGGGGCTGTGAGCAAAACAATGGTGTTGTGGAGGTTCATCAGTCCAGCTCCAAAGTAAAGGGGCACTGTGAGTGACGAGTCGTTTCTCGCCCATGACGTGAGGCATCAGGGGGAAGACTGAGTATGCCTGCACGATCCCAGTTACACCAAACAAGTAGTAGATGATCTGCCATGCCGTGCTTTGGTCTTCTTGAAGTGTTATTGTCCTTGCTTCACTGTAGAAGTGGATGACTGTACCACCCCAGATGCAGATCATGCCACTGATGATATGGACAATCATGAAGTGCATGTAGCCATTGAAGCGGGAAGAAGGATACCCGCCATTGACCTTTCTCTGCAGCGCGATCAGGAAGACGTACATCAATCCAAGATGCCAGTCACAGTGCGGAACTTGTGCATCCAGTCAAATTCGAAGCCTGCAGCACCCCAATAGTGAAGGTAGGTATCAAAGATATCATAGATCGTGTCTTCTAGGTTTGTATTGCCTTGAGGCTGGCTTTCCAGGCGCAATACTTCACGGAGCTCTTGCTGGTCAAAGTTCTCCAAGAAGTCTTTTGGGGAAGCGTCAACATCATAATGGCCCAAGCTGGAAATTCCAGTGAGATGGTCGGCATCATCAACATCAAAAGATTCAATCGAAACGCAAGAGTGGACATCGCTCGGATCGACGTGGCTGCCATAAAGCTCATTGAAGCCAACACCGATGTAGGGAATCAGTGGGTTGACCTTGAATGTGACCGACATGGTGCCCAACACACGCATAAAGTATCCGTAGTAAGGAGAATCCACTTTGTCCCCACTATCAGCATATGGTGCGATAACTCTCAAGATAGACATCTGTGCGAGTCCTAATAAGCTTCACAGGAGTGTCGGGAATGTGGGTCTGGGAATATATATGAGTTCCATTGATGGTCAATGTGGTCGTCACCCCGAAGTCGGATTTCGAAGCTTGCCACCCCACACGATCAGGGTCACTGCCTGGGGAATCAAGGCCGTAGCACTTGGTGGACTGGATCCTCCCAGCCTCAGGCACACCCTTAGCAAGTCTCCCCTTATTCTCCGAAAGAAAGGCATGACAAAACTGGACAAGGGGACGATCAATATCAGCTCCCAGGGGGACGAGGCTGGCTGTCGAATAGATGGCAACATACAAGTCACGGCCTTCATCACCCCCGGTAGCTAGCTATGTAGCGTGTGACATAGCTTACAGTACCGGTACACGTGTAGTCTACGTACAGTTGCATACAGACAACGTTCGAACACGTTCTTACCAGCATAATCCTGTATTGCAGTATTGCAGGATTAAAAAAACTTGGAGTGAAGGCATTAAGAAGTGAGCTTTTCGTTAATTCCACAGAATATCAGGTAATGAGGTTTGGAATCAGAATCTGGAACCCGAAAACGCAATGACGCACGGCCTCAATCATCAGAGGTCGAAGATACCGATGAACCAAAATTCCTTGAAGGACGTGGGAGGTTGATGGGCGATGGATGATGCGCATTGGCAGATGTCGACGGATAGACATTTATTGTTGGAAGAAGAACTGCTTTGGTAGGAGAGAAGAGAAAGAGTGGTACTGATTATCTGTGAAGAAGAAGAAGAAGAAGAAGAACCATGATGCTTGCAAGTAGAGCTTGTGCCAAGGCAGTTTCACGCCAGAACTGTGTGCGTGCCTTTTCCACGGCCGACAAGGGTTGGATTCCCAATGTTTCGTTGGATACCGATATTGTCCATGGCGGGATTGTTCCCTGCGAAAAGACGGGTGCCATCTTGACCCCCGTATACCTGTCCACGACATTTGTGCAGGAAAGTGTGGATAAATACTTGGACAAGGGATTCTCGTATTCCAGAACCAACAATCCCACGGTATCTGTGCTAGAGCAAAAAGTGGCCCACATTGAGAATGGCCACGGATCCATCTGTGTCGGTAAGTTTATCACTATCATCATTATGTTTACCATGAATTTTGGGGTATGGCTATACCTATGATATCCTTGTTTTCTAACCCTCCTAACCATTATTTATACCCACATCTATCTTATTGACTGTTTTTTTTTTGAAGGCACTGGCATGTCAGCAACGGCTGCCTGTATCAATGCCTTTATGAAAACGGGGGACCATTGTGTCATTACCAACTGCAGTTATGGTGGAACCAATCGCATTTGTCGTGAACAATTTCAACCTTTTGGGATGGAATTTTCGTTTGTCGATTTTACCGATCCGGCCAATGTGGAAGCGGCCATCCAGCCCAATACCACACTCATCTTTAGCGAATCACCCACCAACCCCACCATTACCCTGGCGGATCTAGATGCCATTTCCGAAATTGCCAAAAGGCGCGGAATCTTGCACGTCTGTGACTCCACATTTGCCACTCCCTACGTCATGCGACCCCTGGATCACGGCGTCGATCTCACCATTCAGTCGTTGACCAAGTACTACGATGGACACAACATGGGCGTCGGGGGAGCTCTTATTGCCAAAACACCCGAACTCTACGAACGCATCAAGTTGGTACAAAACATGCACGGATCCATCATGTCACCTATGACTGCCTACATGATGTTGCAGTCCATGAAAACCATGGGATTACGCATCAGACAACAATCCAGTTCCGCCATGAAAATTTGCACCTTTCTGGAATCGCACCCCAAGGTGGAACGCGTCCGATATCCCGGATTGGCATCGCATCCGCAAAAGGAATTGGCCGATCGTCAACATCGCGATAATTTGCACGGTGGCATGGCCATGTTTGACGTTGTGGGTGGAGACCAGGCTGCCATTAAACTCATGGATACCATCAAACGACCCTGGACGCTGTGTGAAAATCTAGGTGCCACCGAATCCATCATTACCGCCTGTGCCGTCATGACGCATGCCAATATGCTACGGGAAGATCGTATGAAGGTGGGGATTACCGATGGTTTCATCCGAATCTCGGTGGGAATTGAAGATCCCGACGATTTGATCCGTTCGTTAGATGAAGCGCTGAATCAGTTGTAAGTAATTCTGATTGTTAGTTATCACTATGGAACGGAGGAGAAAGTGCTTGGAGTAGAGTTATAATAAATGAGACGAAGGAAAACTCCTTGGCCATTCGGATGGATTGATTGGTTTGAAGAAGGAAGAATGTGTGTGAATGGCCCAATGACGGAAGAGACAATTTATTTCCGACGGCAATGGAATCAACTGGCGCCAAAGGAGGTTTTTCTGCTGAGAGAGCACTGATACATACATAAAAAATGAATCCTATTAATATTGCCGGATATAGCTGTGTTCTGGCTTCCAGTAGGACTGTGTAGAGCTATCACAGAATGGTTTGCTTCAAACGCAAAGGTTCCGCAAAGCAAAATCGTTCTCTACAAAAGGTTTGGAGTAGGATCCATGCATTTTGCATCATTTCAGGCTTTGGATCATGTCAGGCGGGACAATTTTACCCTGACCCCTAACCAGTGTACCGGTACGGATACCAGCAGAGCTGTCAAGAAATCCTGCCTAGCATCATTGAGGCGTTGTCTCCACACGCATATCCGTTGAGGCTTTTTGTTGTTTGCTACAGCGGATGTCTGGCCAGCACCGGTAGAGACCAACAGTACCGTACATAAAGCAAAGGTTGGCTTCCTCCACAGTTATCTATAGCCAGCTCTCACTATCTCAAACCTAAAGGAGTCATGTCCTCAGAGCACCTCTCACCTGAATTGTCTGAACTCGTTATACCTGTATGTTGAGCAGCACAATATAACATGCATGGTTGTTTACCTATAGAATATGTAACACCTAATCAGAGTTGTAGAATATCAAAAGATCCATCTGCTCCAACCAGAACATCAATGGTGATTTGAGAGAAGGCCTCCCCAGCTACCAAAGAATACAACACTTTTTTGTTCGAGGCTGTCAGAGTGATCCATGCAGGGATGTAGACTCCATCACCAAAACTGTCAGACACGACCACTCTGTAGGCTGTGTGGTTGTTCACTTGGAAGAGAGAGGAGTAAACATGCTCTGGAAATACCAGTGGACCACCTGATTCCAGTGTGTCCCAAACATCAGTCACATTGGTTTCCTTCTGCCAAACCCATGATGTTTCTTCTGGAAAATCATCAGTTTTGATATTGAGCATGACAGCAGCATCTCTGGTTGGTGATCATCCAGGCCAATCCGGTGGAGCCTCTTTGAGGTCAGTACAGGTGGAAACGGGGGGAGATTCAGTTAGGGAACAATCACACCATAGAAAAGAGCAAAGATGCCCTGGGACAGTTCCTGAGAACTGTTTCCCATATAGTCTCAACCCCATGGAACGATTCAGCTGGATTGGCAGGGTCCCTGTCAGGTTATTGTTGTGAAGATTCAGGGATGTAAGTGATGTCATTATGCCAACTTCTGTTGGGATTGTGCCGGAAAACTGATTGTCATCAAGGTAAAGCTCCGACAACGACGTCAAGAGCCAAAGCTCCATGGGAACTGAGCCAGTGAACTGGTTGCTATTCAACCACAGCGTAGTTAAAGTAGTGAGTGCCTCAAAATCAGAAGGTGTTCTGCCAGTGAACTGGTTTCCATGAAGATAAAGCCGATCCAACGACGCCAGAAGCCCCAGCTCAGAAGAAATTGTCCCCGTCAACCGATTATCACGAAGCTGAAGTTCTGTCAACAAGGTCAACTTTCCAAGCTCAGAGGGAACTGGTCCACTCAACTGATTTTCAAAAAGTAAAAGTATATCCAGAGATGCAAGAGAGCAAGCTCCAAAGGCAGTGGACCAGTAAACTGATTACCACTAAGGGTAAGACCATTCAATGAGGGCAGAAGCCCAAGCTCCGAAGGCAGTGGACCGGTCAATTAATTGAAGCTAAGTGGAAGAGAATCCAATGAGGTCAGGAGCCCAAGCTCAGAAGGAATGGAGCCACTGAGTTTATTGACAGCAAGTCAAATCTGTATCAATGAAGTCAGGAGGCCAAATTCTGATGGGATTTTGCCACTCAACTGATTGTCAATAAGTTTCTGGAAGGTTCAGTTCCAATACCCAAGTAGTGGACTGGATCTCGCTGAAACCCTTCCTCAGGGACAGCGGTAGTCAGGCAGTTCAGGGAGCCTTGTCGTGCCTCAGGAGTATTCCAACACCTCCAGTAGGCACCAGACCAAGGACTTGACCCTGTCAGTCAGACAGGAGGGCCAGCAGAGCTCTCTGCTGGACCCTTTGGGCCAGCTCTCCTCAGGAGCTGGGGGCCTTCGTTATTCAATCGTGCAGTGGCAGTCTGGGAACAGTACTATCTGCTACCTCCTACTGCTTCTGCCCGGCCTCAACAGGATTGGTATCAACTGCTGCGGTATCAAAGGGGCTACAAGCTAATCAGGATCGGTCTCAATCTTTCGTACTATTTTCTTAACTATGGTAGAAAGGACGATCCTTCTTGCTGCTTTGGCTGGAGATAAGCCACTGTGGGTGCTGGAGCTGTAGGCCAGCATAGCTGTTGGAGCTATCTCTGACGGGATCCAGAGCTCTCGCTCCTAAAAGTTATCGCTCCCCACGAGTGCGTATGGATCCGCTCTCATGGGAATGCACGATATACGATTAGTTACTAACTAACTACAATACATACTCTCCCCATGAACGGAACATTCATGGGCACTCGGCATCGACTGCTAGTGGAACACAATGTGAGATTGGAGATCTCACAAGTGGAGGACTTGCATGGTTGGTCGGTTGCTGGACCAAAGGTAGGCAAAGGGGTTGCCTGCTTCATCAGCATGGCCAGACTAGGTAGGTGTCGGCGGTGCTGGTTGCTATCATAGCTGTTGTTTGTTTTCTTCATATGTAGACAAATATTGTGGCTTTGCCACAGGCCGAATTCAGCGGTGGCAAGCTCTCAGTGGAGCGGCCTTCTTGCCCCGCAATCATGCCCCTTGACGGATGGGATGGATGGGCTGTACCAGACAGGAACGTAGTCTAGTTGCCCGTCCGAAAATCCAGGGACGGTGCTAGCAGTACAGACTGGAGGGCTCCAATCCTATGGGCCATCATGGAAGCAAACACATGATGGAACCACATGCCAAACACTTGAGGACTCCCCATTGCCTTGGAGACATGGGAGACTGAGACCATGGTGGTTCGAACCTTGGACTCATCCTGTGGTGTGGCATTGTTGCTGCTGTCAGACGGTGGTGGTGGTTGTCGACAAAGGGATGGTCGACTGGGTGGCATTGCTACCAAAGGGATCCTCTCATTTGGCACAAGCCTAGTGGCACTGGGAGTACCAAAGAGAGGTGGTCCGGGATGGACCAAGCCGGGAATCTCTGGTGTCGTTCGACGTGGTGGACACTTGGATCTCCAGCCAAGGTTGGTTGTTGCACGACCTGCCCTGGAAGCTGTCTGCTTGAAAGCATCCTGCCTTGGTCGTGCACTTGCTTGCAAAGGGATCCTCTCGTTTGGCACGAGTCTGGTGGCACTGGGAGTACCAAAGAGAGGTGGCTCTGCTAGAACCGCGTTGGTTGCCTTGTGTGTCGCCTTGATGGGCAAACCGTGGGGCATCCAACATGGGTTGGTTGTCGTGGGTCTACCAAAGGACGTGCGGTCCTGCTTGGAAGGGACAGCCGTTGTGTTGATTACATGCGGGATTTCCTGGGATGGTGGAATCGTCCAGCTAGAATCGTTGTTGCTAGAATTGTTGTTGCTGTTGGCTACAGTACTAGCCTCCCCATGAGCCAATGTAGAAGCTGGGTGACTACTGGAGCTGAAAGTAGGCAGCTCTGTAATCTCCCCATCACCCAGTGATGCATTGGGAGCATCAGCTAGGGCAAATGGTTGCACTGGAGCAACCAAGGGAGTGGCAGTGGGCAGCTGGTTGTTCGCCGCTGTGACTCGCAAAGGATGGGTGGCTGGCGGCTCTCCACAAGCTGGCTGTGGCTGGTAGTTGGTGGTGGCACCGGTCAAAGAGGAAGTGACAGGTAGCTTTCCACAGCAGTCTGGCTTGGGAGCTGGATGCTGGGAGTTCTCAGGACTGCCGCCAATACCGGTGGGTGGCGCTGTGGCTACATTGCTTTTGTTGTTGGAAGCAAAGAGGGCCTCTGCCAGTCGCCGCTGCGTGGGCTTGACACTAGTGGCAGGCAAATCCCCACCATCGCGCTTGGGAGATGCGTGGTACCGGTTGTGCCTCCTGGTCGCGGCTGCTTTCTGCCTAAGGGCAGCTGCTTTTCCATTGATCTTCTCGAGGTTTCGACTAAGGGACTTGTCAAGCAGCTGATGAATGCACCACTGTTGCTCTTCAATGAGAGTATCAAGGGTGGTGCCAAGGGCTTGGATGGAGGTGTGCTGCTCATCCAGACTCTTCATGATGGCCTGAACCGTATCCTCCCGGGTTGTAGGGGGAGTGTGGCTAGTTGTTCTTGGGCTATCCTGTTTCCTTGGTTCTCTAGCCTTCGAGGCCTTCCGTGATGGTGGAGGAGTCACTGCGGGTATGTAGAGTGACATGGTTGCTTTCTTTCTGCCAAGGAAGAGGTGTAGGCTGTACTTGGTGGCAACACTGGATCTCGGCTCTTGTTGCAGTGCAATAAAGGTTGGCTCAACTGTAGCTGGGAAACCACAAAGGAGACTTCCAGGGGCCTTGCTATGGGCCTAGGAAATTCAATCTATGTATGTTGGAATAAGGTAGACCAGGTAAAGGGTCTGGAACCTGCTTCCTGAATTGCTGTAGTGCTGCAAACTGGCTTGGATTTGTGAGATTTTGCCTCACTGGAAGCTAGCTTACTGGGACCAATGAATCTCCCCACAAAAGCTCCCAGAATCCAAGGTGATGGTACCCACTGACTAAATAAAGGATGGCGGTTCCGGTGGTGATACTCTTGTTGCCTCGAACGTCTTCGTTCGTCTCTCCGTGGTCCTCGAGTTACTCTCTTCGTGCTTCGTGCCACAGTTGCTCTGTAGTTCGCTCCGTGAAAGATCGCGATTTCGCGATTTCAATGACTCGACCACGTAAAACCTTTAAAATGTGAGGCGCAATCAGATTACGCAAGCCGAGCCTGCTTTCGATATGGGGAACTTTGTTGTATATGCGCAAAACCGGTACCGGAAGCTCTCGGATCGGTAAGGAAGCGTTTCGGTCGTGCAAAACTGACTCAGTGCACTCGCGATAAGTACCGTATCAATCGAATACTGCACGGTGAACTTCGAAAACTGCACGGGCGTTTTGATTGGCTGATCGGCTTCCGAAAGGACTTCTTCAACGTTCCGAGAAAGGCTGAATCCGGTACAGGACGGAAGCTCGTGACACTCAAAACTGCACGGCGATCCTGAAGATATATGCCGTGTACTGTGCAATAAATCACGAAATTCGGTAAATTTGGTAGAAAGGAATAAGCCCGGATCCAAAAGAGATATCGTGCTGTTTCCCGTGATAAGTACCAAAATTCCTTGAGACGTAAAAGACTTCGTCTCAGTTGCCAAAGGGGTGCGAACCGATAAGTCTCCTGTTCTCCGAGACCCCTTCACGGTAACCGCTTCTTCTTTCGAGTGAATTGACTGCTTTTCCTCTTTCGTGGCAACACGAAGCACGAAGCTACCTCTCGACTCTCGAGTCAATGGCGTCGTGTCAATGAGGTTGAGAATGTAGGTCTTTTTGGCAATGACAATGGGATGTCTGTTGGAGTTGTAGATTGGTGTATGGTCAAGTCAAAGGTTCCTGTCACTGTGGTGAAGGCTGGAACTCTCAGAATTGACCACAAGGTTGTTGACTTAGGACTTCAAAAGTAGGCTTGAAGTCAGCACCAAATTCCAATGAAATCAACTGTAACTGTAGTGTAGCACTGATTGTTGTATTGTGGAGATCTCCTTGTCAGCCTGGAGACTCTCCTTCCCTTAAAACTGCCTGAATTCTATGCGACTGTTAATCCATTAAGTTTCTTTGAAGGATCAGTTCCAATACCCAAGTAGTGGACTGGACCTCGCTGAAACCCTTCCTCAGGGACAGCGGTAGTCAGGCAGTTTGGGGAGCCTTGTCGTGCCTCAGGAGTATCCAACACCTCCAGTAGGCACCAAACCAAGGACTTGGCCCTGTCAGTCAGACAAGAGGGCCAGCAGAGCTCTCTGCTGGACCCTTTGGGCCAGCTCTCCTCAGGAGCTGGGGGCCTTCGTTATTCAATCGTGCAGTGGCAGTCTGGGAACAGTACTATCTGCTACCTCCTACTGCTTCTGCCCGGCCTCAACAGGATTGGTATCAACTGCTGCGGTATCAAAGGGGCTACAAGCTAATCAGGATCGGTCTCAATCTTTCGTACTATTTTCTTAACTATGGTAGAAAGGACGATCCTTTCTTGCTGCTTTGGCTGGAGATAAGCCAGCTGTGGGTGCTGGAGCTGTAGGCCAGCATAGCTGTTGGAGCTATCTCTGACGGGATCCAGAGCTCTCGCTCCTAAAAGTTATCGATTGTTACCAAACTCCAGCACATATAAAGCTGTCAACTTTCCAAGCTCAGAAGGCAGTGGACCACTCAATCTGTTTGAATCAAGGCGAAGCTCTTTCAACAAGGTCAGGAGCCCCAGCTCTGAAGTAATTGGACCAGAAAATTGATTGGAACCAAGGCCAAGAGTATCTAATGAGGTCAGCAGTCCAATCTCAGAAGGAATCAGACTGGTCAAATGATTTTTAGAGAGGCCAAGCTTGGTCAGTGAGGTCAGGAGCCCTAGCTCGGAAGGAACTGGACCGGTCAACTGATTATCCTTTAAGAACAAAATATTCAATCCAGTCATCTCATAAAGCTCTGTTGGTAACAGAGATGAAATTGGCCCAGCAATGGCATTGGCCCCCAAGTTTTCAAGAGACACAAGAGACAAAGAAGTCAAGAGTGCAATCTCAGGTGGCAAATATGGGGAAAGACCACAAACCTGCAGGTCTTGCAGATCCTGAGATGTGAATTGTCCTTGACTCTTGCAGGGAGGTGTAGATTCTTGAGATTCCATGTATGAAATTTCCCATACAGATAGAAGTCTAAATTCATCATTAAACAAGTCAGCCAGCTCCAAACCATCCAAACCCACTGGAGAACCAATCACACTCATCCTTTGTGTCATCCATCCATCCACTGCCTTTTATCAAAGGGTTCCAATTGTCTCCCTCAAAGGCATAGAAGAAGGTAGCAATAAGAGCAAACAGCTGCACCTTCCTCCATTCTGGAAGAAACGTGATATTTTGGTGCTGATTGGCTAGCCAATTCCATACTCTCCACTGAGGTGTGTCGCTGCCATTGTTGATTCTTGCCAAAGTGTAGTCTGGTAGGCTATCCAACAGCATGTCCAGAGATCCAGTGGGTGCAGAGGATGGCCCTTCAGAAGGAGCCATGGAGCCATAAACCGTTGGACTTTCAGTTGACTCGAGGACAACCACATCAGGCACCTTGTTTTTTGAGTTTCAGCCACAGCTCCCACAATGACTGCTCCCACAATTAACAACATGACAAAGAAGAGAATAAACATCAGCCTCTGTTTTTGCCTCTTTTGTCCTCTCTGCTGAGCTTGTTGTAGATTGACTGGATCTGCAGTGGGCCGTATTAGTTCCTCTTCTGGATCTTCGAGAACAAGATTTGCCACTGTCAATTGTGGGTCATTTGTTGATGGATTGTTGTTGTTGTTGTTGTTGGTGGTGGTGGTGCTGCTGACGGGTTGTCCCACATCACCCGGTTCAGTCATTGCAGAAGAATTATGATGATCTGGATCACCTATTTGCTTGCACTAACGGTCCACAGTTGCAGCGGCACCCACAAGGGAATATTGTAGGGATGTAGTTGCACGTTGTAAGTCTTCTCCCGGTAGTCCCAAGTAGGCCCCTGGTCTTGACGGCTGATGCAACTGTTGCCTCCGTAGTGGAAGAGGTCGTAGTGGTAGAGGTTCTGGTAGTGCTGCTGACAGTGCTCCGGGTAGTACTGTTGCAAGTTCTGCACTTTGCCGATTATGTCCTACACCTTGTCCCGTCGAATTTGCTGCATTTCGAGAATTTGCAGCAGTTTCATATTTTTCTTCTTTGGCAGTTTCATTGAATTCGATTGCCATTTGCATGACATATTTGCAATCCGTGTTTTCGTATTCTTGCTCGAGATCCTTGTCCACCGCCAACATTTGTGCTGTTGCCGATCCAGAAATACTCGCAGCAACTGTCTTTCCCTCTGAGAAAAACGCTAATCGGTGTCTTTGTGGAGTGTAGCTGAGCTGAGCTTTGTTGGCACTGTTAGCAAGTGCTGTCGTGGCAGAATGATCCATATTGTTGTTTGTAGTAGTGCCTTTGGAACTACTACTGCTTGCTGCAGCATGATTGGCAATTCCAGGATGGGCTCTGGCAGCAGCAAATTTTTCCATTTTGGCAGCTTCATTTATTTCTGCAGCTATTTGCAGAAGGCAGTCGCTGTTTGCCATGTCTGGTGGTTCTTGATTATGGAGATCTTCTTCTTCTGTGGCAGCTGCCAAGCTGGCCTGATCTGCCACAATTTTCATATTTTCTTCTTGGTCATCTTGTTGTTGTTTGGCTTCACTACCTATTGTGTCTTCATCCCTTTCAAACTGTGTGGCTTCCAAAGCAAGTGGGCAAATTGGTAAGAATATTCAAAACAACAGAGTCCGTTTCTGCTTCTGTTCCTTGGGGGTCATCTGTGCTACCGGTACCAACAGATTCATCCCTGTTCAAAATGGCAGCTTCTTCTCCTTCCTTTTTCATGGTGTATAATTGCGAGCTAGCTATATAGCCTAGCTAGCGTAACGATGGACTGGTGAATAGCCGCTCTCGTCCTCTTCTATCTCGATCGTCGTGCCTGTAGGGTGGACCTCGAGATTCGAGATCTCAATTTTGTTTTACCTCGGCAGTCTATCTGCCTGAGCCCTCTACCCCTTTAATGGCAAATATTCTGTCTGTGGGATCCCCTTGTTTTGTGTCTGTGGGATCCCCCTCATTTCCTGTCTGTGGGATCCCCTATTCCGGTGAAGCCAGGGTATAAGGATAGAGATAATATAAGCTGGCAAAACTGGAAATTGAAGGTTCAATTAAAAGTTAGGGTAGGAATATATCAATGTAATTTAAGGTTAGTGAACTCAGCAGAAAAACACAATAAGCCAGCAGGTGTTGTAAATCTAGAATTACACGATCGAATGATAGCTGTAAATTATGGGTTAGCCCGTGACAACGCCAATGCTAGCTTAATATAAAACAGAAGATTACAATGAGGGAATGATAGTGGGCGGCAACACACGACGAAGTCGGGTGTTGTCGCCAGGGCTAGCTTGAAAGAAGGGTGCAATCTCAAACATGATTCTCCTTGTTCTATCTGTCTTTTTGCCGAGGTATCGCAGCTCCCGCTGACTTATTTTTATTAAAGCACCTCCACAGCTTTGCTGCTTGAAATACACCACGTTCGCGATCTTTGGAGATTTCAATCCGCTGTCCCTGAAGTCCAGCAGGTCATGTGTCTCTACCGGTAGGTCCCGTGCAGATTGTCTTGGAGTTGGATACTCACACACCAGCCAGTTATACTCATGAAGCAAGCAAGGGTGGGAGGAAAGAAAGGGTTGCAACGAGGTGTCACTCGCAGGGGAGCTTGGGTGGTGATACCCCTGCTTTTGGTTGGATTATCCACTCATTCGAGCAGCGCCTTTTTACCGATATCCAGCTACAAACGGTCGCCCCATAGTATTAGTAGATATCCTGCTCCAACAATCGCTTTGGTATCACCCAAGGATGCTCAGTCACACACCACAAGACACACAGAGTTGCATCTGTTCACGCGCAACAGAGAACCTCCTGGCGATACTACGAATCAGAGCGTCACGAAAAAGCCTTCTCGATGGCGACGGATCCTTCGTCGAGCGAATACCGTCTTGTTGGCAACCGCCGTGTCTCTGCTACCCGTCAAGCAAGCCACTGCAGATGCTACTACGCAACCAGCCATGAGTCGACCCATTGATGATTATTACCACAATGAACACGTCGATGAGGCAACGGCCTTGTTGGGAGATATTCTTCTTCAAGAAAACACTCGTCATGATGATGACATTCAAGACACTGTCCCCGTATCATCTTCGTACTATGACTACGATGACGACGGATTGATGGGGTCCTTTGCCGACGAAGAAGAAGCTCTGCGATCGCTACGATCTTGGATCACACCGCCGCCAGCCAAACCCAAACGACGACGACTTCTGTGGCCACAATCACAACAACCGTCACGACCAATTTACAAGTACCAAGTCTTTGGAGATGAAGAAGTCCAAGCAATGTCAACGTCGACGACGGAAGCTGCTACAACAACAGTACATATTACCGACCCTGTTACAGCACCCAAACCAGTCGTGAAGGAGAGCCAACAGCACGTCTCTGTGCTATCGAGAACAACAACTCCAAAGATGCCCACGGCCACTACACACCCGTCCAATGCACGAAAACTTCTCAAGCCATTAATCTTTGGTGTGACGACGACAGGAGGGGCCTTTGCAGGAACAATGTTTTTGATACGTCGCAATAACGCAGAAAAATTGAATGCCAACGGCAGCACGGGTCTACTGAAGCGCCAAACAACACAAGAAGTATTCGTCAAGGCGGCATTGGAAGAGCAAGAATCTACAAAAGACGTACTTGTTGTTGCCAACAACAAAAACAAGACAAAAGACGAATTCTTGGGGGCAGACGACCCGGTGCGGAAAAGTCAATCGTTGCAACGGGCCAGAGAAACACAGAGTATCGTTCAAGATATTCGAGCGCGACAAGCACAAGAGGGTACCACTCCCTTGTCGTCGTCAGACATGATTAATGGCGGCAGCTCGAACAATTTTGTGGAGGAAGCGGCAGTAAAACGCAAAGCCGCCATGGAAGCTTTGGATCGCTTGGACCAACGGTTGGAAGAGAATCAACAAGAATTGCAAGCCATGACGCAAAATCGAACCGCACTCATGGATGCCTTGGAACAGAAACGCAAAGAACAACGACGACGACGCAAAAAATTATTATTGCAAAAACAAAAGGCAAAACCCGAAACCCCAGAAACTCCTACGATTGCCGAGCGTCAATTGGCACAACGACGAGAACAAGTGCAGCGGAAACTTCTGGAAGCACGGTTGTATTACGATCGGATTGCCGCCATTGCCGAAAAACGACGGAAACGGGAACGGGGAGAACCTGTGGACGACGACGTCGACGACAAGATGCCAGCAATAAAGATTGCTGCCGTGGAGGTGCAACCTGTTGTGTCGGCTGCGGACTTGTATTTCGCGGAGGAATCACCCGATCCTGAAGCTGATACAGCTCGCGAAGAAGAGGAAGCTGTTCTGGAGAAGGAACCCGCCATTATTGTGGAGACTGGTGTTGACACAGAAAAACAAGAAGATTCGCCTGCAGAATCAAATGCAACAATCGAATTGGCATCGGATCCTGCAACCGAAATCGACGCAACACCAGTCCAGCAAATGGTTTCTTTGCCTAATAACGCGGACGACGGCGACGCTGACGGCAATAGTGATACAGCAAGAGAAGAACTGGAACGAAAGCAAAGGGCAGACATCTTTTCGAGAGCTCTCTTGAAGGAAAGACTTGAGTCGAAACAACGCGACATGGCAACAAAAACGTTGCTCAACACTGAACCAGTGATGCAAATCGGTTACACGGAACGAACCACAAGAAACCTCTTACAGGCTCGTCTTGCCATGCGCATGCAGGGGCCAGTAGAGACGGATTCCGTGCCATTGGCAAGAAAGGAGGCTGAACTGAGTTATGAAGAACGGGTGGCCAAGAGTCTCTTGGAGGCCCGTCTGGCAAAGATTAGCACCGCCGAAGCCAATCAAGACACTTCAACATCAGGAGGAAGTTCCGGTGGCTTTTCATCGTTGTTCCTTAGCCCCTACCGAAATGGATTCTGGTAACAACTGATCACAGTCAGAGATATGCTTGGGGTGTGCACGAGAGTGCGTCCAATGAGTTAGTGCTTGGTGTGATGGTGGCAACGCTCTGACTTCGTACATAATTGTCGTGGTCTTGTTCATGTTGCTGGATTATAGAATACCCCCACCGGCACTACCATTCTTCAGATATGATAAAAAGAGGAAGGATTCTTCCACTGGTTTGAGTTGATCAGGTCGCCTATTGTGCGCGAAAAGGCGACGAAGAGAGGCCTGTCCCTTGTCTAGCTGACTTCCCTGGCAGTGACTTGCCAAGTGTTTGGGGCCTACTCTTTGCTTCAAGATACGAATAAGAGTATCATAAAGAAACTGTGTCAACAAAGTGAATTCATTAGTTCTGCACGTACACGACTCAGCAAAAAACAATTAACAGTCGCAATCACAACCACAGAGCAAGCTGGAACAATCAAAGTCAATGTAGCACTGAGCATCATCCCCATAAGAGCAAGAGGATTTTTGAAGGAAACAGAGCTCTTCTGGAATGGATCCTACCAAACCAGGACTGCCAGAGATGTTCAGATAGCCTAGGCTACCAGGCAAGGAATCGAAAGGAAACGGCCCTCTCAGTGAGGGTGGACTCACTGCAAGATCCAGTTCTTGTAGGTTTCCAAGCTGCCCCAATTCAGAGATGACCAAACCACTGAAGGAATTGTTGCGAAGGTTCAGTATCTGCAGAGACTCCATCAGCCCAATTTCGCTAGGAAAAGCACCAGAAAAAAAACAATCATTAACCCACAGACCAGACAGTTGTGTCAGCAATCCAATTTCGCTGGGCAAGGGTCCATCCAATGAATTGCTTCTCAGACTCAGTTCGGTCAGTTGTGTCAGTAAGCCAATTTGAGTTGGCAGAGAACCGGAAAGGGAGTTTTCCCTCAAGTTCAAGCTCGTTATTTTGGATAACTGCCCAGACTCAGAAGGGATGCTGCCATATAGGGAGTTCCGGTAGCAGCTAAACTCTCTCATGTTGGTCAATTGCCCAAGCTGGGTTGGAAGAGACCCTGTGAATTCATTCCTGGACATTTTCAATTCTTCTATGCTGGTCAACCACCCAAGCTCAGATGGTATGCTGCCGTTGAGGGAGTTCCGGTGGATTTCAAGAAGTGTCATGTTGGTCAACAGCCCAATGTGGGTTGGAAGAGTCCCTGTGAAAGCGTTCCTGGACATTTTCAATTCTTCTATGCTGATCAACCGCCCAAGCTCAGATGGTATGCTGCCATTGAGGGAGTTCCGGTCGATTTCAAGAAGTGTCATGTTGATTAACTGTCCAAGCTCGCTTGGAAGAGACCCTGTGAAAGCGTTCCTGGACATTTTCAATTCTTCCATGCTGGTCAACCGCCCAAGGTCAGATGGTATGCTGCCATTGAGGGAGTTCCGGTAGATTTCAAGAAGTGTCATGCTAGTCAACTGCCCAAGCTCGTTCGGAAGAGATCCTGTAAAGGAGTTCATGGACAATACTAGCTCTTGAATGCCGGTCAGCCTACCCAATTCGGAGGGCAAACTGCCACTGAGTGAGTTCTCCGGGCAGAGAAACTCAGCCATGTTGGTTAACTGTCCAAGCTCGCTTGGAAGAGACCTGTGAAAGTGTTGCTGTATAGTTTCAATTCTTCCATGTTGTCAACCACCAAGCTCAGATGGTATGCCGTCATTCAGAGAGTTGAGATAGACTTCAAGACGTGTCATGCTGTCAACTGCCCAAGCTCGCTCGGAAGAGACCTGTAAAAGTGTTCGTGACATCCTAGCTCTTCAACGCTGGTCAGCCCTCCAATGTCAGCCGGCAAACTACCACTGAGGGAGTTCTGGTGGCAGCTGAAACTTGTCATGCTGGTCAACTGCCAAGCTCGCTTGGAAGAGACCCCATAAAAGCGTTGCTGTACATACTCAATTCTTGCATGCCGGTCAGCCTACCCAAGTCAGTCGGCAAAATACCATTAAGGGAGTTCAGGTGGCAGCTAAAATAGCCATGTTGGTCAACAGCCCAAGCTGGGTTGGAAGAGACCCTGTGAAAGCGTTCCTGGACATTTTCAATTCTTCTATGCTGGTCAACCACCCAAGCTCAGATGGTATGCCGCCATTCAGAGAGTTGAGATAGACTTCAAGACGTGTCATGCTGGTCAACTGCCCAAGCTCGCTCGGAAGAGACCCTGTAAAAGTGTTCGTGGACAATCCTAGCTCTTCAACGCTGGTCAGCCTTCCAATGTCGGCCGGCAAACTACCACTGAGGGAGTTCTGGTGGCAGCTGAAACTTGTCATGCTGGTTAACTGTCCAAGCTCGCTTGGAAGAGACCCCATAAAAGCGTTGTTGTACAGTTTCAATTCTTCCATGTTAGTCAACCACCCAAGCTCAGAAAGTATGCTGCCATTCAGAGAGTTGTAGAAGACTTCAAGACGTGTCATGCTGGTCAACTGCCCAAGCTCGCTCGGAAGAGATCCAGTAAAAGTGTTCGTGGACAATCCTAGCTTTTCAACGCTGGTCAGCCTTCCAATGTCGGCCGGCAAACTACCACTGAGGGAGTTCTGGTGGCAGCTGAAACTTGTCATGCTGGTCAACTGGCCAAGCTCGCTTGAAGAGACCCCATAAAAGCGTTGCTGTACATACTCAATTCTTGCATGCCAGTCAGCCTACCCAAGTCAGTCGGCAAAATACCATTGAAGGAGTTCTGGTGGCAGCTGAAATCTGTCATGTTGGTCAACTTCCCAAGCTCGCTTGGAAGAGACCCTGAAAAAGCATTGCTATACATTCTCAGCACTTGAATGCTGGTCAGCCTACCCAACTCTGTAGGTAAACTGCCATTGAGGGAGTTCAGGTGGCAGATAAAATATGTCATGTTGGTCAACAGCCCAAGCTGGGTTGGGAGAGATCCTGTGAAAGCGTTCCTGGACGTTTGTAATGCTTTTATGCCTGTCAGCCACCCAAGTTCAGATGGTATGCTGCCATTGAGGGAGTTCCTGTAGCAGCTCAACTCTGCCATGCTGGTTAACTGTCCAAGCTCGCTTGGAAGAGACCCTGTAAAGGCGTTCCTGTAAACTCTTAGCCGTTGAATGTTGGTCAACTGCCAAAGCTCGCTTGGAAGAGACCCTGTAAAATTGTTGGTGTGAATATTGATATTTGTCAAGTTTTCCATAGTGAAGAGCTCTGATGGCAAAATGGCATCCAGTGTGCCACTGAGATTATTCAATGGCAAACCCAAAATGGACAAATCGGTAAGAAGTGCAATCTCAGGTGGAACAGCTGGAGTAAGGTTAGCAAGTTGTAGGCGACTAAGTCCCAGATGTTGATATCTGCCATTCTTGTTGCATGGATCGACATCATAACCATCATCATAATCATCGTAAGTACCATCAAAAAGGATTGACCCAAATTCAGCAGAAAACCAAAGGCACTCATCCTCAAGTTTGCCCTCATCTTGCATCCAATCATTCTTGATATCATCAGGCCAGTTGGGGCCCTCAAATGCATAATAAAATGTTGCCAAAGCAAAGAGTTGCTCCTTTCTCCAATCTGGGAGCTTGGTCAGATTCTTGTGGTTCGATAGCCACTGCCAAGCATGCCATTGGGGGGTGCTACTGTTGCCAATGTTCGTAAGGGTAGAGATTGGAAGGTTCGTCATGAGTACATCCAGTGATCTAGTGGGGGCAGAGGATGGAACTTCTGAGGGTTCCATCGACAAAAAGATGGTAGGAGCCGCTGACGACAAAATGATTTCGTCCTTTTGGGCGGAAAGGCCAAACCCAAGTCCAAGGGCCAGGACCAACAATGAGATTGCACTGATGGCCAGACCAATTCTTACACATTCTTTTTCTTTAGTTTCCTTTTCTGACTGAGCTTCCCTTTGTGCTTCAAGGTCTTCATCATGTACTTGTTGAGCATGAGCCAGGATGGGGGTGGAGTCCTCCAACACTGGCATGGCTTCAACCAGGCCCACATGGAGATCATTAGTAATGGTTTCTGGTACCATTTGAGCTTCCCGAAGGTTGTTCCCGAAACCTGGATTCAAATCTTCAATGGCAGAAAGTGTAATGGTTTCTTCCTCTTCTTTGCCTGGCTTTTCATGAGAAGTGACAGTTTGCTTCTTGCGGAGACCTCTAGATGTGACAATGCTACCGGTAACAGTGCTCTTTGTGTCATTGGTTGCTTGCTGAGAATTGGTCGGAACAGCTCTGGCTGTATCAGTCTTAGTCTTGACCCCTCCCGGGTTGTGGTGTAGACCCCGCTTGACGTTAGCGTTTGGTGAAATGCAAGCTGAAAGGTCCACAGAGGATGCCTTCCCTGTACTGGTAGGGCCACATACACTTGCTTGTGTGGGTGGAGTCACTTCCATGGATGGATCCGACAAGAAGGAGGGAGTTGCAGCCACATTCACGACTCCTGGCTTTTTAGAATTTGATGGGATAAATCCACCGGCAGCCTCTATCTTTGTCGCAAAGTCTGTTGGGTTTCTATGGAGCCCATGTTTCCTCGTGTTCATAGGTTGTGCCAGATGGGTTGAATGTGCCACCTCCCCCGCACTTGAAGTATGAGGATCCGTATTCGAGGCAGAGGGGACTCCAGCCACGCTCACAGCACCCGGCTTTGCTGAATTTGATGGTTTGGCTCCGGCAGCTAGGATCTTTTCCCCAAACTCTTTTGGGTTTCTGCGCAGCCCAGAATTCCTCATCTTGGCTTGTGGCAAGTGGTTGGTGGAGCTCTGGGTGGCGATATCGTCAGTGGCATGAGTTGATGTCGAGGGAGTGGCAGCCACACTCACGGCACCAGCCACACTCACAGCACCCGGCTTTGCTGAATTTGATGGTTTGGCTCCGGCAACTAGGATCTTTTCCCCAAACTCTTTTGGGTTTCTGCGCAGCCCAGAATTCCTCGTCTTGGCCTGTGGCGAGTGGTTGGTGGAGCTCTGGGTGGTGATATCGTCAGCAGCAGGAGTTGATGTCGAGGGAGTGGCACCTACACTCACGGCACCCACACTCACGGCACCTGGCATCGTTGAATTTGATGGTTTGAATTTGGCGGCTTCCATCTTTGTCTCAAATTGCTTTGAGTTTCTATGAAGACCATGCGTCTTCCTATTCACTTGATTTGAGGGTGCTTTCGACGCGGCAACCTTCACGACTTCTTCAGCTGTAGGGGGCATTTCCTCTCTATTCCTATTGCCACCGGATGCCTCATCTTTGCCAATACTTTGGCTGTGACTCTCTCGGTTGTTTCTGTCGCTCATGATATCTTCACTAGTAGGTATAATAGGCTATGCTGCTGAACTAGTAGGAGGTACCCGGTATACTGGCTAGTACTTGTGCTTTTTAAGTTTTCGACGTTTTCACTTACTGATTCTTGTTGCTCTTGTGCTCTTCGGGCTTTGATCGTGAATTTTCGTTTTCGAGCCGTTCGGTTTCAATGACCGTTGGTTGGTCTTTTTGCTACCGGTGGGTAGGGTTTGCGTTAGTCTAAGCTACTAGATGACAAATACTAAATAACGGTTATGGGTCTCCTCATTTTCCAGGAAGACGGTTTGTGACGGAAAGATGGGGCAAATATACGGTTAAAGCTTACATTTACCTTTTCTACCTGCAGATCAAAGTTGTCTTCCAACCACGCACTGAAAAACGTCCGCCATGGACAACGCCACCGCCAATACTCCTACGGCGGAACCACAAGATGCTTCCTTGGCCATGTCCACTGTAGCTGTTGGTGATGAAGAGACATCCTCCTTAGCGTATCATGATTGGAGGGCATTGATCCCATCAATCTTGTCGGACCGTGGCCTGACTTGTACCGAGCAGACCATGGAGTCGGCGGCGTCACTACTGGAACAGGGATGGCTGGGGAATTTTACTCAAGCCAGCAGCTTACTGTCAACACAAGTAGAGGCTTCCTTGATGGAATCATTCATCGAAGACGACTACGATGGAGCTCTGCATCTTACGACACTCGATGACGAACAAGGCAAACCGGTTGGATTTGTCTTTTGGAGACAAGTGCCAGAAGACGAAATGAAAGATTGGATTCATTGGGAAAATCTACAAAAGAAATTGAGGGGCGAGCAGCAGCAGCAACTCAAACAAGCACAACCCGATAAAGAGGATCAGGAGGTTCCCGTAGAAGATGGTCTGTCCTCTTTGCCAAATCACTCCAAGAGACGGCGGATGCGACAATCGATTCAAATGGTGCGGGGTGAAAGCATTCGTTGGCTCGAAGTGGCCTCTTCAGATGCCGCCAGACGAAATAGCTTGTTGAGATCCTCCACTGCTCCTTTGGAAAGATTGACGCATTCCTGGGTCAAGATTGAACTCTTGGCCGTTCATCCCGATCATTTCAAGCGCCATATTGGAACGTTGCTCATGGCGTGCGCCATGTATCGAGCCTATCAAAAGGGAGACGATCACATGATTTTGCATGTGGCAGGAGGACACGAAAATGTTCCGGCATTGAGACTCTACGAAAAGTTTGGGTTCTTACCCGTTCCACAGGGGACTGTCTTTCACAAACCCGACAAGGATTTGTTCGTGTTGGGGCATGTGGGAGAGTCCTTGCAGCGCCTCTGTTGGCCAGCGTTAGAGGTCTAACACCGAAAGGAAAACCAAACCAATAAATACAATCCTTCATGAAAGAACTTAGCTTGGCTTGCTAGCTAGTGACATGAGTCGAGTCCTGTCTGCAGGCGTGCACTTGTGGGAGGCTGAGGTCTTGTTGTGTCGTGGGAATTCTTAGGATTCTTTGGGATGGCGCGATTTTTGCTTTGCAATGACATCCAACGACCGCAAGAACGAGCTGCCGATTCGATTCCGCCAACTGCTGCGATCGTTGGTACATGAAGCTTATGTCAATGTTGGGTTTCTCCCGCAACCTCTCATGATCGAATTCCGACCATGCCGATTGCCAAATGAGGTTTCAAGCGATTGCAAGCTCAGGAACCAAACCAGACGAATGAAGAGTATGTAGCTAGCTACTAGGGTGTATGGCTAGAGGGCGGCCTTTTAAAGTAAAAAGAAGTTGATTATGTATTGCTAGATTCACATAGTATGCTTGAGAAGAGAAGATCTGCCCTGTCAGTGGCAAAGCTCCGGTTGATGTAGTTGTGCCGTTCCAATCATAGACTTAGGCCGCCAATGCCCCACGGACCGTTGCCTTGTGACGAATCACAAACAAAGGACACGACGCTGATGTTTGAATGCTACCTCGTCTTCGAGGGACTTTGGGAGCCCGATCCACATGGGCTTCCTGAGCATCCTTCAAATCCAGCACGGTATCGGACGACAAGTTGCTGTCATGAAAGAACCCTGGGGACGAAAAGGTTAACGGCGCCGTTGTGGTGACTTTGCTGCCGCTTGAAGGAGAAGAACCTCCCAGCAGATGCTTGTGGCCGACAGAGGCGCTCGGTGTCATGGGTAGACTATGTGTGCGTAGTTCAATCGTTTTGGTGCGGACACCAGAGGTGCGAACAAACTGGCCCCGGTCATCACCACCAACATTGCTTCCCAGCCGACGAGCAGGACGTCTGGGAGGAACGCGGCCTTGGAGAGGATCGTCCGCCAGGGAATCCATAAACCTGGACCCTTCGAGCGATGACAGGGAATCCGTGGATGATATGCTGAAACAGTCATCGTCGTTTTGTTCAGAGGCAGCGAGGATACGAACGAAAACAAACTCAGGGATACCTTGTTTCTTCATGGTGCTCTTGTCTCTCCTGCTAGTCCTCCTTGCTGTAGCTGCCATCTTGCTTGCTTTCCCTTGCGGATAGCTGCTCTAAAATGCTATGAAATCAACTTTGACGCTAGCTAGCTTCAAACTGTTAGCTGGGTTATGGTAATGATTGTGCTCACTGTCACCGATACAACTGATGATGCTGTGCGCATTAGAGTGATGTTTGAGCGAGGTCCTCCTGAAAAAATTCAGATTTCAGCTCGTGCAGCACTGTTTGTGCCAAGTTGCACTGGCTGCGAGCGAGAAGCACCACAGTTTCTTTCCCTCTGGAAGAGAGTGGTGGATGGCTTTGATGTGCCCGAATGAATCGTGCAGAGCTTGTAGGTATCTTTCAGAAGACGAACATCACTGCGCTTCCTAGAAGGATGAACGATTGAATGAATCAGCGCGGTGCTGGCCGAGAGGAAAGCCAATGCTGCCCGAACAGGAAATCTTCGGAGGTTCGGATAGGCTACGCCAAGTCTGGTGCACTACTTTACCTAGCTACGAATTACATGTAATAGTTTACCTTGCGCATGAGCCACAAGACTTCCAAAAATAGTACTCTCTTAGGTAGCTACTAGTACCAGTAGGCTGGAAAGGTGAGCGACGTCTACGGAAGCCGACCTAAGTGTGCATTACAACATCCACATAATCAATTTTGTTTACCCCCCTCTCCCCTACCAGCAAGCTGGGTCTCCTCTTCAAGAGTACACCCGGTACATCCAGCTATAATAGCTAGCTAGTAGTAGATTGATAACGACGTTTGTGTTACATGCACATGATGTGGAAACTTGGAAGTGGCCCATTATCTCACCTCTGACTAGCTAGATCTATGGCAGTATGGCAGGGGCAGGGTGAGATGAGTTCACAGTTACCTCAAATGAGTGAATCACCACGAACAGCAAAGAAACGATTCCTACTATGCATAGCTGGACTGAAAGTCATTTTGCCCAGCCACTTATTGCAGTCATGTGCACTTTCTTGTTGCAGTCATAGAACATAGAACCGTACTTGATACTGAGTACATGCAGCTCTGCTACTGGAGTAGATCTATTTAAATAAGTTGATACAGAAATTCTGCGCTTGTGTAAAACTACTGAAAGGTCCGATTTGCCGAGCTTGAGTCCTACTCTTATTACATCTTTGTCAATGATCTGATCCAGTCTCTCTACTTTGCATAGCTAGCTAGGCTTGCCTACCATGCCGTACGCAGAGAGAGGGGAGCCTTGATGTCAACTCACACGATTGATGTCAACCTCTACCGTACCCAAAGAGCGATTGATCGTTGGTCGTCCTCAGTGCTGGTGGCTGCCTCGGCAAAGGGAGTGCAATGTGGCGGGCTCTGGCTGCTAGCTAGCGGTCAAATCAAGACTGGAGACTCGACTCCACTCCTTCTATAGATAATCACCCCGGCCTGCACCGAGCTGGGCTAGCCACGGGCAGCACCACCACCCACCACCTACGCTGTGGCTCATTTCGAACGACTGCCGACAAAGCGAACTTGGCAACATGCATGAACCTGAAAGATCGCCTTGGACTCGGAGCTACAGCCGTTGGACACACTAATTCATACCGGGATGCAGACCTTCTACTTTTGGAACGATGGTATCACAGGCAAACTATGGAGCAGTCCATCCCTACTAGATTCTTCGACTGAGTGAGCGAGTGGACGCACCAGCCACCACAGCACGTTAAAAAAGAACAAACGTTTCATTGAAATCTTCGGCGCAATTCCAAAGATGCGAAGCTAAGACCCGGCCCCGCACAAGCAAGAGACGACCAATGATGCGTTGCGCGTACTAGTTGTGTTACGAGCGAACGTTGCTTGTTGTGTAGCCACTGAGAGCGCTGAAGCAAGTAGGCTACCTTGCTTCGCCCCCCCCCTACCGGTTTGTTCTTCGTTTGTTGGCTGGAAGTGGGATCATACGATGATTTATCCCTGGCTGAGCCCATGCCTTCTTCTTGGCGGGGATTGGCCTCTGTTTGCTGCCAGAGTAGCATCCAACATCCAATACATGAGGGAGGTGTTTCATGGCATGATCTAACCACTGAATCGTAACCGCTATAAACGATGAAACTGTAAACTCCTCTCTATTATTGTGGTGCAAAATGTATTATGAAACTGTACGTGTGCATGTCAGTACCTCAGTTGCTGTTTCGACGTGGCATCCTAGGCGGTCGATCATTGTCGTGACAAGAGTCTTCACCAGGATGAGGAGATCGCCTAGGGTAAACCCTGGCGCAATCACTGCCATGGAAGGAGACTTCATCCATTTGACTGGTGCAAAAGGCAAGAAGTTCTGCATCGATTGACCTACGCTTCTTCCTTCTTTCTTCGCAAGAAGTCGCACTGTTCTTTGCATCGGCACTGGTAGCAGTGTGTACTCTTCTCGGGGCAATCATTCCTTCCTCTTTTTGCGGTGTCTTCGAAAACAGATACTTTTGACTGGCACGGCGATGAGGTATCGTCATGGCAACATCGCAAGATTTCTTGCTTGCTCTCCTACCTCTCCGGGGGCGAGGAGAGGAGAGCTCAACAGAGACCTGAAAACGCCGATGGTTGCTCGACCGAGACTGCCAGCTCACGATAGACTCGTCGTCATTGTCTGCAAATACAACGTAAATATGAGTGGGGACGCCCATGGTTTTGTTTGTTTCTATTCGTTGTGTTTTGCTGCTGGAAATTTGTGGGAGGATATCAAAATTGTGAGAAAAGGCGGATTCGATGTCTTTCTCTGATCTTGTGCTTCCGAATTGATCATTCTGCATGGCATTGTGGAGCTAGCTAGCTACCTCTACAGGTAGGTAGCCTAGAAGAGCTAGCTAGTACCAGTACCAGATAGCTACGGTATTCACAGCTTACAGCTTCCGAGAAAAGGACAAGGAGAAAAAACGAAAAAAAACCAGTGGAAGATCGAGCGTGAAAAGAAAAGAAGAAAAGCACCAAGAACAGAAAGTCGGAGTTCGTTTCGTCTGATCTTCAAAGATCACTTAGTTGAGGGATCTCGCAGCAAGGTGACCTAATTATTGAGGAGTTACCGAGGACTTTTCGTACTTGAAGATTCTATGAACAGGGAGATCCGAAAGGAAAGACCTTGTGAAAATCCGTAAGACTGTGAGAGTTCTGCAAGAAACTCCGCCAAGGGTGTGTAGAAGTTTGCAAAAAGATCCCCACAAGAGCTGCACGCCTAATAAAAGTTAGACCTAGCTAGTTATTAAAACTACAGAAGGTTTTCGGTTCCCGGAGTATTCTTGGGCTGTCGCTCTTCCTTTGTGTCAAGCTTTCCTTCAGCCTTGGCTTCGCAGATCGCTGGGAAGGCGGCAATCAACTAACTACAGCAACAATTCTAGTTGTTTTGTGAAGCCAGCCACCAAATAAGGCCAATAGCGTACTTGAAGCTCGGAAGAATTTGCGTCGGCTGGTTTGGATCTTTCCAACTGAATTGCTGCAGCTAGTTACAGTGTAGCCTGTTCAAAAATGTAAACTCGCCCCCCTTCCTTTGCGAAGAGAAACCGCATCCTTGTGGCTACCATCGGTACCGTACCAGAAGCTGTGCCACCACCACCCACACCACATGCACACATCACGCATGGCTCCAGTTGGATCTTGAAGGTGGTCATGCCTGACACTGGATAATCCTACCATGAAGCCACCGAGAAACCGAGAGGGGCACCAGCCACCACAAGACGCGAAACCAGCTGCAACCAACCAAACGGTAGCCATAGTTGACGCACGCGTTCCGGCACTGCCTGTAGGCTCATAGAATCCAGCAAGCAACATTAGAACATCAGCTTGATTTCTTTGGCCTCCTCGAACGAACAAGTTACGTTTGCGAACAATGCATTCCTTGCGTTCCAAATACTGTACAACCTTTATCTTATCCCGTCAATTGCAGCAAAAGGTGAGAGTGCTTAAAACATAGTACTCTGTGTTTGACAGAGCCACTGAGAGAAGCCTCGCTGCCAGAGTTTGCCCTTCCACTTCGTACACAGTTCAACTTTCTGGTTCTTTTCAACCCTTCATGCTTCATGGCTTCCTTTCGGTGACTAGCTAGCGTTGGCCTGTTTTGCACAGCACCGAATCACACCCCATTGAGGATGGCCCATAATGCAAGCTCTTCGTGCTGATGGACAGTCTTGGTAGATCCTCTACATGTACTACGACCCAGCCAACACAAAGACTTCGTTTGGAACCGAACACTTCGACACAACCTTTTGCAGGCACGTAGCTAGTCTACGTAGGCCTCGGGCGAACAGATTCCGTGTCTTTGCCACCAGCCAAAAAGGCCGAAGCCGAGCGACAGATTGACATCAAGATTTATTTTGTTCAGTTAACCAAACAGCAGTGAACTAACCTATCCTTAGCAATACGGTAGTGCTAAGCCTCGCTGGTTGGGGACGGTCGACCACAGTCCATGGCCCTTCGCGGCAAAACGATGACCAAAAACCTAAAAAAGTCCAGATGAGTTGCCTGACATCTGTAAGTTTGCTTGTCCTCCGCGATTGTTCATTTTGTTTGTTCCTGACTGCCACCGACCATGGTCGTCCCACCCATACTGTCTGGTGAGTTTCTGTTCGCTTCTTTTTCCAGTTTTTCTTCAGAGATGTCTTGTGATAACTCTTCTATTTCGTCTTCTTCGTCCTCTTCGGAAAAGTCTTCGTCCATATCTTCACCTTCTTCTTCTTCTTCCTCATCATCATAGTACTCGTATTCATCTTCAATATCTTCTGGAATCACATTGAATGGCTTGGCATTCCAAGACCCGAGCAAATGATATTCTTGCTGATTGCCCAGGAAACCCTTCTTTTCTTGCACAAAAATCTCCATGGGCGCCAATGCCATTAATTCGGTAGAACCAGGCCAATTCCCCAATGGCAAATTTTCGGGTGGTGGCAAGTATTCTTGTGCATCGAGCAATTGTCGCAGTTTGTCATCCCGATCCAATGTCAATCCGGCCATATCCTTGTAGGCTGCCAGTGTCTCGAGTGGATCCACTCCATCCAATCGTCGATCGCCGGATTCGTGCGACACTTGGTCTTCCAATTTCGCTTGAGCGCGTTCGTAGGCTTCCAATGTCGGTTGTAGCTTTTGTCGTCCTTTGACCCAGTCAGATTGACGCCAACAATGCGCGGCAAAATAAAGTCGTTGATTGGCTTGGAGGGTGACATCTCGTTTTTGAGCAATGACTTTCGAATGACTAGTAGAAACACCCGTATCCAACCAAAATCGCAACAGACTGGCATGACCGGGTTTTCGTCCCAGCCGTAAATTCCAACCACCCGTGCCTTTGAGAGGAACCTGTTGTTCCCCTAGCTCGGTGGTGATATAGGTGATTTTTTCGGGGTCTACCACGCGCAATCGATTGGCGCCTCGACCGCCCAACAGTTCATCTTGTTCCTCGTCGGGCAATCGATCCGATTCAATGCACAGTTCCACGGGAAAGGAAAGACGAGCACCCGATGCGCCCCATTCTTCTGGCATGGTGGTCGAGATTTCCCGGCCCAAGTTGATCACCAATCGCCATGATGCTGGTGCCCAGGGGGATTTCGTTGTGGCCGAAAAGGCAACAACCGAGGATGGAAGCAGTGCTAATGTCAAGACGACCAAGAGGCACGCGCTCATTCTCAGCAACTGTATTCTTGTCCTTCGTTGTGTCATTGTTCAAACTAGATAGTCGCTACTCGTACCTGGTAGCTATGTAGGTTAGGAGGGTGGTTGTTTGATCGCTTTAGAAGAACAAATGCCAACATCAAATCTTTCCACTTTCTTGTCGTTGAAGCGGTTGAAGCCACACGATCTTTTGAGTTGGATGTCGAATGACGTATTACCCGTGACTTCGAAAAAGTACATGTATATTCGATTGCTCGATCCACGATCCAACCGACCGTGGATTTGAAAACGGAAGGTCGTTGTTTTCTGAAACATGCCGTGCACACACAAAACGTCCACGAAACTAAACTGTTGCAAGCAACGATCGAAGGATCTCGACCAGAAAGGGAATGTCTCCAATCCATCATAGATTGACGGTTCTGCCATAGTTTCAGAAACTCATTCCTGGCACAAACAAAAATGCTGTATCATTTCTTGCCGCTCTATACGTGGAGCTTCGTTCGTTCCGAACTCTCCCAAATCTTGCCAGCAATAGCTACAGCGACCGATACTACTGCAACAGCAACTGATTCGATTCTTCGAGAACTGCAGAATGTGAAACGAACGCCATTACGCCAGAAGCTACAACGACGACAATGACAACGACAACCAGAACCAGAACCACAGAATGTCAAGCAACTACAAATAATGACGCGACCGCTCAAGCAGCTACGATTGCAACGACCACGACAACAACAGCAACAAGCGATGAACACGTTCCTTGGATGACGATGGATGACAACCTCTGGATCCATGGAATTCTTCCGTGTCTTGGCATGGGACAGTATGCCTTTGTCGGAACCGTCAGCAAGAAAATGAATCATCTTTACAAGGAATACTGCGATTCGGTCCAGCACGCCCCTATTGTCAAGCACCCACGTGGCAGCAAAAAGGCAGCAACTAGCACGGATACATTCTTTGGCACGGCTTTCTACAACCTGCCATGTGCCAACCACTGGTTTGAGAACTTGAATGGTGAAAACTACTCCTATGGCTACATTTGTGAAGAAATTGCCAAGGTTGGACATGCTGGAATGATTCATTGGGCAACGAGAAAAGGTTTCAAATGTGCTTTTACAGCCTGTATAGCAGCTGCCAAAGCAGGGCACTTACGTGCGTTGAAGATGGCCTGTAAACATTCCAGCTCTACAAGGCATGTGTCACTCTGTCGGGCAGCAGCAGAAGGTGGGCATCTGGAGATACTGCAATGGCTTCGGTTCCGGGAGTGTCGATGGAATACAGAGACATGCAAGGTTGCAGCGGCAGGTGGACATTTGGAGGTGCTGAAATGGGCTCACCACGAGGGATGTCCATGGGATTCAAGGACATGCTTTTATGCTGCAAAAAACGGACATCTCAAGCTGCTCCAATGGGCCCGAGAACACGGTTGCCCATGGGATGCAGCGGCATGTCAAGCCGCTGCAAGCAAAGGGCATTTGGAGATTCTCAAGTGGCTCCATGCCAATGATTGCCCATGGGATGAAAAGACAAGCTTGGGTGCTGCATCACATGGTCAACTTGATCTCCTGAAATGGGCCATATCAAATGGATGCCCATGGGATTCCTGGATATGCTATGGTGCAGCTGGATGGGGCCACTTTGAAGTTTTGAAATGGGCCAGAGAAAATGGTTGCCCATGGGGTGCTGCTACATGTCGGAAGGCTGCAGAAGGTGGGCATTTGGATATTTTGAAGTGGGCCCGAGAAAATGGCTGCCCATGGGATGAATATACTTGTGCCAGAGCTGCCAGAGGTGGTCACCTGGAGATCTTGAAATGGGCAAGAAGCAATGGCTGTCCATGGAATGCTGATACATGCTCTGAGGCTTCCAAGAATGGTCATACTCAGGTTTTTTTGTGGGCTCATGCCAATGGCTGTCCTAAGTAAGATTTACCGTACGTAGCTAAACTATGGATAATCTTCCAGCTTCTTGATTAAAAAAAAAGGAAATACTGAGAGCTCATCCTGTCACCATGCCCGTACTGGTAAGAGCTTAGGGAAGGCACCGATAACGCCAAGTAAACACATTCGTTTCCAGGATCAGTTTGCAGCTCTGCAGCTTTCAATGCTCTGAGAGCGGAGAGAGACAACACACACACAACGCGGCGTTGAGTGTGAGGGCGACACGGCGACCAGCATTGTTTTTTAGTGGACGACTAACCCTTTCAAAGCTTTCGAATAGTTTCTTCTTTCTCCAACAATTCTGATCGACATGCAAGATGGACAAGGTACCAGACGCAGTCTTGAAGCACATTCTATCGTTTGTGAGCGATGCCGGGGGTTTTCTTGCTTGTGAAAAGACATGCATAGCCCTGCAGCGTGTTCTCCAAGATCATTCTGATTCCTTATGGCGAAACTGCAAAGAGTGCAAGCCCAAATATCAAAATCAGCAGGAGTGCTGGCCAACAACAAATAGAGACAAAGTATTGGTGGTACGAGCCCTTGATCAGTGTCACCGTTGGCAGAGAGGTTCAAAAAGCTGCTCTATTCTTCGTGGCGTCATGTCCGTCGTCGAATGGAAGCGGCTGGCGGAGCAATCCCTTCATGTGCTCATACCACTTCACGGTGGGAATGAACCGATGTGGAACAACCCGACTGGGAACCAACTGGTTGGTTGCAGTCACAAGTTCCCATTGCGAGGAGATACATCAGCCGTCCTCATGAATCTTGTGGAAAGCTGTTTGATTTCACAGCTCGAGAGAGCCAGAACCATGGCATTTCATCGCACTCGGCACGACCCTAGTCAGTATCCATCCGTGTCATTGGTGGATTTTCAGGCTCAAGATCAGTTGCATAGCTTCCTATTTACCACTGGGGATGTCAAGACTTCAGGAACTATATATCCGGGACTCAAGCTCCTTGGTTTGTCACCCCTTCCAGCTGTGAAAGCTGCAATTGACTCTGGGGTGAACTTTGACGAGACCAAGCGCTTCCAAATTGTCCGTCGATTGGCATACGCGGCCGGCATCACAAAAATGGACAATGCTATGTTTGATTTGGTTTGGGCACAACTGGTACAGCTGATCATTATGCTCCTATGGCCTGGATGTGTTCGTCTCGTGCACGATGAAATCCAAAATGATCCTGGCGCCCGACAGAATCTGCACGGAGTGCAAACCATGCGGGATGTCCCACCTCCATCATACCGCTCAGCACGTCCACATGCATGTGCAGTTTGCGAGGAGCAGAATGAAATCGTTCACACCATTGTCCCCGGCCAAGTAGAGCATGCAGCCAAGGGATTGGGGATTGCACACAAGGTGTATGGTTTGGAATGGCATGTCGAGACTGACAATGATGAAACGTCTCACGAGAAATCGTTTCAGCTTTTGCTAAAGGAACTTGCCAAGGCAGAATCCAAGTATAGCTTTGAACGAAAGAAGGCACCATCACAAACTACAGACGACACAGCTCCCTATGAGGGAAACATCGTAGATGGAAGCAATGCTGGTCAAATTTTGGTGGATGGGTTGCTATTCTTTGATGCATTGGAAGAAGAACCGAAAGGCTCGGCATCCGTCATTGGAGAGACACGACAACATAAACTTATTTCCACGGAAACCGATGCCACACACACATCTGGAGGCAAGGTTTCGTCTGACGAGGATTCGTCTGATGAGGAATACATTGACGACGAGGTCTCCTCCGATGCTGATGATTCGGATCTGGAGAATCACGTTGATTTTGAAGTTGACGATTCGGAATTGGAAGACCTGGATGAAAACAGCGACGCTAGCGATGATGACGATGACAATGACGACGATGATGATGACGATGACGACGGAGACGATTACTCGGAAGATGATTACTCGGAAGAGGAGACTGTCAGTGATTGCACCAGCAGCTCTGATGCTGACAATGAGAGCCACATGGACGAGCATGGATACTCCTCTGAAGATAGTGAAGACTTGCAGATTTCGGATGAAGGCATTGTTGTTTTTGATGAAGACTCTGACAATGAGGAGACAACCTGCATCAGTCCATCAGCTGTTGTACAGGAGTCCACTGGATACCATGACAGAATCTATGTTCGGGAGTTATTGGCTCCCATTTGAATCGAATCAACTGCTTTGGTATACTGAAGCGTCACCGAAACTGCTGTATCAGTGCAGGGGAAGAAAATGGGGAAACTGACCGTCGCTGGGGCAAAACTAGCTATTGCAAAATCACGTTTATGACTCAACTTGCCGTAACTATTACCGCTGCCTCCTTGTTGAGAGCAGGCTCTGCCTTATTCTCGCCCTACCTGCATGGGAGCTAAGAACAACTCAGTGTAGCTCATGCGGTTGCCATTGGCTTGGGGTCTCGTGCGTCTGGCCGTTCTCGCTGGTGTCACTGCTCTCCCAACCATTGATGTCTTGCACAATGTGGACCACTGCCAACCAGGGTCTCAAATGCGATGGTGGGAGCAAGGGCGAAGTGGTTACTAGCTAGCGCAGCGAGAAACCCTGTGTACAAGCAAAACCTAATCATAACTAGATAAAACATGAAGCTCGTACTGTTATCAACAACAAAATATTAGGGTAGCCGCCCAGAAACTCTATTGGCCAAGCTGGTAGATTGACACAATTACAAGAAGGAAATGGCTGTGAAGACTGCAAGAACAAAACCAGTCACGACACTCTTGACCGGTGCAGCGCTGGTAGTCTCAAGCGCTGCAATAACGGGCTGGCCCCGTGGTGGCTCAGTTTCGTTTCCGAAAGTCTCCGTGGCGTTGACGTCGTCAATTGTTGCGTTTCCCAACACAGGTGGGAACTCCGTGTCAATCTCCTCGTCCTCATCATTGGGACCTGGCTTTGCTCCTTGTCCTGGGCCTTGTCCCTGTCCTGGACCTTGGCCGGGTCCTTGTCCTTGTCCTGGTTGCTCTTCGGGTTCTTCCTCTTCCTCTGGTTCTTCCTCGGGCTCGGGGGCCGGCTCTTCAACTTCCTCCTCTTCCTCTGGCTCGGGCTCTTCCACTTCTTCTTCTTCCTCCGGCTCGGGCTCTTCCACTTCCTCTTCTTCCTCCTGCTCGGGCTCTGGTTGTGGCTCCGGCTCTGGTTCTTGCTCGGGCTCCGACTCTTCAACTGCCTCCTCCTCTGCCGCACATCCAAGACGAATCGATCCATCAGTGGGTTCCGCACGGAGCTGGCCGCAAATACTGGCTCCAGTTCCCCAGTACGCTTGGTTGGGGTACTCTAGGTCTGTAGCAGAGAAATAGTGGCATCCTTTGATTTGGTATTCGCCTTCAAATGAATATTCGCGATTGCCGAGCTCCAAACCCATTGCAAGAGCAGCTTCACGGCAACCGTCCACGGTGACGCAAAGTTCTCCTGGGCATAGCGTAGGATCAAAGGGGGGAGAGGTGGTTCCATCACAGCTCACTCGTTCAGCTCCGGCTTCTGGTTTCATTCGCAGCTCGGAACAGGTGCCTTGGGCTCCATAGTACGCCTCGTTGGGGTAAAGAGGGTGGTCAGGGGGATAGAAGTAGCATCCCTTGTCGGCCCAGGGGCCTGCGAACGGAAATTCTGGGTTTCCGAGCTTCAATCCCATTTGCTCTACAGCCTGTTGGCATTCTGTAGCGTCCAAGCAGCCATTGGCAACGGCAACAAGCTGATCACCTTCGCACAACGGGACAAAACTGCTGTTCTGGAGTTTTCGAAGTGATGCTCCCATCGCTGGCGTTGCCGCCAAGAGCAAACACAGATTTGAATAAGACACCATCTTCAGCAAAAGCACTCGTCTTGTTTTTGTTGTTGACTTGCTTGATGAGGAAGCGAATTCTTCTCTCGGCTTGTCTGTTTATGACAGTTTGGTAATTTTGTCGAACTCTGCAACGAGCCAAAGTTTTGTGGTGGGAAGAATGACGAGAAGAGGTTGTGGGACATCCGTGCGGGATGGCGTGCTTTGTGGCCTAAAATCTACGATACTCAAAATTCCTGCGCTCCGGGATTTCCCACATGGCAGAGCAACGGACAGGATCTTTAGAAGTCTTGTCTACCAAAGGATGAAGGATATCTTAGGTAAATAATTGAACATGCTGGTTTCGAAGGTTGTTGGAAAGATACCATGGAACAAAACCACTTCACTTACAGTGGTCAGCATCTAACAGATTGCAAGGGCCATGATTTTTCAGTGTTTCTCAGGACTTCAACAGCTGGTCGGTCGTCTTCCGAGTTGTTTCTTTCCTTCCCAATACGAGAAAGGCAGGCAGCAAGGGTTACTTCTTCTAAGAAACATGTGGGAGTAACTGTGTTGCTACTATTCTTGGATGCACCTGAGTCGTCCCGATGGACCGTAACAAGAGACGAGAGAAGCCCCGCTGATCCGCAGCCCCGCGAGAGTCGATGCCCATAGCTATGGGTTTTGTTTGCTTCTTCGTTGAGTTGTTCCCTTTAGGTGCTCTGTTTGGCTCGACGCCGAGCACCGGTAGGATCAATCTTCGCCTCGATTCTAGTAACAGGACTATACGGCACGGTAGACAGCCCCCGCTACAACCGGGCGGCTCCATCTCTACCGGTATGGGCAAAGTTCTGGCTATCATAGTAGTATTGTCGCACAAGAAGCTTACTTTCTCGCTAGCCAGTAGAGGACAATTAATTTATCGTGAGACCTGCTTTTTTAATGTTGTCCTCAGTTGCTTTCTTCATGCTTCAGGTGTCCTCTCAGGCTCTCAGGTGCGAGCGACTCCGAAGGAGATGATGACAACCCTCCGATGTCCTCTGCATCATTCTCTCAAATCGCTTTGGGGAGTTTCTGGGCTTTGCTTGCCTTACAATAAGCCACCATCTCATGAGCTTGTGCCAGCCACACCGTAAGGGCGGACCGCCGTACCGTACGGTACTAGCGCTGCTTGTCGAGTGGATTGGCTGGGGTGGCGGCGCACCACTTGCTGCAGTGGCGGCAAATGAAGATATTGCACGCACCCCCGCCCTGTCAAAGTGCTTCCGCGTATCCGAGCTAGGACCAGGTACCTAGCTAGAGACCCGATCGTCGCTACTGGTACATGTATGTACCAGACCACCCTGCCCTGCCCTGTACAAACACTGTGGCGCTAGCCACTATCGTAGGTAGTTTGTAGTAGGCCTTGTCGCTCGTCAATTGGGAGGCTTGTCGGGTTATTAGGGCTGTGATGAGAATCAATCTTGAAACGAATCGAATCGAATCGAATCCCTTGACCTCGACGCCACTACCCTGCCCTATTTTGGAAGCATGTGAATGCACTGACCAACTTCTGTGCCTACTCTAGCTAGCGGTACCGGTAGCCGAAGCAGCTGTAGGACCTTGAAAGCTCTCGACGAATGGCCGCCAATTCGGCCAATGCTTGACGAAACTTCATGCCGAAGGCCAGTTTTAGGAGAGTAGTTGAGGTAAATATAGGGTTAAAGTCACCCAATAACACATCTCCGATGGACAAGTCGACTTTAAGTCTTTCCAAGTTCTCGCTGTGTTGCGAAATAATAGGAGGAGTTGACGCAAAACTATTTATGGACAAGGGACCTTTAAATCTTTCCAACGAGTTTTGAGAGAAGCTCCACGTTGTCTATTTATTTTTGATTGGCTCCTCAAACAACCAAACACAACGTTTGAATGAATGCAATCGTTGGCGTCCGTTTTGAATTGTGCCGGTGGGCATAGTAGATCTATTTAGCTGGTGCTCACAGGTTGATTGATGTTATCGCTGTTGATGTTCTTGTTCCACTCCACAAGAACTCACTAACTTCTTGCTTGGGTTGTCTTGACGTCGCACTCTTCTATCATAGGTGATTGCCTCCTGGCTAGCTAGCTACTAGTGCAAACAGTACAACCATGGCACGCATACGCATTCCTACATTTACAGATATCCTGGAAGCATCGATGCATGTGAATCTGCATCACTTGCGATGGTTGTCCTTCTTTTTCATGTCCTTTAGTGTGACGCCACTGACATCGATTTATGTTGTTTTGAGTACCATTTGGGGAGAAACGCATCCGACGAACAATAGTAATGGCGTGTGCAGTGTCATGGCAGCTGGCGCTTCTTCGAATACCTGTTCGATCGGTAATATGATGCAACAACAAATCGAAACTGACAAGAGTCTGTCGTTGATTTGCTGGAATGCACTGTTGAAAGGTGCCGCCGAGACGGATCCGGGTCGTCATTGGACGGCGGCCATTGCCTGGTTTATGTCGACGTTGTTGGGGTTGGTGGTTCCCGCCATTCTCTATTTGTTTTCGTGGATTCGGACCTGGAGGAACGAACGCTTCAAAAAAGAACATTACGATCTGTATTGTATGAAGAAGCGACGGCGGAGATGGAAACACCGGTTGGCACAGTATACCATGGTACGTACGAAAAACACGTTGATAATGTGGGGATTTCTTTGGGAATCAATCATCAATTGTCTCACTCTTTTCATGTTCCATTTTTCACTACTATAATAGACGCTAAGAGAAGAAGATAAAGTGATTGGCGAACCTTCAGAACATGCCAAAACCACCATTGTAGTGAAACCGGACAACAATCCACAAAAAGTAGCTGCCACGTCTAGGAGTGTTGATTCTTGGAGGATACCGCCTCCAGGATGTATGGTGGACAATACTACTACTACTACATGTACTACTACTCGCACAGTCTATGGGCTGTGTGCCATTTGTCTGCACAATTACGAACCTTCCCAATCCGTTGTATGGTCTACCAATCCCCAATGCTGTCATTCCTTTCATTTGGATTGTCTTCTCGATTGGTTTGCCGCACGCCGACGCAAACAACATTCGTGTCCTTGTTGTCGACAAGTCTTCGTTGTTGCTGCCAAGAAACAACCGAAAAAGAAACCATCATCACAGCCACGGTTGCAACAACAACAACAACAACAACAACAAGTACAGGTGCAACAACAACAACACCAAGAGTCTTTTTCGTCATCAACGTCGGCCTTGTAAAAGATAAAAGAAGGGATAATTTTTTTAAAAATGTAACAGTATTCTTGCGTGTCTTAGATCTACCTAATTTCCGAACTGACGAACTGCACAAGCCGTTCTGTTCACAGGAAGGAGTCGACTCGTCATTCGAAGCCTTGCATTCTACCGTACGGTAGCAAGATTGTTGCAGCCTCGAAACAGCAACCGTCAAAGATCAACCAAATTAGAATGAATCAATCACCGCGCACACAGGCGCGGGCGATCGTACGGTTGTTTCAGCTCCTTTGAGGCAATCAAGCAAACTCCCGGGCCTAGCTTGCGACACGATACTAGCTAGTAGATCTTTCTTACTGTACACGGATGCATTTTGTTTTCAAATAAATGATAGCTGGCTGAACGACTACAGTAACTCTTTTCACAACACTACCACCACTACGGAATTGAATCTATCATACTGTAGCAAGAAGTAAGTTACACGCCGCAAGAACAGCAGCATACTGTTGCTGCGATTGTGCGACATGTTCCCAAGATTCTCACGAGGCTTCCTCGGATACCGGTTGTTCCTGCGACAGTACTTCGTCTTCTGGTTCGTCCTGATCTTTCCAAAAGAACAACAAGTGATAGATGGATCGGATCAACCGCACCACCCAGGGAAAAATGTAAACGACGAGCCGTTCGAATCGCCTCACTAACAATTTGCCCAATTGCCACAACAAATGTCGTGTGCTCGTCGATGTCCGATGTATATAGTGCTCTTGTTCGTCCACGGTATGTTGCAATGCCAACACACGTTCTTGTTCCATGTCGAGGCGTTTGCGATCTCTCGACGCTTGTTTTTGCAATCGTTTGGCTTCTTTTTGGTGTTGTTGGGATTCTGTAGAGTACAAATGTTTGGTTTGATTCAATTCGAGCTGGCATTGTTGCAGTTGTGTGATGTACTGATGTTTGGTCTGATTCAATGCCGCTTCATGCGCCAATCTCGTGTGATTCCGTTCTCGTCGATGCCGTAACTTGGTGTATTCCAATTGTTTGTGCACGGCCTCCTTGTCATTCCGTAGTTGCGTCAGCAGCGATTGCAGCTTTTGTCGATCTTGCAGTGATTCTTCCAGCCGTCTATCCAACGCTCCTCGATCGTCGTGTGCCAGTGACAATTGGTATTCAAATTGTCGTGTAAACATTGCCAATTTGTCCGTCAGATTGGCCATGGCAATCAATGGGTCGGACTGGTTGTTGTTGGTCTGGTCCGTGAATGCTGATGTGTTGTTGGTGTTGTTGTCGGTGTTGTTTTGGCCAGTTTGGCTGCCATTCAGGAACGAAGGAACTGGATCAAATTCGTGGGCATCCAAAACGCCATCGTCATTGTCATTGTCTTCCTGGTCACTGGTTGTGGTGGTCCGTGTGATGGACTGTCGTCTGGAATGGCTACTACTAGTAGTGACAAGACACCACGGAAGAGGACTGCTCCCAGACACCACATTGAGTAGAGAAGTTGAGGATTGTCCCATAAAGGCATCCACCTCACGTGTAACCACAAATCCAAACACAATGGCCAAAACAGCCGTGGAAGGACTTTGATGATGACGATGACGATGACAAATCATGATCTTGCTTTTGGATTTTCTGAAAAGTGAACAAGTCTTTGGCTTTCAATATGCAATGAACACTATAGCTACTGTTCTTGAACGACCTTCTGAGTCCTCTTTTTGTTGTGCCTGGCTGTTCTGGCTGACTCGACTTGACTCGATGTTTGTGATTGATTGACAACTTACTTGTCTCTGACTTGACAGATAGACGATGGATGAAGAGGGACAACGTGTGGATTTTGGATTGGTTTGTGGGGGCGTCAAAAGATCTTTGGCAGTTGATCCAGGATATAACCCAGCTGAGCTGTATGCCTATACCGGTAGGTACGTACTAGCTACAGGTCATGTAATGGGTCTGCGGTATGATCATCGCACCCCGCCTCCACTTCGGAACATGTACCGGTAGGTTGCAGGCAAAGGCGATGGCTCTGGGTACCGGTATCCCAGATAGGCCGACTGCATGCAGCACAGACAGGCTTTCTTCCATCCAATTTACCCCAAAGGAGGGAAGGGAGAAGGAATTGGTGTCTAGTACATTACCGCAGCCAAAGCAACGCGCCAGAGCCAATCAAACGGCCAAACCATGCCGCTCATTAGCTTTCTGCTGGCTGGCTGGATAGCTATTATTTGTTCTAAAGGTACTATCCAGCTAGAATTTTAGAACACAACTGTTGGCTAGCTAAGCCAAAATGGATATCTCGAGGTGCTTGCTAAGTTTGGAAGCTTGCTTTTCTCAAAGGGAAAACTGTAGCAGGGGGCGTCAGGAGTTCGTCAGGCCTTAGTAGTGCCCGCAGGCGTCTGGGGACGCCTACCATTGGTTCAGAGACAGCTGCGGAAAAGGAACCAATCTTCTTGAAGGCCTAAAACTCCTCCTTTGACACCGCTTTCTCCGTGGCGCATCTGTTGTGTGGCTGGCAAAGCACAAAGAGCAAAAAGAATCAAAGGCTTTAAGGGAACTTTGGAAGGTACCAGCTGCTTGCTAAAATCCAAGTTGAGATGCGTTGAAGAACTTGTAGATCTCGAGGCTCCAAATCACGTCAGCTGTGTACACTGACAGTGCCATTGTGAGATAGTACGATATTATTGAAGAATTGAAGCGAATTCGTGGTGAGACACTCCTGACGTAGAAATCCCTTACTCAGCATGATTTAGCAGCAGAGATACCACAGTCAATGTTCCCCACACAACCCCACTAAGCCACTTTTGAGCCTCAATGACGTAATTTTAACCATCGTCTCCCACGCTTGGGCAGTTGGAGCTGCACCCGACACGATGCTGCCATCTGTTTTTCCGCTGTGCCGATGATGGGCAAGGAGCCGAGATGGCAGATCAAAACTGATTTTGAAAAAACTTGATCATATCGATCCAACACCCAACATGCCCAACTCAAGTGATAAAGACGCATCCAGTGGTGCCTCGGGTCAAGGAAATGTCCACCAGAGATTGACGACAGCCCAGATCGGGAGGTACATGCAAGAGCAGGCTACTGCCAACAGACAAAGCCATGACCTTGAGGACGCTGCTAGTAGCATGGATGGCAATCGCGCCGCTATGGCAGCAAGGCTATACGCTACCATTCAAGATGTGTTGAACTTGGTCCCAGAAGATGCTGGCGAGGAATTTTGATTGACGGTGGGTGGGAAGAGTGGTAGAGCGATTCGATTCTGATTCATGCGGCGTGACAACAGACAGAGCAATCATCCCCAATCATGATTCATGCCAAGAGTTTTTGCGATTGGCTACCTAGCTACCACCATTATTTCTCATTTGGACATCCCACACACTTGGAATGCCTTGAGAATAAATGGAAAGAACACGAGGGGTACAACATTACATACCGTATCTAGTGAAGCTATTATAACTTATGGGTTGCCATGGTTTTTATCTCTGCTCTTGCTTGGTTGTGGCGTAGCTGCAGGAACGAATCGAGTTGGTATGTGCTGCTATGCAGTGTATGTAGTGGACAAACCAAGTGTGTCTTCTCCTGGAAAAGTGCTATGGATGGCACCAATGATCCACTCTTTTTGCTAGCTGCAACGGATCCCCCTTGTCTCGCTGCGCTTGAAAAGACTGGCACCCGCAAGAAAAGCTTCCATGGTTGGAGGGGCAGACTGTTGTCTGTGAACCCACAGTCAGGGAATGAAGGGATCTGAGTTGGGAGGATGACTTGAGGATTTCCTTTATGATATCATGCTCTTGAAATGATGAAAAGGATTCATAGACTTGTTGTAGGGCCCAAATGAAGCCAACGGTACTGGTACCTTGTGGAGGCCAAATGAAGCCAACGGTACCTATAGCTACCAGTGGCTGATGCCTACTAGCTAGCTGGGCAACTGTTGGCACGCTTTCATGGTTGTATCTAGCAGATCGAGTTTGAGACAGCAGAAGGAATCGTATCGGATCCAATCATCAATGATGGATACTGGTGGGATACGGTAGGTAGGCCTTGGATATGTGGCACGAAACCACACTTTGAGCAGGGTTGATTCCGATTCGATTCGATCAATATTCCAGAGCATTGAACATAATCCTGGCTCGCCTAAAGAATTCTTCTTTTCTTGCTCCGGGTTTCCACAACCATCAGACAGGAATGATTCGATTCAATCTGTGCTACTAGTCTACCGGTAGGACATGACACTACTCTAATCAGTCAGCATCCAAAAGGATATAGATAAATTGGTATGCAGGAAGCCTGTGCCAGAGTGGTCTTAGACGCTACAAGTCATAGGCTTAGCGTAGGTTATACTTCTATTTACCATCTACACTCTACTAAACAGATTGTGGCTTTGGCTCTATCTAGCTACTGGCCTCGTCATCCTCTTCATGTATTATAACAATAGCATGCTCCAAGATGCCACAGCCAGAATAACCAAGGCTAGAGACTGTGTGCTGGTTGTTGTTGTTGCGGCGCTTGTTACAGCACGGGAAACGGCTCTATCCACTTCTGGCGGCAGTGTCTCTGTGATAACGCTACAAAGGCATTGAGAAGCAATGGTCTCAATGGTATTGCAAGTCTGGTTTCCATCTACCGCTGGAGGATTCAACAGATCCCAGCATGTGACACCCACGGTATCCAGAAATCTGCCAGGGTAGACACCCGGTTCTTCTCCCTCTCCGGGACAAATGGGACACGTTCTGCCCTCATTGACATCTGGCACCGGACAACCGCAGTGTTCAGCGGCAACCACTCGTAACAAGTCGCACTGTGTGGTTCCATCCACAATTCCCAGTTTTGCCACAAGTTCCCAATCTTTGCAGGGAATGCTGTCGACTGTTCCATTCAGTGTCATATTGGGTACATCGCAGAGCGTGCAGTTTCCACCAAACGAAAATTCCACATCGTCAAATTCGGGAAGACTAAACAAATCTTGTAGCTCGGCTGGAAGCGTAAAATTTCTCAGAGATTCTCCAATGAATTCACCCAGATCCGTGAACAGCTCGTCAAAGTCAATGTCGAGGGTAAAGTTTTCCAAGCCGCCAAACAAGTCAAAGGCGTCGTCGTCGTCGTCGCCGACGCTGTCATCATCGTCGTCGCCCAGTAATTCACCAAAAAAGTCACCGACATCTTCAATGGCGTCGTTTACTTCATCTGGCAGGGAAAAGTTCACTTCAAATAGTCCTGGAATACCAACTGTCGTCTGAGCCGTTGCACTGGAAGTAGTAGTAGCCAGCAGCAATAAACCAAGTAGTAGTGTAACCACACTGCTGCGGTTTACCACACCGTATCTCGTCATGGCGGTGGGTGGTGTTTTTGTGCAACCCCTCTTCATTTTTTTGTCCAGCGCAATCGTGTCGATCTTTCAAATTGATGTCTTCACCTGGCGGGTCCTCAAGCTTGCAGGCGTCACTCCCGCAACTCCATTCTTGAATGGATCTTTCGGAACCATGCACTGCAAGTCTACAACTACTAGCTAGCTACCGGTAGTAGTAGCCTAGCTAGCTAGTAGTAGTAGTCAAGTCAGGCTAGCTAGCTAGTTGCTCGACAGCTACTCGACACACAGCACGGTCCTCGCTGTTGCGCAGGTTATTGGCAGCGCCAGTGGCTATCGATAGTTAGCGGTAGGTAGCGAGTTCGCTGGTAGGAAAGCTTTGCAATCAATACTGGTACCTTGTTACCGCACGAGTCGAGTCAAGCAAACTGGTGAGGCCGTCACTTGCTTCTGCTGCTGCAGTGAGTGAAGTCGCTCGCTTTGGTCGGGTTGGTTGATCTTTTGCTTTCACGCAAGAGGCAGGGTTGACATGTTCCAAAGCACTCTGTGCTTCAGCAATACCGGTATCTACCAGCCCACCACAGAATTTTCCCCACCACTGGATACTGCATTGCATCAAGATCGCTCCAGGAGTGTAAGCCCTGTGAAGGCAGTCCCAGTCCAATGGCTGGTCAGTAACTGTTCCTACAAAGCAAAACAAAGTACCACTGACTAGACCTTTCAATTCATGACCATCCATTATGCAAGCAGCCATAGAACATCCATTGACTCCGAAGATCAAAGTCCAGTGGTCTGACTGGCCGTGTGCCGTAGATATCTTGTATGGTCAGTTCAAAGAGGCAGGGAGCCGATGCAGGTGCTTTTTGAATGGTGTTGTCGACGACTACCTGAATACTAAGGGTGAAAGCGGTGAAAGGCAGAAATCTGATTGGCTAATCAACCTATGACATCAGCAAATGAGTCGGCGAAATTCAAATATACTTAACGTACCATTTATAAAGATTACAGGGAAACTGTGCTACCTAGTCACCATTTTCTGTTTTCGACAACAACGAAACTCGGATTCCTCCGATCGCGACCACAGGATCGACAATGACATGACATGCTGCCGCTCACATGCTGCCGCTCGCTTCAACTCGACAGTCATTATCTCAGCCAAGCAGCATCATCATGACCGGAACAGCAGCAGCAACAGCAGCAACAGCAACAGCAGCTACCACTCACAATGGAGGAATGGGCTGCCAAAGTCAACAGAGGAACTCGCAACAGAAGAGAGCCTACCAACTGGCTGCCAACAACAACAACAGATCCAAGAGAGCCAGAGAAGAAGGACCCCAAACAACACTGGGAGGAGAGGTAGCAGAAGTCTTTGATCCACTCAAGAACTGTGTCATCTGTAAGGCCAGACATCTTGGTCTCAGAGTCCCCAAGAGATCACACTCTGTCTTCTGTATTAAGAATACAGTAACAAGAGGAAGAGGAGGTTTGAATGAGCTGACAATGGAAACCATCAGAGAGAGCAGAAGACTCACAAGGCACTTCAGTGCTCCTCTTCCACTGAATGAGAGAGGAAGCTGGAAGCACTCAACAAAGGAGAATGGAGATGCCTTCTTTGCTGCTAGAACAAACACAGCCAAACCAAATCAGAGCCGGCAACAGAAGACACCCAGAACCAACACAACTCCAGTAGCTCTTTGTGAAAAGGTAACCACTCTTGTAAAGGATTCTGCCTTTGTCGAAAAGCACAAGACCAAAGGAGCACCACTGGCTATGCTAGCACTGGCTGAAGCTGTGTCAGAATCCATTATCCGGCCAAGGAATCCACAACTCTTCCACCAACATTTTGAAGGACTCACCATGACAGTTCCATCCACAGAGGAGCAATTCAAATCTCCCCATTATCACTCTATTGTTGGCCAGAAACTCCTCATGGTGGACTGGAATAGGTGTGGTATTGCTGTGTCTTGTCCTGATGGTAGATGCTCTGGCCAACTCAAGAATGAGAGGCATAACTGGTCAAAGAACAAGACCTTGTTCCCTATCTTTGGCATCACTGGAGCTCCATCTTGGTGCATTGTCATGTCAATGAAGTGTGACTGCTGCAGCAGGGTATTCAATGCCAACAGTGCTGAAGTCTTGTGCACAATCCCACAGCATGCTGCTCTCCTCTATCCTGTGGAGTCAAAGTATGCCCTTCCAAACAAGGCATGCCACTTGGACAGGACCGCCACTGAGACTTTCGAATCCATCATGTTGACCTATGGAAATGGAGAACTCTGCAGCCGCCTAATCTACAATGCAATCAACAGAGACTTCATTAGATCCATGACGTCATACTTCTCCTATTGGGAAGGAAATCAAACAGAACCAGATCCCTTTCTTCAAAAGGATGGCACTTACATAAGACAGTTTCCTCCTCTTGGTGATACCATCCGTGACATCTATGATGCTGCCTGTGCTTCAAACAGGAATCCATGGAGGATTAGTGACAACCAAAGGCACACAAGAGAGATCCAAAGTGTCAAGTGCAACAAAGGAATCTTCTGCCAAGACCATACCTTCCAGGTAATCAAGAACTACAGCAAGAGTCTTGGTGCTGGTGCTGTTTGGGATGCTGCTACTGAGACTGGAGAGATTGCTTCTGCAGTTCTGGTTCCCACCACCAAGACCATCCACTTCTCACATGCAGCCATGCAGCTAGCAAGGAGGAGCCACTTCAACCCTGCTGCCATGTACAGTGACACTTGGCCCAACAAGGATGACTACTGGGAGATACTCTTTCCAGGAATCGAGGGAAGGCTAGGCCTGTTTCATTATGAGAAGAGGATCCTGTCAACTTTGAGGAAAGGACACATTGATTACTCTCAAGCACTGACGGACCTCTTGGATTGCCTGTATGTGTACTCACCAGATGACTATGAGAAACTTCTCCATGCATTGAAACATGGCCTCTTGTCCTCCAATGGCAAGCACTACTCCATGGCAGAGATCTCCGATATGCAAGCTTCCAAGGTCTTCAGAGCTAGGTACTCCAAATATCTAAGGAAGAAGATGAGAGAACCAGAGACCATGAGACAGAAGTTGCAACAGTGGTTCTGCAGATACAAGGTGACTGCCAGTGATGGTAGCCAGCCAGGACAGGGCCGACTGGATCCAATCAAGAACTTTACCTTGTTCACTGCTGACACCAAGCCAGCAGTAGAGAACTGTGTTGACAAAGCCATTCACTTGGCTGATCCACTGCCTTTGGAAGACATGTATGACACAATCCTTCCATCGCCCAACTCCAAGCACAGCCTCCCTGAGTATCTGTCAAGGAGAGGAGAATCCAAACTGGAAGCATTCCATGACAAGTTTGCCCATTTTGCCAATAGTGGTATGAGGAGGTCTCTTGCTGATGCACTCAACCTTGCTGGAACAGCCAGATACAACCTCAACATTCGACACAAGAGAGCCTTCCTGTCAAGAATCAGTCTGGAAGAGAGGAGGTCAATTCCAGCTGGATGGGAAAAGGTTGTTCCATACTGGAACCATTCAGAGTTGGCTTACCTAAATGAGCTAGCAGTGGCTGTGGGTCTCAATGAACCATTTCCTAATGCAGAGCCATTGCCACAGGATAATGGAGAGAGGTTCTTTTCAGAGTTCATTGTTGCATTCAAACCACAGCGGCAGAAGTATGCACCCAATGATTGTTGTCTTTGTGCAGCTTGCACTGGAGCACCACGTCCACCAGCAATCGGTCCACCACCTCCAACAGAACCACCACGTCCACCACCTCCAACAGAGCCACCACGTCCAACAGAACCACCAGCAATCGGTCCACCACAGCCACCTCCACCACCAACCCAAGCAGCTGTGGCACAAACAACAAACAATTACATGAGTAACCTGCTTCAATTTCAACAACAACAGATTCAAATGATGCAACTCGCCATGCAAATGCGGCAATTCCAACCTATACAGCCATCTCCTTTCCAGCCACCTCCACCAAATGGCTGCTGTCAGCGATACTGCCAGTGGTTGACTCATAGGAGAGGAAGACCACCTCATGATGCCAATTGCCAATCTAGATTTAGTGGATACTCTGCATAGAAATAAGAACAGATAATTAGATGTGCAGTGACAAATTCTTTTCTTATGTAGCCATTAACTTACATTCAAGGTCCTGGTTGGTGCCGGTTGGTTGTTGTTGCTCTGTCTCCATCCTCCAAGAGTGTCAAAGTCTTCAAAGCAATCTTGAACAAATCTCTCACTCATGGAAACAAAGCTACCAAAGAAAGTTTTGTTGTTGTAGTCATACCAATGGATAAGATACTCATTCCAAGCTTGCACAATCTCTTGTCCTTCATTCGAGTAGAAGTCATACATGCTCTCAGCCTCCATAAGCCTCTCCCTCACCAACCAAAAGATGCACTCAATGAAGATGTCCTTCCTCTCACAGCCATCTGGTCCCTCCAGCATTTCATAAAGCGTGGAGAGCACATGATTGTACCATTTTGGACCGACACTCTTCTGAAGTCCCCAATCAAACATGTAATCCATGATGCTTGTCATTTCAGGAGGAAGAGGCTTGCATCCTCCTTGGTAGATCAACTCCTCAAGATTGGGCACTTCATTTGCTGGCCAACAATCAATCGTCTGGTGGTTGGTGAGGAGGTGTCGCTCCTCCACAATGATGTACTTGCAAGTGAATCCATGCCTTGTGACTCTCAACTCATTGAACGGATAAACATGAGCAACACTCAATAGCCACTGTGAGAAGCTTCGACTAGTAGTTGCGATCCTCATTGTCGAGATCTGTCGACAGTTGTTGTTGTTGTTGCTCCTGATCTTGCTGTTTGATGGTACGTCGATTTTGAATGGAATCGAACGAAAATAATGGGAGGGTATGGTTCCAGCGAAGGAAGAGGAAAAGCGAGTCGGCCAGGTATTCGTTAGATCGCTCATTTGAAATTTCTGTGACGATTTCAATCCCACTGACGTATTTGCTGACATATTTATTGTTCTTTGGACGTCTTACCTATGGTTGGATATTTAAAGGAAGAGGGGCGGATGACCAGGTCATTGCCATTTCCCCTCTTTCCTCTAAGTAAGAGAGTATCCGTTTGCCAGGTTCGGAGTGCCGGATGTGTGCCGACCGGCTCACTGTTCGGAATTTGGAATCTCAACGGTTAACCCTCTCCCTTTCTTTTTTCTTTTCCCTCCCCCGCGCTGGTGCCTGACCCCCCCTAAAACTCCGAATAAGCTAGCTAGCTAGAAAAGGCAGCAGGCAAGCCCAGCCGGCCGTGTCCGAACTTTCTGGTGGTTGATGTGACATTGGTGCATACTCCTGCATGTATGTAGTAGCAGCCTTTTGCCCATGCTTCAATCTCGAGCTACCAGAGTAGTAGCCACAGGTTGAGCCCCGACCAGAATGCTTTGTAATCGTAAAAGAATGATCAATCACGAAGATTGGACGCCCCTCCAGATGGCTATTCCTCGCTGGCTTGCGGCAAAACGCACTCACCTTCCAACTCCCGCGCTATCAAAAGTTGCCATCAACCAACAAGATGGTTTGCTACTCCTTGGCATCTACACTTGTGTACCGTACCGTACGGGCGACGAGACGAGAAGTAAGTGGATAGTTCAGGCAGCACGCAATCATCAGCCAGATCTGCAAAATGCTGCGCAGCCAACTAACTCGTTTAAAGAAGTTCTTGCTAGTAGTGGTTTTCTTAATATGAGTGCAACTTTCTTTTGTTGTTACTAAAATATGTGTATACCTATCATGTAGTTTTTGAGCCAACTAAGCTTTCTTCGGCCAGCTCACCCTTGGAGCATGTGGCGGCCGGGCATGGCGGGTCCACTTGCGGGGCCTGTTGGTGTCGTTCCATTCGGTCGCACTGTGCACAATGACGGGAGAAATGGTGATGAAGCCTCGGTGGATTGCTTTCGAGCAGGACGTCTTGGGGGTTGAATCTTTTTGAGTGAGAGCTCTGCGGAAAACTTGGCAGATGGTGGCAGGGTCATGCTGGATCCCCTCCTCCTCCCTGCTGAGAGAGCCAATGGAGGCAACAACGGGCCAGTCGCGTTTCTCTGATCTTCATCGTTGCGTCCACCACCACCGCCACCCCACCGGGACATTTCTCGCGTTGTCAGGTTGGGCGTGCTTTGGGAGCCAGACAAACCAGTAGTGCACAAGCCGAGCAGAGTGTCTTGATTGCTGCTCCCAAGTGCCATAGTATCTTCTTTGGATTCTCGGCGGCAGTCAAGTTCATGGCGTTTGCCATCTTCCTTTTGGTTGCAGGGGACGAAAATCGTTGTAGGAATCATCTTGTGTGGCTTTGTAGAAGAAGTTGCGACGGGCTCTAGCTAGCTGGTGGCTACGGCAGTGCGATTTGTTTCCAAGAGATGGATATAAAAATTGTGATGGATTTTGGTGAGGGTCAAGGCAAGGTCAAGGCAACCAGAGTAACCAGAGCTGTACTGCAGAAACCAGACCAGAGCTGAAGTAGATGGTGCGTCGTTTTGCTGGTCTGGCGGGCCTTAGCTGGCCAATAGTACGAGTACTGGATAGTTAGTGCCCAATTCCCAAGAAAGAGGATTCGTTGACTTTAGTGATGAAACGTAGCGGCTGTACCTGGGGCTACGGTACTCTTTAGTCGAGATTCCGCAGCTCTGGAGAACGAGTTTAGCACCGAACCTCTACGCCTCCACGCTCCACGCATGTGTCACGCAACTCGTAGTTTCTTGGACATTCTAGCATTCAGACACCTGTACTCGTACCGGTAGGGCCTAAAAGCGCCTCTCTTTAAGCATTTCCTGCATAGAGATTTCTAGTGACTAGACACTACTCAGCATCTTGCAGCTTCTAGTAGTACCTCAGGTTCTTACTGTACAATTTTCAGCATTTCTTGATAACAATAAATTGAGAAGGCGAGAGATCGGCTTAGAAACAGCATAAATCACTATTCAATAGGATGACTCGGCTCAGCTAGGAAGCTCTTCGAGGGCAGTGGTAGACGTTAGGTTCAAATATAGATTTAAAGACCACCAAAATTATTTAAATCCAGAAGGCTACTATAGACTTAAAGAACTGACATTGCTGTTTAAAGGGTTTGTTTGCCTGTATTCGTACGCAGGTGAACAGTAGAACTGTAGAATACAAAGACATATGCAAAACCAATGCTGGAAATCCAAGATTTAAAAGATGTGACCCGAGCGGCAGCTGCGTTCGACACTCTATTTCCGACTGTTGAAAACTTCTCTAATAGATTTAAAGCTCTAGCTTTGCTTGCGGAGCGCACCTGTTCTGTCCACGACAAGCATTATTCTATCTCATCAGCTTTCATCCATCTCGCAGTACTTTTTAGTATTTTAAAATAGTTTGCATCTCATTTATTTTGCGGAGTACTGAGTAAATAATGGTTTTGTTGCTGGGGATAGTAGAGAGCTACCGTTATTAATAATAGTATTAATAGTTATTAGCTAAAGCCTCAACGCCTCCATTCGCTTTTTGGTCCCAGCGTACAGTGTCCGTAGCGTAGCGTACCGGTACAGAGTTTTACTGTAACAGTAATAAGCGGACAGAATACATTATTTGTACGCACCATAGAGGTAGAAATGACATGTCAGATTTGGCAAGAATGACCCGAGTTGTTGTAGCTGTTGTTGTACTTACTTCAAAGACTCGTCAAAGATTCCAAAGGCGATTGTTAAATCAAGAAACCAAATGCACCGCGCGCACCATGATCTTGGAAGCTCTTGTAAGATGCTCAAAGATAACACTTTAAGCCCTTGTCTTCAACCAGTCCACCTATTGAGAATTCTTCTTCAGACTGTTCCGCATCTGTAGCCTCAGTTGAATTAATGTGCTACGACGTGAGAACATCTTTGAATGATCCAGTCTCATTTCCTTATGCCCCCTAACACCCTCTTGCTGGAACTCGTCCTACAAAATTCTATACATCCGCGACACCTTCAATGCGGAAGGTGGCAAGATTATAAGCCATGCTGATGCCGAGAAACAGATGCCTGCTTTTGTGATTGGTTCGATTGGATTCGATTCATTTGAATCATTCTTCTCTGAAAAATCTTGTTTGGGATTGTCACAAAATAAATAACCAGCAGAAGCTACCTCTAGCTAGAGGTACCACAACCCAACACAAAATAACACAACACTCGCCAAACAAATATACCAAACAATGATTCCTTCTGTGATCTACGTCCCTCGCTTTGCAGATGCTTGCCGCCACGATGAGTCTGACGACGACAGCAGTATCTCCTCGAATGCTACCCCTCTCTCGTCTTGTCAGGTTGTTCCTTTCGGAAATGACGCTGCATCCAGATGGACCGGATCAGGCGACTGCAGCTGCTCTGGATTGCCTACCATGCCCAAACGATCTCCACAGCAGCAGCAGCAGAAGATTCCAGCCACAAGATTCCAGTTCAGCAGAGAAATGTCAGCCAGAAGATTCTGCTGCGATGACACTGCATCGACCAGCTCCAAGCGTTTCGCACCCAGGCTTCCACCTCGCAGGAATTCCAGGAGCTGTGGTTCCTCTTCGTGCAAGTCTTCATTGACCCACAATGTCACCGTGCTTTCCGCAACAACATCCCTTCAGAGATGCAATGCTACTGCGGCCTAAAGAAAGAATGGCCAAGGGATCGGGGATCAGGGGTTATCCTATACTTTAAACTAAGAACGATATTACTAAAGGCAAAGCAAGAATACATCAGTGCTTCTGTAGATAGAAACAAGCGTTGTATAGCAGGCTTCATCTGGCTGCGACGGTGGGTGATCATGGTAGAGACCCTGGCATTGGACTCGGACAGGGCGGCTTTGGGCTGTGCAGTCTGTTTGTTCATGCTACATGCATGCAGCCAGAGAGTCACTCCAAGGCTTCATCTCCAGCCTTTTTACATGGATCCATACGGTCCCATCTAACAGGCAGGGTGTAAGACTAGCTAGCTTGTGCTCCAGTAGCTAGCAAGCCGCGCAAAAGAGGGATAGCCCGGGGTTGCTAACAACTCTCCGTTTAGTACCGTTTGCGCCACTGTGCATGGAACGACGCACCCCGTTCCACAAAGATTCGAGCTATTCCTGCGGATTAGACATCAAGACATCAAGACATCATCAAGACCAAGTCAAGATTACAAGAGTCTTTGCGCCGTCTTACAGCTCCTACTGGCTACATGTAGCTAGAGCTAGTCTAGCCGAGTACTCAGCGGTTGTGGCTGGCCACCATACAGTAGCTAGCTACGTATCTCGCGCATTGCTCGACTCGACTCATCCAACACTTCACCCTCTCAAGATCTCAAGATTGCTGGCTCTGTCGATCTGCGGCCTTTTTACACGTTTTGATGCAGAGCTGGAGAGGACGAAGGTGTGTCGCCAGGAAGGATAATCGTCAAGAAGAACTCAAGTCTGCATGCTATGCCGTAGCTACTCATCCATTCCAACACTACGAGGAGGGTCGTGGACCCTAGCTAGCTGGCTCGACGACTGGAGAATCGAATCAGTCTCCGGCGCTAGTAGAGAACAAATGAGCAAGTCGGACTAGCTAGGTTGACTCAAAACGAGGGGTGTCTGAAGCAATGCAAGATGAGACCATCGCGGCACGGGGCGGCGGATTCTGTGGCGACATCTCCGTTTTCTCGGAGGACAACGAGCGAGTACCCGCAGGTGCTGCCATTGATGGGGGCACAGCTGCCTGCATTGAAATGATTACGATAATCCTGCTTGCCTGGCGCGCCGGGAACTCGCAATTCAGTCGACGAAGTCAAGTTCATGACAAAAACGCTTGTAATGACCTCAGTAGTCGAAGGAAACTCCGAAATGCGACGTGGTCGTGCCTCAAAGGATGCACATCTGTGAAAACGTGCTTGTTCGTGTTGCCACGGCCCTCGTTCTTGCTGCATGCCATCATTGGATTGATAGTAGTCGCTACGGTCCGCCCTTTTGCAGGCAGGGCAACGAAAAGGGGGTACCTTGGCGGTCAGGCTTGTGCAATGGCAACGATTCCTCTTGCTTTGAGCGATGGACACCAAGACTCCAAACCATCATCGGAGATTCCAACCCGAGTCGATTCCTGCAGTCGTTTACATGTGCACTCCTCGTTCGCTCACATGGAAGGGTTGCTTTGGAGCCCTCGACGACGATTGCAGCGGCCGCACGAGCTAGAGATGCATGTAAGCCAGCTACAAGGTTCTTCTATGGACACTACAAGCTGTCTATTGAGAGGTTCTATTATGTCAACGAGCAAGGAAGTTTCAATTAGAGCAAGTCTCTTGTCGCTCGTCGTCTGCCTGGTTGAGTCTGAGTCTGAGTCCGCACGAGCGAGGGAGCACGGAATTGGCTCACCTAGAGCACTACACACCACCGGAACTATCCACATCAGGCGACTCAATTTTCCTTTGTTCCATCCAATACTCCAAGTTGTCAGATACAATGGGAACAACCCTTTCTTTGACTTGTGGTATGATTCCACCCAACACATCATATGCAGGTCTGATGACAAACTTAATGAATCCAATTTGTGAATCTGCCTTGAGAGTGGTGTGCCGATCGCAGTTGGGAGATATTGGAAGCCCGAGTTGCTCTTCTTTGTCTCCTTGTGCAAAGAACTCATCCATAACACGGTCGGTCCAGAGGGTTGACAGAGGTCGAGGCTTCGCCTGTCCTGAGATGTCTGCCATGTGGAGTAGGTACATTAGCACATCCCAACGGGTTTCATCGTCTTGGAGATAATCTGATTTCATCATTTCCCCTTTGATATCACTAACAGTTTTGAAATGTAGAGACATGTCAGTGTGCAGCACAGCCTTAATCATCTTGCTTCGAATGTTGGCAAGCTTGGAAGCATCCACATTGCGGAGAATGTTGAGGTCTGTCAGCTTACTGCCAAAATTGGAATCAGTACCAAACATCCTCACAAAAGAGTGTGACGCATGCTTATTTTCCAATATAGAATTGTCGTTGTAGGTGAGTGCCAAATCTGTTCTTGCATTGGCTTGAAAGGCATTGCTTGACCCAGGATGTTGCACGTCGTGGACTGCAGCTGAAAGAAGAATCGCAAAGAGCTCGAGGTTGCTTGCAAGGAGGTGATCCTCACACATCTGAAGCAATGCATGAAGGGATTGGAGTACATCAGCAGCATGAATTTCATTGTGGTAAGGATTGGAACTGATGTAGTCATCTTGGATCACGCGAAGGTAGTCGCAGAGAGTGTGCATTGGAATCTTGAGATCCGAGCTACTGAAGTTATACCCTTCAAAATCTTCCAGGGCAACCTCTTCACCGCATGCCCCGGACATGGCAAATTGAGAATGCGGAGAACCCAATACAGCCCAGCCAACAAACAGCAAAGGGTTTCCATCTGAAAGGTGGCACAGATCAAAGATATTGAAATCCCACCTCTTCAGTGAAGACCAAGAAAGCATTTTTGAGACTTTGATTTTGGTGGCGTGGGACGGTAGAGCCTCAAACTCTGGAAGAAGGTAGACACCACCTGGATCATCTGACATAGGGGATGACCCTCGCGCGGATTCTTCCATCACCTCTGTCTCGCTGGAATCCTTTGCTATATCAATGCCTGCATATTCTCGCAAGATGTACAAAGAAGATTGCTTCTTTACAGACAACTTCAACGAGTTTGTCGTCGAAAACCGAGCCAGTCCTTTCGGGACGTGGAGCATTTTGTTTTGTTTCTTTCCTTTGTTGCCACTCAAGAGAACAGCCTTCACCTTTTCCAAATTCTGACGTTGTTCCTCCGGCATTGCATTGTCTTCGCCCAGCATTTGGTTCAAAATATCAGCAGCCTCGTCCCATGTAGAATTTGTGAGAGCAGCAACTGGTAGATATATGCTCTGTCGTTCCGAGTTCGGACCTCTTTTGGATGGATCCTGCATGCTTTCCCGCACTCGGATCATTTTGGGAACAAACAAAAGCAGCAGAACGGCAAAGTTCTGCACAAAAATAGACCCGACGCGGACAATGTAGCTCACGTCGTTATTTTCTCTTGCAAGGACAATGATGGGTGCTGCCAACAGAACAACTTCAAACGTGAAAGCCACCGCAAGAGAAATACAACCACTCTCTGCAAAGTCACTGTGAATATGTCTTGTTTGATAGGCCAGAACCAGTGCAGCAAGAAGACAGAGCAGCTGAAAGCCTGCCAATGCACAAAAGTATGCAAACTGATCATCAGAGTTACAGCGCCCAACACTTTCAGTCACAAAACCATCCACCTCCTCTATGACCTCGCGGCTCCATTGGCTGGGAGAATCAATCTGCCAGGCAGTCAGGATGGCCACCTCGATAATCAGGATGATTCCTACCAGCAAAGAAACCTCTCTGATTCCAACTGCTCGTTGTGAGTTGACTGACTTGTTAACATGAATGTTGCGCCGTCTTGAAACCAGCATTATCCTGAGCAGCTTGGCAAGCAAAGGCCCAAACGTAACTGCAAAGCCTACCCCATATAACCAAGGGGAAGCCATGCAGGCTGCATCCACCATGTCAGATGCAAACTCAGCTTGAACTCCCAAAAATAGAATGGAGAGACTGGAAATCAAGCAACCCAGAATGACCAAAACCAGGAGTGGTGGTTGACTGATGCGAACCAGAACTTGTCCCTGATAGGTCCACAACCACATCACTGTGATGAGGCAAAGAGCTGCAATGATACCGAAGAGCACATATCCACCAATGAGCAGTCTCGGCAAGATGAAATTCAGTTCTTCGTCTGGAATGCATTCACTTTGCCCTGTCCTTCCTTTGGTCGTACTGCCTGTAGGACACTCTGCACAAGATTCTGCAGCATCGTAATCTCCAGCGCTGTACGTGTCAATGGGGCATGATTCACATGCACTCAGCAGAATGGCACTGGAGTTTTCTAGTGCTGTCCTGTTGAGGAAGCTGCCTTCATTGCAACCCTCTGCACTTGGGGAGGGCAACACAATGGAAGTTTCTGCCTGCAGCAGGGGAGATACCAGAGCATTGGCAAACACCACATCACTTTGATTGTTGGATTGTACTTCGTTGCGTCGTACATCAATAAATTCACCCCTCTCAAAGGGCAACCACTGTGTCCCAGCAGCACCTCTCCCAACGTTTCGCTGGTTTTTGTCAAAAGAGATCTCGCCAAAGATGGTGTCGACTTCCAGCAACTTCAGGTCACGACGGAGCAGTTCTCGACCTTCAGGTGTGGCAAAATCTTGCAAAGGGTTTGGATTTGTGGCAACTTTGTATGCATTTTGTAGGTGCTTTGAAAAGAGAATTGGGACAGTGTAGCTCACTAGCTGATCATAGGATCCATTGTATCCAAATTGTTGATATGTGTATTCCAACAAGTCCCTGCCACTGTCAAAGTATTCATCGGAATAGTTCAAGGCAGGATGCCACTGTGCACCTCCATGCATGTAAGGACGCAAGTCAGGATTCTCGTGTGCCCACTGCCAAGTGGCAGCTGTGAGCCAGATACTGGTTGGTCGACATTGGTTTTGTCTCCATCGTTCCAACAAAATGTCATGCTCAATCAAAGTGCACACAAATAGAGCAGGATGAAAATCGGGTGCCCGCGGACAAGCATTGTCGGCAATTTGACCAAGTGTTCGGTTGTCAAATTCGTTCCTGATCCCGTCACCATTATCGTCTTTGGTGGGATGGAATTCCAGGGCTTCAATATTGGTAAAACCAGAATTTTGGAGAGCTTGAATGGCAGATTGGCAGGTGCTGCGAAAGAAATCCGATTCTAGTCGATAAATGGCGCGTACTGGGACATCCCTGGAGGGATTATTTTTGGCAGCCCAAAAATCCAATGCCTGCACATTTGGCAAGGGATATGTGTCGGAATTGATGTGAATTCCAAAAACGAAAGGGTTGCTGTTGGCAGGTTGGTAAAATGAAGGAGGTCCCACTTGTGCCATGAGAATGGCTTGCACGTCCTGAGCCACCTCTTTTTCAATGGAAGCTATAAAAGAGCAAGTGCCAACAATAAATGGTGCTTCCAATTCCTTGACCAGTCCTCGTAAGAGATACTGGTGCCGTCCTTCATAACCTCTTGCCATGGTAGATCCTGCCATGACGCTGACGAGACGGAACTTGACGAAATGGTCTTGGGAAAAGCCAATGGGGACACCACCTCCCTCGTTAAGGACATTCACCCCCGTCACCGCTCCATCACGCCAGACACCACAGCGGGACGGTGTGACGTGTACCAGCGGGATGACGGAAAAATTGGCCGAGGAAGGGCCGGGGTTGATATCGGCAATGACACATGGAGCAAGATCAATCTCTTCTTCTGGGGGTAGCTGGGTCAATTCGTAGGACGAATGGGTACACCGTGGGAGAGCAGGTAGCACTTGTGCACTGGAAATGGAGGAAGACGCAGCTGCCGCCAAGATCAGCAACAGAATGGATACTCTTAGACTGCTACTATCGGTGGGAAATCTTTTCCGTTCCATGGTGGCAGAAAAGTCTACGCGCGAGAGATGTGAACTAGCTTGGTTGGCAGCCGAGGTGAGTAGAGTTACTCTCCTTGCAAGGATTGCTGTGATGAGATCTTGAGATAGGATAAGGGCAGCAGAAGCCTCCCTTGTAAAGCGCGGGGATCCAAGTTGTGGTGTGGAAGAAAGAAGACCGTAACCGTGACATTCTCAAAAATCGGGAGGCCTTCAAATATTGTTGAATCTTGGCAGCTGCCTGGTTCAGAAGTCGCGCAAGTGGCTGGTGGTCGCTTTCACAAGAAGACAACCAGCTTTGTTGCCTACTAGTAACCAGCTTTGTTGCCTTCCTTCCTTCCTTCCTTGTGGGCTGTGAACCCGCTCCTTGCCAAAGAGAAGAGAGGCTACGGGTAGAGAACCAGCTTTGTAAGATTCAGGGGGGTTTAGAGGAGGGAAATTATCAACGGAAGCCAGCCGGGGCCAGGCTTAAGCAAAGAACAGTCGAAATTCAGGACTAGGTTCTGTGGGATCAGGGGCGGACCATTATGGGAGGCAAAGGGTTTGGCGTTGCGAGATCCACGGAGACATAAATGGGTAGCTTTCACAAGGGCAATTGAGATACGGGTCTGCATGAAGAACATCATTTGAGAGTAGGAAAATTGAGTTTTGGAGGCAGTAGCAGAAGCAAGGCGTTGTAAGAGAGTCTTGGCTTGGGGGGCAAGCATGCCATCCACAGAAACAACAAAGGGATGGAAGGAAGCGCGATTGGAGTCGCACGCTTCTTTATATTTGGATATTTTGTCGCGTTCTTGTTGGGTTAAAACTTCGACGGGTTCACAGTCCAAATCAGTGACACGCACGTCAATAATAGCGGTAGTACCATGTTCGAACAAGCCGCGAATGGAAAGATCGCCACGTAAGAGCTCGGGGGCTGGAGGGGGGTTGAGAGGGGGGGAGGAAGGGGAGGTAAGGTGGAAATTGCCTTCCTTCGTTGTGGCTGTTGCAAGATCCTTCCTGGCTCAGGCAATTTGGGGACTCTAGCTAGCTAGGTTGCGTGGGATCAGGGGCGACAACCTGATACGGTAGGTGGACTTCCTGCGTGCTCTGTACCGTACCACTACTAGCTAGCCGGCCTATAGTAGCGAGCTAGCTGTACCGAAAGTAGCTAGCTAGACAACTGGTTGTTGTACCGGTAGCAAGGTAGATGCATGATAGGCAACACATTTCATCTACAACAAACAATGATAGCTATCTAGAGACTTTCCGTCAAGGAATTCTACAAAGAGCAAGCAACCGTTTCCTGCTCCTCGTGGAGTGCCTTGAGTAGGCAGCAGCAGTAGTACTGCTTTGGAACCACCTTCCTTCCTATATACAGTACGTACCACTACGAATGTCAATGGGAGATGACCACACAAAGGTTGTTTTTGATTCATGTTGTTGTTGGTCCAAAATCAACATCATAGGCCATGCACCACCACCAAGCCAGGCGCATTTTATTCAATTTGGCCCTATTCGTACAAAAAAGACGCTCATCTCATGGGGGCATGCCCCGTTTGCGATGCCGTCAGCGCGGCACGACGAAACTCTCGTCGTTTGTCCGCCGGATCATTGGTGACATCGGCCACCATGTTGGAAATACTCTCGTGACCACTCTGCATGCCACCATTGCGCGGCCCCGGCTGCGCCGCAGTACTATCCGCCGCCTGCTGCTGCAACAATCCACCCGCCAAGATACTTTGCGCGGCCGTCTCTTGATCATCGTCGTCATCACTGGAATCACCTGTATCACCACCACCACCGGGCAATTCATTGAGACTGGCAAGCTGAATTTGCGCCGCGAGTGCATTCTTGCGCGACGTGAAATTCTGCAATTCGAGTTCGGCCAAATCAAAGGCGGCATTTCCCGACAATTGATTGCCATCTTCCAAATTCTGTCGCAACGGCGAGTATCCTTGCTGCGACGCAATAAAGCTGGCGCGTCCTCGTTGTCGCTGAAATCCATTGGGATGTTTCTTGTGTATCAGATCAATTTTTTCTCGCACACCACTGAACGGAGGATACCAAACATCTTTGGTATATTCGGCGTAGAGTGCATCACTGGCCATGAGTTCATCGTAGAGTTCTTTCCATCCGGGATCACAGAGAATCCATTTGGGATTGAGTGGGAAGACAAAGCCGTCCTTGACGCGTTGACTGAGAATGGCCTGTAGTTCTTCGACATTGACGTACTTCCACGGGACTGGTTTCAATGTATCACTAATCAATAGAAAGTAATCATCAATTTCTTGTGGAAAGTAGTAATTGAAGCATTCGGATCCATGTCGGACGGCCCCGGTATCGATGAGTTGCATGGCGGCTCGTTCCATAATTCCGTATGATTTGGGATCCCCAAATCCGTATTCTGGAATGACCATGTTTCCCATCTTTTCGGCTTCTTCTTTGAGTACTTCGAGCCATCGTACGGTCCATGTATCGGTGGTTTGTTTGGAATCTAGTATTTTTTCGATATTGTCGACACACCACAACATGAGATCTTCTTGATCTCGCGGCAACTGACAACCAAACCAGAGTGCTTCTCGTCTCCACCCTAGTAAGAATCCATCAAAGTCACTGACGACGGGTGTCACGGATCCATTTTCTTCGTATGCCATGACGAGTGTTTGTGGTTTCAATGCATTGTCTGGCTTGGGATCGTACTGATATACAACGGGCATGGGAGAAGGTTTTTTCCCCTTGGCATGGTCGGCACAAGCGACTTTGAGTGTTTTCATATTGGCATCTTGGAATCCCGGTGTGGACGGACGTCCCGTGTCCGTGTCGCTGGCTCTAGTAATGTCTTGATTGAGGACACATCCGAGCCAAAAGAGTCGTTGTGGGACTTCGAGTCCATACAACTTTTGTGTCTTGACGTATTGATCGAGTTCTTCCATATCCGAGGGAATGACGAGTTCCGGGTCAAATACCATGTAGTCATTGCCCAGCGGCTCTAATTCGTCCATGACGGCTTCTCTCGCTTCGAGAGATTGATAGTAGATTCTCATTTTGGCTTTGCGTGATATTTTTTGTACTTTTTGTTTGTCGTCTTGTTCGTGTATTTGCATAAAGGGCACAAATGCCGAGAGCATTCCCCGTTTGGCTGATTTGCCCTTGATGTCCAGACCCTTGCCGACGCCCGTCTTGTCCATCATTTTCTTCATGGCTTCGTTGGACGTGGGTCGCCATACCGTCAGAATGGACGTCGTATTAAAGGCGTCGCTCAGCAACTTTTCAATGTGCGTCAATTGTCGTTTCGGAATGGAAGGACCGTACTCTTCTTCTTCGTCGTCTTCCGTAAACTTGTCTGCGCCGTCAGATGCTACTTGATTGAAGAACGTCAAAATCTTGTACCGAGGATCCAAACGGTGGAATGAGATTAGCCATTCCACTATCTTCTCCTTCAATTCGGGGCGCAGTGTGTCGGCTTTCATTGTTTCTACTTCTGATGAGCTTCTTCTTCTCTTCTTCTCCTCTCTCGTTCCTCTCTCTTTCTCGCTTCTTCTTCTCTCCTCTCTTCTACTACTATGCAATGGATGAATGAATGGATGAATGAATGAGCGGATGAATGAGACAACCTACACCACGACAACAACTACCTGGTATCTGGTCGGTGGAAGAGACCGAATTACAAAATGCTCTTTCCGACGTCCTTTGTTGTGACCCTTCGCCGGTAACCTTAACCCCGACGGGAGCCAGTCGAACTTTCAATGGTGACACAACCACACAACACCATTCATTCACCACTGCTTGCGATCTTGCCAAGTGGGACCGTACCTCCTCATTTCAAGACCAGCCCCGGATTAGGAATTACATGGACACAAACTTGGCTCAGCTACTGGCTTTGGAATGGGTAACTAAACCATTGATCTTGTGAGGTGGAGACGTTATACTAACCGTACTACATGTACTAGACTACGTCAATCTACCAGTACGGTTTGGTACACAGGAAGCAAACTTCACAGTCGAAGAACGAGGATCTGATCATGGCGGATGAGGTGGTTTGCTAATAACCATCTACTAGCTAGCTAGCTGGCTAGCTAGACTTTCTTCTCTGCTCCCTCACCCTTGTCAAGCAAGGAGCTCATCTCCTGCTCCTCCTTGTCCCCCGGAGTTCCGGACCCCCCACCAGCTTTTTGTACTAATAACCTAGTTTTGGATGGCATCCACTGAGATAGATCCGGCTTGATCTCCATCAATATCACCCCCATCAAAATGATCACTACTCCCAGTAGATTGTGCCAAACCCTACCACCGCCATTATTTCCCAACGATGACGTTTTACCCAGCAAATAATAGTCTGCCCACATGGCCAAGGGAATCGTCAAGGGAGACACAATGGCCACCACCACGGGAGATGTCATGTAAATGGCCACGGCACACGAAGCATCAAACGCATACTCAATCATGCCATTCCAATGCAACATCCACCACGAGGGTGGCCATGCCAGTACTTCTACTCCTGTCCCATGGACCACGGGCAGGATGATCCAACACAAGGTCAAATTGCACACACCCATCATGGCCAGTGTCAGTTGTGTATCCACCAAGCCCTCTAAACCAGTATTAGTACCAGTATCAGGACAGCGCGCTTCTTCAAACGCTCTCCATGCCACGAGATAGCCTCCTCCCAGGGCAGCCGACAGCAACGTGGCCAAGACTCCTCCCCAGATGTTGGAACAGGACGTGGATTCGGATTCCTCCTCGTCCTCTGCCCATAGCAGTGGCGGGATCACAATGACAGATACGCCTACAATGGAGAGCACTATTCCGCAGGCTTCCGCCATGACAAACTGATCGTGTAAACACCACACCGAGAGGCCCACGGTAAAAATGGTCTGGAGTTGGTACACGGCATTGGAAAGACTGACGGAAACACAACCCAGTCCGACCACCAACAAGACATTGAGAAACTGAAGCGCAAAGGCAAATAGAGCACAGACTGCCATGGCCCGTGGCAATCCCAAACGACCGGCCCAGTCCCGTTGCATGTAGGTAAACAGCGATGATGATCGTCGTTTTATGGTTGGTGTCATTATTAGCACCATCCCCAGCATCATGTAGTTGTACGAAAACCACGTAATGGCAAAGGGTTTGTCGTAGGCGGGCATTCTTCTTGAATCATTGGTATGTTTATCACTGCCATTCGAAATGGTCTGCAGCATTTCCCCATTGGCCACCCACGATATCAGATAGAAACAGAGGGAAATGACTTGAGCCACGCGCTTTTTTCGGTGCTTGGACGATGCTGCTGCTGTTGGCAACGTTGCCAATGGTAATAGCTGGAGTGAAGCATCATCACGATGTGCAGTGTGAACTGGGTTGGATGAAAAAGCTGAACCATCACCAATGACGGGGGTGTTGGCCCGCTTCATAATGTCAATCTGCTTCTACCAGTCGGTACTTATTGGACTGGACAGTCTAAGAACTGATCCCTCTGGCTGCATGGTGCACTTCGTGCACTTCATTTCCTTGCACTCGCATATCTATCTATGTACATCCCTTTCCTTGTCAGGAACTTCCCTCCAACTGCATGCGGATTTTCTATTCCTCATTGTCATTCTATTCGCGACCAGCGTTGAGTTTTATTCGCGACTAGCGTTGAGACAACTTGGAGGTGCTCCTTCAGCGAAACATCCATAGTAGCACGATACTTCTGCTCGAGTCCTTTAGAAGTAATGGGACGTTCAACCGCAGTGCTGCGCACCGTTCAGCTTTGGGTTCATGAATAGATTGATGCGCGTCCCCTGATTCGATTCAATAGAGTTTACGTACTAGTATTCATAATTCTTACAGTCGACCCTCCAAAACCTGCTACCATCAGCAAGTTGGAATCAAACATGACATCCTTTCTTCAAGGCTTATTGGTAGCCCTCCTACTTGCAACTCCAGCCCACTCCGTCATTCCTGATGACTCTGCTGGTACAGATGATGTTGGTAGCATTGATGACTGGATGAGGGATCAACTGGACCACGGTGATCAGCTGGTTGCCAACTTCTTGTCATCTGAAGAGTCTGAATCTTTCAATGTCCGACTCTTGGAGGAGGGTGGACAGCGTGGTTATTTTAAGAGGTGTGGAGATGACACACCATGTATTTCAGGACTTGAATGTAGGAATTCTGGTGTGGGTGGCAAACGGTGCATGCCTACAGAAGGATGCTTGCAGGAGCACTTTGTTCCACTTCAGGAAAGGTTTAATCGGGATGTCATAATTGATGAAATCTTTGCAGATGCAGGAATCTCTGTGCCTGAATTCCTTGCCAATGCCAGGAATGCCAGTACCAGGAAAGCTATCCAAGAAGTGGCAACAAGCTCACCATTCAGGACTGTATTGTCATCTATTCAATCTGTCTTCAAGAGCACGGGATTTCAGGATGAGTTTACCCGTGCTGTCGAAGAGTGTTTTGTTCAGGCAGAACAGGTTGCGGCAAATAATGATAACTCCACCAGGCAATTTGATGCTCGATACATCGGAGGCACCCTCGAAATTGGTTTGGGAGGACAAGCCTCCTGGTCTTACATGCAAGCGGAGGAACCGAGTACTGGACTTTTCAATAGGCTATGCCTGGGTGGAGGGCCTAAGGTAGGGGGGTTCTTTACTCCAATCTTTGGGGTCTTGTCGGGCAGCTCCAACATTGACGACCTTGCCTGTGCGTCCCTCATGGGCGACGTAGATCTTGCACCTATCCCATTTCCTACTCTCAGTATTGCAGGAGGGATTGGATTCAATGGTGTTCCCTATGTTGAGGCTTCGCCTTGTGGATTGGGCTTGGGTATAGGAGCTGCGGCCAATTTTTGTGTTGCTTGGAGATGTGAATAAGCTCCTTGCCACAATAACAACATCATAGGAATGATCTAGAAAATTGGCTGCTTTCACTTTCGTTTCTTTTGAACAAGTGGTGCAATCTGCTGCTCGGGCTCCTCGATGTTGCTTCTTTGTTGGCTGCTGAAGTTCACCCTTGTTGGAGATCAAGCAATTGTTTCATGAGATGCTCGTTTTGAGCTTGCTTGGCCAAAGAGACGTCGAGTAAACAGGACATTGCGGCACGCTTCCGTAGCTGATTTCCCTACTCTAAACCCCCGTACGTTACATTGTGGTGCTTTTGGTTCTCTGGGAGCACGATGAGGCAGGTGGACATGCATGGTTCTGCACTTGCGTCTTTTAACAGCTTTATCTGGCTTATTAGATGCGATCAAGTGCCGTTGATGCCGCATTGCAACTCATAGTAATCTTCCCCGTAACACATGGCAACGCTCACTGTATCTTTATCCAACGCTCACCCTTTCCCAGTCTTCGCTCCTTGGGCTCATTATTCCATTTTTGATGGCTGTTTTCTTCTTTTCGCAGCAATGAAACTAGCCCTGACCTCTTTTGTTCTTCAAAGCTTGGCAAGCTTTCTACTTCTCGCCACAACCCACTTCGTTGTCCCGGTCCATTCTATCCAGGATTTTGTACCAAGTGGCATTGATGACCAGTTGAAACACCAACTTGATCACGGTGATGAGCTTGTTGCCAAGTTTACATCTGAGGAAACTGCAGCTTTCAATGGCAGACTCTTAAACGAAGACGAGGAACGGCTTCACCGTCGGTATTATGAGCGCTGTGGAGATGAGAAACCATGCTTCCCAGGACTTGAATGCAGAGATTCTGGGACTGTTGGTAAAAGGTGCATGCCCACAGCAGCATGCTTGCAGGAGCACCTTGTTCCATTTCAGGAAAAGTTCAACATGGACACCTTGAAAGAAGCTGTCTTTTCTGAACCAGGAATGTCCATGCGTGATTTCATTGCTACCGCTAGAAATGCCAGTGGTGGCGAGGAATTGGCTACAAGCTCTTCAACCAAAAATATCATGTCAGCAGTTCGAACCACCATCCAAAACTCTGGTATGCGGGATGAGTTCTTGTCTGTTGTCAACAAATGTTTCTTTGTCCCAGAAAATCTAGTGGCAACCAATGAGACTGAATCATCCAACAAGCAAGACGAGGGGGCTGCTTATGTAGGATACATTTTGGAAGCTGGCTTGGTGGGACAAACGTCCTTGACTGTTTTGTCTGGTTGTGATAGTACTGATTCTTCTGACCAGGCCACGTTTACCAGATTCTGCCTGGGTGCAGGCCTTGTCTTGGGCGGAGAATTCCAATTTTTAATTGGTGCAGCGATGGGAACAATTGGTGACGTTGCATGTCTTTCCCTGGTGGGTGATGCAGACTTTTCACCGGGCTATTCTTTTGGTGTTGCAGGAGGGATTGGATTCAATGGTGTTTCATTTGTAGAGTATGGATTATGGGGAGGTGGCCTGGGCATTGGAGCTGCTGCAAATTTGTGTGCCACAATCAGATGTGCGTAGCTAGGCTCCAAAAGGAAAACCACAACACTCAACCCTGCCAGTCCCTTGGTTGCCAGTACGCTTTTAGGAGATGCTGCGGCAGCTTTGGACTATAAAAATGTTTCTAGGAGATGCAGTACTGTCAGCTTGAACGTTCTTGTGGTATGCCAATGGGCAATTTGTAGGCAGCGATATGCAAAGCTGTAAAGCTGTGGCCTTGGCTGTCGTCGTTGGCAGTATAACACGCAAGCCACAACAACTCAACAGTGCGCTTTTGCGACAGGAGATACTAGTAGGAGCTCGATGCCTTGAAGCACGATGCCACTTTCCGTACCATTTCTGAACTTCCAAGTTCTTTGGCTCTCCACAGATTCGATTGACTCATTCGAACATGAAGTGCTATCAAGCACGAAAGGAGGGGGGCGGGGGAGAGTGCGAGCGACGAACTGTCAACGACGACCTGGCGGACGGTTGCGGTACAAGCGTATCCAAGGTAGTGCCAGGACCACAACTGATCCCAAGGTCCAAACGTGTGGCAGGGAGGTTTTATTTTCAATGGCGTGCCTCTCTAAGGAAGTTCATGCACTGGGAACGACCGCCCAAAACTAAACGGGCGAGCTGGGAGGGAGACCCTGCCGTGGTATTGGTGAGCAAAAGCCACGTCAAAGCTGACTCGACCCGACTCGAGCCGACACGAGGTCGGGGAGTTCAGCCGATACTACTTGCACGCAAGAAACCGATCTGCTGCGGTGTGAGTAGAATGGCGCTGCGGATCCTCTCGAACATCAAACAGTGCGCATCCGCCCTACAGAATGGTAGCAACTCAGGACGTATTGCCGCCATCGTAACATAGGGGGTGGCGGTGCGACGCGTCTTGAAGCAACGAACCTGACGCAGCGTCAGCGGTGCGGTAACTAGCTTGACAGGGTGCGCATGTGCATAGGCAAAACTCAAACCAAGGAATAGTAAAATAGGTTGCTAAAATTTGATTACACCCCAACTTCGGAAGATGCAGGCCCATGATACGGGCCAGTCTGCCTTACGAGGTAGAGTGTGATGTACATGCAGGCGCATCGAAGAGCCAGACCAAGACAAGTCTGTCTTCAGAAGCAAATGTGATTTACATGCAGAATATAGAAAATGCAGGCCCAGGATACGGGCCGGTCTGTCTTTCATGGGCAGACTTGTTTCTCGCCCATTTTTCGGTTGCCACATCGCAACCTTTGGCAAAGTAGTTTGTCCTCCGGTCTTGTTCAGCAGTCACAAGATGCCGCGTCGTCACCTCCCACCGATTCGTCGTCAAATTCATCTTCACTCACACAGCTATCGTAGCACAGACGCCCATCAGGTGCCGTCCCAAAATCTTCTTCATAGTCCCTCAAGTACTTCTGGACCAGTTGGGCTCCCTTCTTTTCCCACTCCTTGCGATTGATCTGGGCATAGTTCAAGAACTCGTCACTGCTAACACCGAACACACCACATTTGAAGAGCTTCTTTGCCAATGGGATGATGTAGAAATCAAAGAATCCTGGAGAAGCAAGAAGGCGAACAGAAGAGAATTCATGAGTTCACGGATGCAACAAAGTTGAGCTTCATGCATGAGGACGAACTCAATCTTACCCATCTCTCCCTCATACCAGCCAATGCTTGGATCTTTTTCCAAACGGCCAGCCTTGTAGGCCTTGTAGAGCTCCATAAAGAGTCGTTGGTTCTGTTGGTTTTAAGCAAAGGAGGGGCAGCCAGTCATGCAACGTGAGCCACTTGTGTCTATGGCAGCTGGCACAGAGGCATTCAAACATTTTGATCCTTACCCATTTGGCATAAATATGCCAATGCTGCATAGTGTGGGACACTGCATGGCAAGTGAATGAGCGAGGTCAGAGACTTGACTTGGCTGGCGGGGCAGACTACTTGTGTTTGATCTTCCTTGCAACTTACCATCTGAAGCTTGGATCAAGTGCTCGAGCTGCAACGGTACAGGCGCCGATGAGATGTTGGTTGTGCATGTTGACGCAACGACGATTCTGGGTACTTACCACGATTGTAGCCTTGCGGTTGACTGTAGTCGCCTTGGGCTCCTCTTTGGGTTCTTCGTTAAAGGCCACTTCCCAACGAGCCTTCCTAGCTCCACCCAGTTGCTTGTCCATGATGTCTGTGGCACACACGGCTGGAGAAAACACAAACGTTGTAGACATGAGGGCCCCAATTCACTGTGCAACGGCTGCAACAGGCAGTTGGGCACTTACAATTGACCACCAGCTCGCGGAACCTTCTGAAATCAAGCTCATCGCAGCAGATTGTTTTGAGAAGTTTGTCATACTTGGGATCTGCAAGAATTTCCCATGTCAAATCGATGGAGTTCTAACGCATGACGTTGTCATGTGTACAAGCAAGTGAGTGTCTCAAACGATGTGATGCTTGGCTGGGTACAGGGCATCAAAGCACAGCATCACTTACCTGCTCAGCAAGGCTCTTTTCGTGGTATTTCTTGACAAGGGGGCTCCCTTCGTTCATCAGGACTGAGTTGGGTACACCCTGGTGATCCAAATCATGAATCAATGCACTGAATGCACAAGCAAAATGGGTAAGGGGATCCGAGGTGATTCCAAAAGTATGACTAGAGAAACGAGAGAGAATCCACCATGTGAGCAAGTTTGAAGGGACACGGAAACAAGCCAACAACTGAATGCGATGCTTACTCATGCAGTTCAGACTCCAATTTGGATTCATCCTCATAGTCGCCCTTGTGTTTCTTCAGATGGATTTCCGTTGGATTAATGATGCGTGAGAGCATCTTCTGAACACTCATGCATACATGTGAAGCGTGTTCAACTAGAAAGTGCAAGTAAGAACGTCGGAAGCGTGAGAGCGACAAGCCAAGCACACTGTGCGCCAACTGGCTCAATCCTTCTCATGACTTACAGTTGTGGAACGGGTTTGTGTGATACTCCCCAGCAATGCTTGTAACCAAGTCTCGCAATTGACCCACAACCTCTGCATCGAGTTCGATGCGCTCTGGATCTACCTGCTTCTTAATGGCTTTACGATCCAGATCAGGGAGCTTGATAATTGGGACAACCTCATCAAGTGGCATTCGAGCATCGCCATGTTGATGGAAATCTGCGACATAGTCCTTCCGCTCAACCATCGCTGCAGCTCGGCGGGCCACAATGCGCTTGAGTAGTTGGCCAAGCACCTCGGCATTCCAATCAACCAGACGCTGCATCTTGGTGTTTTCCATAATTCTTAGGTTGCCCTGATCTCTGGGCACGACAAAATTGGATCCGCGGGTCACTCGTTCATCAAACTCAGCAGACTGTTGTGATCCTGACAAAGTCTTGAGAAAGTAAGTTTGAAGGGTTCCTTTTCCCTTTGCGGTGATCATTTCTTTCCTCGGCACCAACCAATCCTCCTTTCCCGAATCCTTGAGGTGGTCTGCAGTCTCTTGAGACACTTGGATCTTATTGCGGACTCCCGTTGATTCCATGCGGCTAGCTGTGTTCATTGTGTCACCTTTGATAGAATGAAAACAGGAGAACAGAAACATTGAGCAAAAATCACTCCGACAACAAAGAAGAATGCAACCATCCATCCTTACCAAACAACTGGAAACGACCTTTGTCTCCTCGTAGGACTCCAGCCTAGGCGAAATCAGGTTCACGAGATAGTTAGTGGGCTGAAGATAGCAGAAGAATGAGCCATGTAGGTGATTCCAGTTCCTTACCGTTACTTGGCCTGAATGAAGCCCTGTTAAAAGCAAAAGTTCACATCAGTCAGAAATATTGAACTGGACCGCCGGAGGGCTTAGAGTAGCTCCAAGGAAGAAACTTACCAACTCGAAGACTCAAGTCTCCAGTGTCCGGGCCTAGCGACACCTCTAGAGCTTTTACCAGCTTGTGCATGCGGTAAAGGCAGTCTGTAGCAAAGCGGGCCATGACAACTAAACAGCACAAGGAAAGAAACGTTAGCTCGTTGCAGCTGTATCTCTAGCATGAACAGCGGAATGCTGGGACAGACTTACCGGCATGATCTTTGCGCCTCTCAGGAAGCCCGCAGACAGCAACGTAGCAATCACCGACTGTCTCAACTGCGTGTGGAAAGTGAAAGGAAGCGAACGGTGAGCCGCCAAAAGCAAGGAAGAAAAGTTTATCTCCAATCAGCCCGTACCCTTGAAAACTCGCCGGCGTGCCGCAATGTTGTCATACGAATGATACTGTATCGAAAGGAGGACATTTGTTAGTTGTGTGATAGCTAACTTCTATGTATCCATGAAATCCAGACGTAGATGTTCTTACCAGAATTTCCAGCAAGGTAAACACCTGTGGCAGCAGATTCGACAAGGAGGGAGACAAGTAAAAGGATGAGTCGGACGATTCCCTCTTTTCTAAAGCAAAGCAACCACATGGTGAGTCATCATACCTGATACGGCTCGCGGACAGATGACCACGCCTAAAGGTTGGCAGGAAGTTGTAAGCATGCGATTCGTAAAACGGCGGGCACAGGCACCAGAGCAAGCAATGATTGAGGAAACTAACCGTAAAGCCCACGAGATCAGCAAACATGATGGTCGTGTATGGGTGCAATTCTGCAATGGGTTTGCTTCCAAAGATCCCCTCACTGGATAGGTAGCCACCAAGCTTGTTTTCAGCCAGTCCATGCTGTCCTCCTCCAACACCGTCCTTGAGGAAGACATCTTCTTTCCTGGACGCCCCAACTAAATTGTTTCGATTCTTGGCATCTTGAATCATGCGTTCGCGGACGTTGGCAGGGAACAAGTTAGAGACAATGGCTGCTTCAGCAGCCGCTTCAGAGAGGATACGATTCATCTTGATGGACTTTCTCATGTTGTGGAGCATCCAGATGGAGAGCAAGAATGCTGCAACAAAGATCATGACACCACTTAGAACTGCCAACATAATCGCTGGTTCATACGAGTCATCCACAGGCACCACCACAACTTTCCATGAACGTTGTCCCACAAAGATGTTGTGCTGATAGTACAAGTTGGGATCGCTCTGCTGCTCCAGTTCCGCCAGCGGGATTTCGGGGAATTTTGACAATGTCCGATTGTCCAGTTCTTGAGAGTCCATTCCATTCTTGATGGTAGAAGTTGTGACATCAATCTTGATTCCACCCATGAATTCAGGGGGGAGCTCAGGATCCATTTCGGTGATGGTGGAGTCGTAGAGGTAGGCCCCCAAGCTCACTCCCTGTGCACTAGCAGCTCGAGCCAAAAGGGAGTTGATCTGAACAATGATGTTGCTCAGGTCCACAGGATGTGTGTCATTGTTTTCAATCGACACGGGTTTTCCAGGATGGTAGAGGACGACAGAGTACCCATCTTTCTCGAGGGTGTGAGGAACAAGGACGAAGCGGGCAGTCATGACAGGGACAACTTGCTCCAATGCCGTGCGGATGACGGGTTGCTCATATCCAATACTCCACAAATCCAAATGGGTGGCAAAGCCTCCATTTTGCCAGGGCTCAACAAAATGGATGGGGAAGTAAAAGGGTTGCTCGGATCGGTTAAGCTGTGCAATCTCACCTTCTTCACCACCTGGTACCGGTTCCATGCCAGTAAATCCACCACTATAAAAGTTCCTGGGGTCATCACGGTAGTATTCTCGAGTGGCATTCTCAATCAGAGGTCTTTCGGCTTGAGTAATGTTGGGGACCCACTCAATGACAAAAAAGTCAAGTCCAGAGCTGTCCAGGTACTGGAATAGATCTTTGAAGTCATCACGGTTGTAGCCGGAAGCCCTCCAATTGTGACACGCATTGTGCACCCACAGGGCCGCCGTCTCATAGTCACGCCAGCTAATGTCAATGCTTTCCGCCAAGTCAGTGGCACGACGAAGAAACAAAGACTCCTTTTCCTCCTGTTCATTGGTAATGGCCACAAAGAGAAAACTCACGGCAGCTACTGCACCCATGATGGTCACCAAGGCAGCCATCAGAACGGTGCGCTTGGTAGTCTTTTCAATGTTCATTGACTGCGTTTTGATCTCATCTTCGCGAGACATGTTCGCTGTATTCGTCGTCGTCGTCGTCATGGAAGAATCATTGTCTCCTGCTCCCGACGAAACCGTCTTACCGTCGTAGTCGTCATCGGAACCGCTGTTCGTACTCATACTCAACACTTCCACGGCACCTTCTCCTCCCGCTCGAGCTGAGGACGCTGGAGATGAAGACATGGTCTCAGAAAGATAGATCGATAGATAGATTTGTAGATAGAAACTGTTCAAGCAAATGAATGAAATGAAGGTCTCTGCAAAAGAGGTCTTCCAAGTTCCTTTTATGACCTCCACAACCAAAGCGCTTTAGTCAAAATATGAGCAAACCTTTTGCCGGCACATCTTGCTACTATCTTGCTTCTTTTTCCCACCACGGAACAACAGAAGGCTTCCCAGAAACCTGGGCAGAGACCACTGAAGGTTTCCACCTGCACCGGCTTCGCATCTAAGCATTAGAAAGATGATGGCGACCATAGCTCTGGCAATCATCAAGATGAATAGTCGAATGGGGAAGATTGGCGTTCTAGTTCCAATGATGACTGAGAAGGGTGAACTCTTTGATGACCCCATTTTTTTAACCGATGCAGCTTTTCAAACAAGGTGATGACTGTGATGACAACTAATTTGGACACTAAAGAATGGGGGGGAGAGCTTTTTGACCCAAACTTGAACCTGTGGTGCCAGTGACGCGAAGGCAGCTTGCGAAGGAACTTTATAGCTACCGTACCAGGTAACTAGCTAGCACAACCATGTTGCAGCAGAGAAGCAAGGATGTAACTTGAAGAATGAGACGCCTTGGTACTTGGTAGCTACATGTACCGGTACCACCACTATACCATCCTCTAGTAGCACGAACGATGAATGGGCGAGAATGCAAGGCGGGAGGATGATGAAAACCATGCTGAGCGAGCCCGAACAATGGTGCCATTGGCAATGACGAATCCCAATGACTTGTCTATGCCATCATCTAAACGAACCCGAAGAAAGAAAACTCGTTGCATCAATAAAGCAGATACGGCTACAAGTAATAGATGTATGAAGCCGCTGGCTCCGATTTCTCACCAGCTTTCCCTCGCAAAGATTGGATTCATTCGCTCCTCTGGGTTTGGGTCAAAGAGAATTACCAGTACCGGTACATGTACGACTGTACGCCGCACTTTCAGATCCCTGCAAGGCACTTATCAGCTTGATGGTAACATCATCTACCAACCTACTAGTCTAGCTTTTCGTTTGAAACTACCATCAACCGCTAGAGTTAGAGGCTTCCTTTTGCTTGACGTACATCGTGTATTGGTGGTACATGCATCGAAGGGGGGGTACCATGTACCATGTACCATGGCACGGGGGTATCCAATAGCGGTGCTTTTAAAACAGAGGGGACCATGGTGGCCATTGGGACTTTCGGGGTCAATGAACTTTTTTCAATGGTTAAGACTTAATTAATGAAGCTTCCCAACTTACTTTCTCCAGGATCCAGCTTGTCTGCACCTCAAGAGTTATGAAGCGGTGCAAAGAAAAGGGTTCTTATTCTCAGAATGACCCAGAAGAAAAAAAAACAGCACCACAAGATTTAAGTTCAAGCTATTTTGTAGACCTGACCTGTGACCTGTAATCTCGGCATTCCCCGAGCAGAGTTCTTATTTAACAACCGGTGCCGGCACCATACTCTTCCAACGATTTAATCATTAGAAGAAATAAATTTTAATGGTAGTCTAGCTAGCTAGGTGAAATTTCTAAATCTTGTGAAATGGCCTTCATCAAGTGGCCACCGCTCAACAGGTTTTCCCTCTCCACACAAGGACTGAGAAGCAGAAGCACAAAACAAAGAAGCAACAAACTTGACTTTTAGAGCTAAAAGAGTTATCTATGTCTGCTGGCAATCTTGCTACCTGCTGGCTATCTTGCCACATGTACCTGCTGGCATCTGCTGTTATGGTTTGCTGGCTGGTAGTCAGAAGTCAGAAGTCATCAATGGCCAAAATTAATCCTCTGTTCCCAGGAACTAAACTTGCAATGGCTTCATTTCTTCTCAAGGCATACTCTAGAGCTACTATTTGGGCAGGGCCCAGCTTGAGACCTACTGATGACCTGACGAGGCCCTCTTCGCCGGCTCTTGGCTGAGCTGTTCAGTTTTGTGATGCATGCTGATAATCCATCTTATCTATCAGCAGGGCTTCTCGTTGATTTGTAGGGCGGCCTTTTCCCGAAGATCTTGCATAGCCTTTTTCGTTCCACTGGCTACCAGGTACCTTGCAGGTCGTGGTGCGGAGAAGTGGACCAGGCGGACAACCTCTTGGCACCTAGAGTTTCTTGCTCTCTTTCGTCCTACCGGTATGTCTCCTTGTCCGCCGTGGCCTCCTAACCAATCGTTAACATGCTCCTCGCCAGCTCGAGCACACCAGAAACTGGGCGTCGAACAGATGATAATTGCGAGATTTAAGTTCTTGGCAAACGGAGGATGAAAGGCTTTACCTTTTACTAGCTACTGTCGTCGTACTGTAGCTAGTAAAAGAGCTTCCTTCTCGTGCACTTCTGCTACATGACAGGAGCCCATAGCAAGAGACGCGGTACCGGTAGACCAGTGAGATAAAATGATGCTGCCAACAAGTAGTCTAAAGTCTAAGGACTCAAAGTAAAGTCTTTTCATCCTCCTCCTCCGCTTATTATAGACTCTGCAACGCACGAGCCTCCGGCTCCACCATCCGACTTAAGATCACGGCAGATTCGATTCGATGATCCGAGCCTGAAATCGAGTACTATACAACGTTCGCTGGCTTAATAAATTGAGACCGTATCTTTCATCCGTGCATGGAAGGCACTCAAGATGACAGTGTCAAGGCAAACAGAATTCAATCGAAGTCAATCAATCGCTGCCATCCTTTTCTTTGCATGAAGCTCCACTTTTTAAAATAATCCTCATCAAGCAAAGCAAAGCATGTCCTCTTCGCTTTTGAATGATCTCTACGCCGTGTCGGAAAACCGTGATTTGTTTGAGCGGCTCCAAGATGGTGTTGCTGCTGGGGAAATTGCGACAAGCCCCGTCGCAACAACAGTTCTCCAAAAAGCGAGAAACGCAATTCTCACTTGTTTAAAGACGGAGAGTACCGTAAAATTGGAAAACTTGATGCGAGGGTCTTCCGAGGATGCCGAGAATGGCAAGATATTGCTCCTGGGAGAATGCATTTTGGCCTGGACGGCGGCCCAACCCAAAAAGTACAAGGAGCTCCTCCGTACTGTGATTACCGAAAATCTTCGACGACAGGCCACGGGAATCTATTTGCGAGCTTGGAGAGAATGGCTCTCCATTTGGATTGAGCAATTGGAGGGCACTATTAAGCCCGCTGAAGTCTTGAATTTGCGATACATTCTAGCTGGTTGCACCGATCAACTCCGTCCCGGGTTGGTGGGCGAGTCCTATTACAAACTTGGAAAAATGGCCGTTGCGGCGGGAAAATTAAAGAATGCCAAGCGGTGCTTTAACTGTGTCCGTATGGACCTGGGGGACAACCTGACCAGTCCATTGCCGAACCATCTACGTTTTGAGGTTGGCGCCATTTTGCACTGGTACCGCCTGAGCTGTGAGGAACTCATCCAACTGCAGCCAGAGCAGGAGGCGTCCACTCGGGCCGACTTGGAAACGGTGGTGAAACAAGATTTGGCCAAAAGCGCACCTACGGTCGTACCGAACGGTCCCATGTGGGGGCCAATTGCCAAGACGTACTTGTCCAGGGAACACTACATTGGTGACATGTTGGAAGAGCTTCAGGCTAGTAGCAGCGACGCCCCTACGTTGGCCAGGATCTGCTACAAATACGACTTTTGCCACGAGATTGATGATTACCTATTTGCGATTGAACGGTTTACACTGCCGGCAAAGACGCGCTCAAACTATGAACCGACCGTCCAAGAAGCTATTGATGTCTTGCAACGTAAGAAAAATGGCAAGTCGGGCCGTCTCCCCAGAAATCAACAGTCAAGACAAGCGGCACCGGCACCCGCTCCTCCACAAGTACCAGACCCTGGGCAAGGCAATGATGAGGACGATGACCTCTTGACGCAGTTTCGAAAAGCTGTTTCCGATCCTTCCTTCGAGGTTGCCACCGCCAGTTACTTTTTGGAAAGATGTAACAGAGATGTCCAGGCTGCTGCTGCCCTGTACTTTGAAGAGAGCCAAGACCTGTAAAAGCAAACCGATAGCAAATTGTAGCTATAAAAAGTCGTCAGAGGGAATGACCGGGCCGTTGGTGACCATCAATGCTGAAACAAGAGAGGACGATGTCACGGTAGGCAGGGAACATTTTCTTTTTGGCAAGTTGGTACCAGAACATGTATATATACATAGATTAAAATAAGGTTTTGTGGAGTAGGTAATGTATCCCTCCTCTCGTTGGAGAGAAACATGGAAGGGTCTTGGCTTTGAGCGCGTAAAAGTGACGCTCTACCCATTCGATTTTCTACCCATTCGATTGATCATTCGATTCAATGATAATTCCTCTTCTGGCTCTATTCCTGGTGAGCTTGAAGTGATGGATTGAATCGTTGTTCAGAAACCGAACGTGAGCAACAACTACTTTGTTTGTTGGCTTGCTCACTTTATTCCTCATCTTTGGTTTCATCTTTGAACTGGGGCAGCTTGGCTGGCTGGACTGGACACCTACAAGAACCTCCTCTTTCATCCAGTCTGGCTGCTTTTATTGCAAGATGGATCAGCGCTGTGGCAGAGCACTCAGCCGCAGACATCACCTTCTGCTGCGTTTATGAAATTCCGTGAGTCGGGTCGCAGCAGGGTGATGTCTCTTTTGATTGAATCAATATATCCCGAACCATTTTCGGTACCTGATACTAAACCGCTGCCGTTGCGGAGCTATCTAGCTAGCTGGGATATCTCTACTACACATCAGACACTTTCTTCCATTTCATGGATATACAATTCTCCTAATTTTAATCTATCGTTACAGTTACTACAAATCTCCTATGGTCATGTCATGCAAGCAGCTTTTTCAGCTGCTTCTTTTTTCGTGTGCGTTTCATTGGTGGTTGTCAACAATCATCGTCGTCTATTTCTCTCTTTCTTTCATTATTGGACTTCTGGAGCGGGTTGTTCCTTCTTTTTCCCTCCTCCATGTCCACCTTCACCGCTCGTGGCAAAGCTCAAGTAAGCATTCCATGCCAATTCGACCACGTTGGTGAATAGGACTTGGAACTTGACGGGACAAGCATAAAAGTTGAGGTATTGGGCGGGAATCCAGAGCAGCCAGCTGTGTAACACAAGACAGAAAGAGGAACAGAAGTTAGTTTTGAGGCGTCTCCAACTGAGTTGCACACTGAATTTGTTTTTGAAAAAAGACACTCACTTGGCCATCATGACATCGGGCAAATGTGTAGTCAATTGATTTTGGATTTGATTTCCCGTCACATGCCCATTGGCTTCCATGGTCCAGAACCCGGACAACCAAATGACAAAAAAGACGGGTGTCCAAACGAACTGATCCAACGCCACTCGCTTGGAGATTTGATAAAAGGATTGTCCGCGCGTCCAAGGATGCACCGCCATGCCGCCGTACCAGTAATGCGACGTGGGTGCCACAAACGTCAATCCCAGCACAAAGAAATGAAAACTGCGGCGCACGTCCCATCCGTGTAACCAAAACGACGTCTTCTTTCCATCGGTGGGCGTAAAGGTTCCCGCTTGACACAGCACGTCTCCGGTCGCGGCAATGATAGCTCCCGTCAATCCTTTCGTCATGAGGGGATGAGTGACCAACTTGTCGCTGTACCAGGACTTGAACTGTTGCCACCATGATTGACGTGCGGACTGGACCTGGACTTCAATGGGGAGTGCGGCCGTGTTGGCCATGAAGTAGGCTTCCTTCAGAGTGGACTGATAGCACCGAACGGCTCCGTGAGCGTGCTTGGACTTTTGTTGTTTGGGGCTACTGGCCTTGGTCAAAAAGACACGACGATGCGCCGTCGTCAAGCGGCGAGTCATCAAGCGTTGAGAAGCAGCCGTAATCATCGTGGAGAATTTATAGTAGTAGCAGTCTTCGTTACAAGATCAGCGAACTCTTGTCCTCTGTTCGATAGAAACAAAGAGACGAAGAATGTGAGTATCCAAGCTAGCCGCAGTCGGTCAGTCCAGATTCATGCGAAGACGACTGCACTGATCAATGGATCGATCGATCGTACCAACAACAATGTCTTCTTTGACACGGCCTACTAGCTAGCACAGGCACCATCAACCAAGCAGGTGCTCGGAGTGTGAGAGGACTGGAGCCTTGATTGCTGGTCTTGTTGGAGTTGACATCTTGCTCTCACAGATTCAAGGAAGGAACAACCCACCTGGAATCATCAGTCCAAGCAAGCGACGAGAAGCGAAAGTAAAGCGTTGACACTGGCAGATGGACGTCTTCTCTCATCCGTGGATGGAGTTGACATTTTTAGCAAATTCCAAAATCCCTTTTCTCCTTGGGGGTTTTGTACACGTCAAAGGGGAATCAAGGATCAGGAGGAATCTCAAGTCATGGGCGAATCTTGACGGTATTGAATCGAATGATGAATCCATCCGGATTGATCATTCCATGACGCTTTCTTCCTCCTGCTCCAACGAGAACAGAACACCCAAATGGCCGCAATCACCCGAGAACTAGAATCCAGAACATCGGGACTTCTATTCTCGTGAGTGGGCTTCCAATCAGACCACCACGTCTGCACCTATTCCGTCTTGGTCAATTCAGTCAACCAAAAGTTGAAGAATTTGAATGGTGGGAGGGAAACCACGTGGGCTCTCGGACCACCGGTACAAGTGCATTGATGAGAGGCATTGCTAGCTAGAGTAGCGGTGGTCCAGCACAAGTGCAATCTGAATTGCCTGAAAGACGATTGCTCCGGCATTGGTGTTGGCTAGCTGGAAGCAGTTGCAATTGGGTCCGAGATGATGCTCTGTTTGTCAGCAGGTCTCCTCCCCCCCCCCCAAGCCACCCCTCCTTTTAAAACCAGGTATCCAGCTAGGAAAGTTGTCATCTCTTTTGCTATGTCATCCAAGTTGCCAGAATCCAGGAGTTCCAAGGATGTCGAGATACTGCCGCTCCTATAGATTTCTATGATCAGATTTCGTTTAGAACTGTTTATTTATTTCTTGTACTACTATGTTCTTGAATGCATCCTCTACTTGAGCAGGCAGCACTATCATGCAGTCAGCCAGCCAGTGTCAAACTGAGTCTAGCCAGATCTTTGGACTTCACTCTGTTTGAGGACTCGTAACGGCACGGTAGACTTCTCCTGAATACTGCCGACGCAACTTAGTCAGGCCAAAGCTGCACTCCTTCTACGGTACCTGAACTGCTGGCCAAGCAAAGACTGATATGTTGCGACAAGCCGATGTTCCCCACCTTGTACCGGTTTCTTTGTTCCTTGCTAGTATAGCTCTGAACACTACGTACATGTACCGTAGTACTTGCTATTAAGATCGATTTTGGACAGTCGGAAGGAAAAGCAAATGTGGAGAGTTTGGAGCGAAGAGATTTGCTTCTATGTGGCAGATTGCTTCTTGCTGCACCTTCATTGGCATTGGAAGGCGCCAGATGGGATGGAGCAGCTATACGGTAGCTTTCACTGCAACAATCTTCTTGGTGGCTACTTCCTTCCAGATGGCTTTTGTAGCAATCTCACCCGCGGGTCCGCAGATTTCCAGTTGTTCTGGCTCTTGCTGTGAAGGTTTCAAGTTGTGTGCTGGAGGAAGAGGAGTGGATTGTGCTGCTGCTGAATCCGAATTGGATTCGAGAGAGAATGATTGTGGAGGGATGGATCATGCTTCCATCTTAGTATTGGTTCGAGAGTCGAGAGAGAGCAAGCTTAAAAGCTTTGGTCCAAGAAGAAAAACTCGAGTTTGTTGACCTCTGACATACAAAGCGTTGGTCGTGAGTCGTGAGTGAGATTCTTGCATATTTAATTAATGGCTTGTTCTCTTGCAGCTGCTCCAAAGAACAAGGGGGGAGCACATCAACGTACAAAGCACTCCAAACGTTGTCGCACGGGGTCCTGTACCGGTAAAAATCCGGTACGGTAAAGATCTGGTACGGCACGGTACCGTTTTGGGTGCCACGACACCCCACTGCATTCACTTGGGGGCTTCTACAATTGTGTTACTGTACCCATAGGACGCCGCGCCTCCTATTAGAGTAGCTCGATGGCCCAAAAAGCTACCTACTAGCTAGACAACAATCGCGACAAATCTTTCTTAGTATCTCTTTTCTTGGGCATTGTGACGACATTTGAGGATCAATCCATAGCATCCACATTCGAGTAGAACAGTTTGAATGATTCTCTACAACTCTTGCTTCTTCTCAGCACCATCTTCCATTCCTTGCAACTTACTCAAGCAAGCCAATGTCTTGTTAGGGAGATCATAGTAATGGGTCATTTTGGCGACTTTGAGGACAGAGCCCACTTCCGCAAACTCCAACACATGAGCTCCAGTCGCAATGCCCATCATGCAGTCAATGTGAAATTCTCCAAAGGCAGCCAAACTGATTACCATCTTGTTGGTCATGAATGGGCGGAACTGATTCATGACCTTCAAAGACATTCCCGAAAGGTATGGTTTCCAGGATGTTTCGAAAAAAGTTTTAATGTCAGCACCTTTGTAGTTGGCGCCGTTGTCAACAAATTCAAGATCTTCCTTGATGAAGGAGCCGATTGATTCCTCAAAGGGCTTGCGACCCGCAAAATAGTCTTCAATGTTGCTCACGTACATCGTCGGGATGAAGGCGTCCATTTTGGCTTGGTCGATCAATGGTGGACCAGCAGAGTCATCAGTTGCATCGATGAAAGGGAGCAGCAAAAACACAAGAAAGGTGAGCTTGGCGGTGTGGAAAATTGAAGCAGTAATCATTTTGTTTTGTCTTTGAGATATGATCGGACACCGACAGAAGTAACTTTCTCTGGAGCTTCGTGAGAAAAACAGATTTTGAAATTGTGAGAGCTCAAGCGAGAAGTCATTGGCAAACTTGAATGAATTCGCAGGAACACTGCACCTCGCGCCCCGCGATAACAACCCTCCTTTTCCCGCGAATTCACCTTGTTTGAAGCATTAAGAAGTCCTCGTCGTCACTCCGTGCACAAACCGGTACCGGTACGGTACTAGTACATGTAACGCACCGTAGTACCATCATGGGTTAAAAAAATCGTTCTTCTTCATGAAAGCCTGCTGCCAGCTGCGTATCTCTACTAGCTAGCTATTAATAGTTCCTCTAGCCACCGGTATGCATGAACCTCGACAAGAGACCGACTAGCCACGGTAGAGTGGTTCAGGTGACTGAATTGTATTTGCCTGTCGGAACATGTGCGGGCTTTGTGGACGCACGGCACGTCAGTAAGTCGGCGAGCAGGTCCCCAATCCCACAAATCAACCTGTACCCACCCCGACCGCCGCCAACTACAACAGCACCATCGGTCTGGTCGTCTTCCTCTTCACGATCTCGAACACGGTCACTTCCGGTAGCACCGCCAGTTGCAAGGGAGGAAACGGTGGGCGTAGCACCAGTTTGAAGTGGGGCTGCCGCATTGACACCGGCAACAATCGCTGCGGGATCGGCTTGAGTACCATCCGACTCAAATAGACTAGGTTCCTTATTCGCGTCTTCAACACCACCGTCAGATTTCTGTGATGATTTCGAACCCCCCTTCTTTTGGTACCACGTGTGTAGCGAACTCCCAATATACTCCACAGCAACAACAACTGGTAGCCAGTCCATGCTGAAATTACGATTGCGGTGAATAGTCTCCGCGAGAATTGTCGATTCAAACATGACGGCTTTTATGGCTTCATTATATGGGTCCTTTTTCGTTTCACTCTTATGTCCAGGCACAAGGAAGTGGTTATATTGGAAATCATCCTCCATTTGCTTGATACTTTTTCGAGCTTGTTTAATAATGGCCACTTTGGTGTCGTGGTCCGCTGGAAGAAAAACGCGTGAGTCGAGTCAATACGTTGGAGTCGAAGTCCAATGCCACTGAGCACTTACCGCTTGGGAATGTTTTCACTGAGTAGTTGTCCGGAAACAAGCATGCAAGCGACAACCGATTTTGGTCTAGAAAGCTCACAAGAAGGTCTTGCTTCCGTTTGATTTCCTCATCGGGCCACAACCACCAGTCTGACAGCTTGTACTTTTTCTTTAGGATCTCGCGGAGTGCATCCACAGCTTGGTGGAACACTTCCACCTGATCTTTCGGCAAGTAAGCTGTAGCAGGTGGACAGTGTGAGATGCACACAAGCACAAATGACTCATGATACGAGCCAGGAAGAACTTACTATAGTCGCTAAGCGCATCGTCATGTTCGCGATTGCTACAAGCCTGTAATTTACAATATACCACGGTGGCGGACATCTTTATCCTCTCTTCGAATGGTCTATCTTCACCGGAGATCCACCAAACCTCCAGCTCGAGTAAGTCGTCGACGGAGGACTCTGAAGCTGTGGAAGCTACTGTGAGGTCGTCCATGTTGGTTTTCGCTTCGATTTATTTTGTGCAGAGAGCAATTAGACTATTGTGGATGCATGCGCAGAAACCAATGACATCAAATTGGACGGAATACAAGAATCAAGAATGCTGGCGTTGGCGGTACCGGTATGATGAATCCCTCTAAATAGGCGCAGCGTGGGAGATTCCACGACATGATGATTATTATTGCACTGTAGCTTTGTGGGTTGGAGGTTGGACGGAAGACAGTCGACGTCGCCTGTGCCACGACCCCCCCTCATTTTCGTACCGTAAAAGTACTAGTACGGTACCTGGTACTGGTACCTGTATCATCCGAGCTCGGAGTCTCGGAGTATTTATTTGCGAACTGGAGCATTCACATTCAAGTCATCCAATTTCGGTCATATCAATCTCTTCTTCTAAGAAAGAATGAGACTTCAAAATGACTTTTTGAAGTAAAGAATTAATTGTAAGCCAAGAAAGTGATCGGCCTTTAAGTTATTGTAGTTTTCTACGGAACGTTCCCGCAGAGAGGTGCACAAGGCTTTCGGTTCGTCAAAGCGCATCTTTTTCTCACCACCCTTCCGTTGGAGCGGGGGAGTGGAGAAAACTTGATTTTGTGGGAGTCCGGCTAGATACTGTTTATAACTGTCGTGGCCACTGTCTTCCAATAATTGTTCTACCGTTGTACCACTACCGGTACTCTCAAAACGACTTTGTTAGACAGTAGCAACTTTCTTGGTCATATGAACATGGTACTAGTAGTCATGGGGTGGATCTGAATTGCTCCACCTCCCCAAAGAGGGGCTAAGTTAGACTGTGAGAGAGTGGACAATGAGTGACGAGTCACTCTGCCGGTACCGTTCGTAGTTCAAGGACATAACATCGACATCTCCACCTAATAAAAAGGGTTTGGGTTCTTACAAGAAAGCGTTTTTGTTCAACCTCCAGTACCGGTTTGTACAGTGCTGTAGTAACCCAGTGTGCCTCGACGGGGGAAGCCTGCGAGGGGCCCAGCGCGCAAAAATAAATTATTCAAGGCACCCACTCCAACCGAACCGTGCTGTCTATTTGGTCATCATTCCATTCCATTACAACCAGTATCGAGAAAGAAGAGACAAGAAATCGAATCTGATAAACTAACTACCGCACCACCAACGAGCTAGCTCTAGCTTGGCAAGCTAGCTAGCACTCTTGTTGTTGTTGTTGTTGTTGTTGCTACACTACTACAATGCGTCTACGACCAGCCTATCCTGTAGCATGTGTTCAATACAACGAGGTCACGCGTCATGCCTTTGAAGACATTCACTGCATTCTGCGACAACAACCGGATCACCCGTTCTACCGACTGACCCGAACGTATCGAGAATGGGAATTTGTATGGCAGCAAGATCCAGAGTCACTACTACTGCAAGAACCGAGTTGGCGCAGTGTCATTTGGACCATCGTCTTGAGTGCGCTGATTGTGAGTGTGGGGAAATATTGGATGCTCGTGCGACGGCCCATTGTGGGAATACGGCCGTTGGTGACTGTCTGGAACATGACTTGGTTTTGTGTGAATTTGATGGGATTCCTGCGGCTGTTGCCACTGGTCGTGCACAATTTGACGCGGTACAGTCTGTCCCAAAATGTCTGTGTCCATGCCGACAGTCTGTGGACCAGTGGCACCACGGGGGTGTGGGCACGTCTGTGGGTGCATTTCAAACTGTGGGAAGTCTTGGTGGAATCGGTATTGGTAGTGCTGCTGAAGCAGCCGTGTGGAATTCTGCAATGGTTCAACAATTATGCCTATGTACTGTTACATGGAAAACATTTATTGGCGTCACGAGTTCCGGGAGGTGGAATTGTCATTTTGACATATTACGGCATTGTGGCCTTTATGAACTTGTACTGCTGTTACATGAACCTCCATCAAATTCCACAACCCAAAAAGTCCACCGCGCTGTTGGACTCGATCTATTTGCTGCAAACACTCAGTGGAGTCGTACTCGCCATTACCACCCTTCATTACTGGAAACAAGCCATGTGGAATCACAAACATTGTCATGCCAACGAGGAACACATTCGTATCATGGCATTCGCATGGACGGGAGGACACGTCCTCATTGGGGCACTGGCACTCATCGACAAACAATGGGCGGCGACCAATCAAGCAGCCATTGAGGCGGAGGCGGCACACCGGAGACGACGACGGAGAAAACAACTCCAAGACGCCAAGAAAAACAATCTACCGGCACCCAAAACCGTCACGTTTGCAGGAGCAGAAGCAGAAGCAGAGCATGAAAACAACAAACAGGATGCCACAAAGAAAAAGACGAAACAGCAGCTTGTCAAAGAAAATGGCAGCAACCACGACAACCACAACAATACACAGCCGAATGGCAATAATAAGGAGAATGTGGAGAATGGCAACCATAGCGATAAAGAGAATGCTGCTGTGAACAACGGACACAATCAGAAAGACGACAAAATCAACGGACTCAAGAACGGAACGAAAAAAGACGACAACAAGACATTCGCCAACGGAACAAACGGAGCGAAAACACCCAAACCGTCTCCCGCTGAAATCCAAAGGAGAATAGCATCCGCGAGTCCACCTTCCTCTCCCTCCAGAAATCGTGTAGTGCGCGCTTCCTCTCCTTCCAGAAACGGTGTGCACGTGGCTTCCTCTCCTTCCTCCATGGCCTCCCACAACGTGTCGTCTTCCATGACCATGATTCATCCTCATCTTGCCGCAATGAAAGGGGAAAAGCTTCCTCCCTCCTCACTCATCCCCGTCCCAGAAGACGGAACCGCCGAAGACTTTGTACGGACGGTCCTTCTCGATGTGTCCGAAAAAGCATCCATGGATTCTTCGTCGTCACTCCTGGGTGGGAATCTCAATGACATTATTTTTGCCCAAGAACAGGAACCCGTCATCATGCAAGGTGGAAAACGAAAGAGAAAGAAAAAAAAGAAAAACAAGAAAAAACGACAAAACGGCGCCAATACTGTTGCGGCCGCGAATAATCATGAGCAACAACCACCAGTGATATCGCATCAACGACGGCGAGACGACAATAGCAGCAGCAATGATAGCACCAGTGCTGGTTCGGGTGAGAGTGGAACTACTGGCAGTTCCTTTGGGAGCGGTTCTGCTGGCAGTTCGTTTGAGAGCAGCAATACGGCCAGTTCTGCTAGCAGCACTAGCTCCACGGATGCGGTCGTAGATGCCGATGGCTGGGCACTCTCTGGCACAGACAAGAAGAAACAACGAAAGCTAGAGAAAAAGCTGAAACGAATTGAAGCACGACTTATACGGCAACTTTTAAACGAACAACAACAACAAGAAGAAGAAGAAAATGAGGAGTACGAAGAAAGGAAACGAGACAAGAACGAAGAGAGGAAAGAAAAGATGGATTAGCCCAATCGATCTGGGGTTCGGGGGCTTTCGTCTTCGCAGCAGATCAACGAGTCGAGTCAATTGAGCAATCACCGCACCACACAAACAACAAACACACGTCCATCGCGTGCCCGTGCGAAAGCGCTCGAGGCTCCAAGCAGAATGGCGCAGCCTGGTCTGTTCGTTCGCTCGGCCTGGGTCGGTTCGCCATCGCCGTCATCTCTTGTCCAAGCAATAGGTTAGGTTCGTACAAAGTAAGTTACAACCATCCATCGATTCATCAATGAATCCACCAAAACGAAAAAGTCGGGTCAGGACATCGCGGCCTGCTTTCAGGAGAGCCACAACACACGTTCATGAAAGTCAACGCTAGACATTCTTTGAGAACGTTCACATGATACCGGTACCGTATATTAGATATCTCGGTTTGATCGGTCCATCCATCATGGCAAATGTCGCCTCAGTAAGCATGAGATTACCTATTTTGGAAACTAGTATGGTTCGATTCCTTCTTAGCACGTTGTTTCCTCTACCGTAGCTAGCTAGCCAGTTATTTTCGTTTGCCGTCAAGTGCAGGATCCACCTCGACGAAGCAACGCGAGGGCGCAGCTCTCTCTCGATTTCGATTCAGGGATCTCGGCTGGAAGAGTCGTCGACATTCTCTCGACACGTCTTTCAGCCATCTCCTTGTTGCTGCAATGATCTTTCTTTCAAGTTATCTGTGAACGGGTATACCGGTAGAAAAACGTTGGGCAGCCGTACCGGTACTGGTGTCGTTGTGATAACTTGCAACCAGGCAAGTGCAGACTACTACGAGCCAGCTCGAACCTGTGGATGGCCTTTTGCTCTCCATTTCCCCGTGATCTCGGATGCGCTGCCTTTGAAACCATACCTGGTGCGCTTCGATCTCGTGTTTGGGTGGACTGATTGATTCGTCCCCTTGGATCCAACGTTTATATCTCCAAATCAGCAACCTCCAAATCAACATCATCTTGCCACTGCAACGCGTCGAGACCTGTGGTTGTTCCCGACTCGTGCAGGGTTGGTAACTCTTCTTCTGTCTTTTCTTCTTCGCTTTCCTTTTGTCGCACTGCCTTTGCACGGCGATATCTATCTGGATTGGGCAGTTCGTTTGCCCGGTTAACGTTGTCCCGAGACGACACTGGGATGGGGATTCCCATGAGAATGAGCCGATAGATATGAAAGGTGGAGCAATCCGGATCGGCTCGTCTCCACTCTTTCACCTTGATTCGTGTGTACACAAACCAATTGAGAAAGCCCTGCAGTGGAAAGAACATCCAAAAGACAATATGCAAGACGTAGATTGCAGGATCCTGGTGCCATTCATAGATGACCTGTGCCCCACTTCGGTCATCTCCCGCGCTTGGTCTCGTTTTTAGCATTCCACCTGTAAATGGCCAGATGAGAGTGTTGGTATACACGAGGCAATAGAGAATGGCTTGGGTGGCCACTTCGTTTGCTTTGCGGTCTCCACTAGTCTTGTTGTGCCTACTGGTGCTGCGTCGGACGGATTGGATGATCGTGCTAATCGTGGAAGGGCTTCGTTCTCGTTGTGTCGTGCCTGTTTCCGTGAGCTCATCGCCACGAAGTCCTTGCACCATGCTGCTGCCTGCCAAGCGACATCTCGTGTTGGTGGGATCATTGTTTCCTGCAGTAGTTGCATTGGTGGTTGTCGATGTGGTAAAGTCGTATGACTTGCTCTTTCGGAATGTTGTGCGGGCCGTCCAATAGACCATGAAGGTACAAGCAAAGCAAATGATGCTAAACATGGTAAAGGGGGCTGCCCCCACGTAGGACCAAACTTGTGGATTGCCCTTGATGGGGCGTTCACAGGATTCTTCGTCCATCATGCAATCCCACGGCGATGCGTTATAACTGACAAAGTTGTTGATTACTTCATTGGTGTTGGTCATGCCGAAAATGGCTCCGGGAACAAAGTCCAGGAGGGGTATCAAGACGGCAACGGCAAAGGCCGTGGTTTCGTATCCCCTCTGCGTAAAGTGTTGCTCCCTCCAGTTGCGCCGAACGACCAACAAGAAGTAAATGCTCAGGTACATGTTCATCATGTTGGCACACATTAGCGCCGCCAAAAAGAAGAACCCCACGGCCGTGGTCGAAGCTCGATTTCCCACTGCCCAAGCGAGTCCTTCTTCTTGGGGTGCGAGAAATGGCATGAACAGAAACGCCAATGTCGTCACCAAGTCGGCCAAACTGAGGCCAAACAGGAGGCGCTGCATAATCTGTGGCTTGCTCTTGTTGGCCCTCCAGGCCATGGACATGATACTCGTCGACCCGAGAATGGACAAACTGCAAGACAGCATGTTGACGAAGATGAGCGGGATGATGTATTGCGGTTCATAGTGCATGTGCTCCTGATAGTACAACTCCATGGCAGCCGTGTCCTCTGCCGTGCTGTTGTGGCTCATTGGCATGGTTTCATTCATTGCAATAAAGAAGACCACAACTCTAGCTAGCTAGCTTGTAGCTGGACGAATATTGTACTGATTACTGATAATATTGGCCTGCTGCTTTCAGTGAAAGGGCCATAATGGCATTGAATCGTTGTTGTAGTAGATCCTTATCTGGTGAGGAGTAAGAGGCAGGACCAGTAAAGTGTAAGTAGAGAACTTCCCTACTCTAGCTGAACCCCCTCATCTAGCAATCCCATCTGTTGTGTCGTTGTACACCACATGTAAAATCCCTCAAAGCCAAGCCCCTTGACCCCGTGTTGGTCCTCAGTTTGTTGCCCGTGATCCAACGGAACCCCTTTTTACGTCTATGCAATAATATTATGTACCGGTAGAGTGTGAATCGAATAAAGTGTGAATAAAGTGTGACTGAGTGTCTTTTATAGTGCACTTGCAATCCCACGCCACGCGGAACACAGACTCGGGACTGCATTCGTGATCCACGCGAAGGCTCACAACCAATTGAAGAAGAAGAAGAAAAATAAATGATGTGGCGCCAAAAATTCCAAAAAATTTGACATCTTTCCGAGCTTGAAGGCGAAAACAACGGAAAGCCATCCAAGCAAGCGAAGCCAAACCAAAGACAAAGATCTCCCTCCATCGCACCAGAATCGAATCATTTCTGTCAACAACACTACTACTAGTGCAGGCTAGCTAGCTAATATTGACGTGACACAAGAGAGAAGAGGAGGCTACATCAGGTCTTGTCTATGCATACTAGCTAGCAATCTTCAGCTTGAGGCGCTAACTATCCGAATCTCTATCGGAAGGCACAACATGTTGAATCTGTCAACTGCCAATGGATGGCTTTCCGGCCTCCTGCTGTTATTGGTGGCCCTAGTCTGGATGGATGTCCCCGTGGGTGGTTTCCTCGCTTCCAGTAGTCGACCACCCTTTTTTCATCATCATCATTGTCCCACGGCTGCCACGAGGAGAACCCTCACGAGAACCACTATTCATGAGACTGAAGACAACGACCAAGTAGTACTCCAGCTGGAACGCAAGGTATCCACCCTCACCAGTCAACTCAAGCGAGAAGAACGTCGAGCCACGGAAAGCCGCAACGAATGGATGTTGGAACGAACGCAACTGGCACACAAAATATCCGTCATGACGACCTTGCTTCAACAAAGGGAAACCAATCCACCACCTTCACCTTCACAACCAGATCATACACAACACCAACAGGCACTGGAACTCCAATTGGCCATGTCGCGCGAACACGAAGAAGATCTCCTCCAAGAACAGGACCGACTTGTGCGAGAAGTCACTATTTTGCAAAATGAAATTGTCAATGTTCGCAACCTTCACAAGACGGAGCAATACGTCTCGCAAGATCTTCACTACCAACTCGACACTCTGACACAAGAGAGAGACGCGGAACGCATGGAATGGCAACGCATGGTCGAAGCCCAAAAACGACACATTGAATCTTTGCAATTGCAAGTGGAATCCATGGCGTATGCACAAACGGTACCACAGGCACAAAAGACGGTACCAGCCACCAAAACTACCAAACGTAAAAAGACAACCAAAACCAAACGTAGAGCCCGCAACGAAACCATGGCAGTGGTAGCCACTTAGTTACTTAATTCAGGAAGAAATGCACCACATTCTGCGTGAGACAACCAAGCTGAAAAAAAAGGGATTCGATTCGAGCCAAACATGAACACAGGAAAAAATACGGGAGAAGAAACTATACAGCAGAGAGAGAGAGAGAACAAAAAAAATCTGAGGGCCACCTTGTGGGGGAAGAAGAAGCAACCAAAACAGAAATACACAGCAGACACGAACATAGATCACTCAATCAATCAAGCAAGCAAGCAAGCAAGCACTCAGGCTACTGCAAACACCTCTTGTAGCAAACATCATGACATGACACCACATCCACGGACAGCGAAACTACTACAACACAAACCCACACTTACTTTTTCAATCCTAATCCGCCAAACACAAATAATACTCTAGCTAGTACCGTAGCTAGCTAGCTAGCCATTGAAATGAACAAGTGCTTTCGGGAACCCGTGAGTCCTAATGCACGTAGCCACGAGGTGTTTAGAATTTGATAGTGCTGTAGTCCAAGCGTTTTCCAGGATGTCTTGTACTCGCTCGTGGCACAGATAGATAGGCGAGGGCGCCCCTCTGATCTCGGGATGAAACTGTTGCTTGTCGCCGCCCTCTAGCTAGCATGCCTTTGGTACCATCATAAGTTGACACAAAAGGGCTCCATGGTTCCTCCTTTACTGCAATGTGGATTGGATCATTCGAATCCACCATTGTCGTGTCAATTTCTCATACTTGTAGGTGTGAGCCTTGGCCAGAATCTTGGGGTACTGTTCCAATAGAAACTCTTCGGTCAGGTTGTCGTAGTGATTAACCCAAGCCACGGGAAGATCATGCAGGGTTCTGAACCAACCATCGTTACGGTTCAAGTGTTCTATTACAGGGAAGGTTCCCATGTGAATGGCCTCCCAATGACGGTAGCAATCCAGGCCTATTCCGGAAGGTGACAAAATGAATTTGGATCGTCTCATTTCTTCCAGGTACATGCCATACCGTTCCCCATAGGTATTCTTCACAGTGCCATTAAAGTTTCGAATCACTGTGGCCAGGACTCCATGTCTCATTTTGCGGGGTTGACTATTGACCATGAGTAGCTGGGGTCTTGTAGTAGTGCTGATGATGGAGTTGTTGCCAAAAAGTGGTCTCAAGGTACTATCACTCTGATTGTGTTTGTTGGGAGGGGGTGATGGATGATGATTGCGTCGCAATTCCCCCAGCAACCGTTTGAGATCAGGGTTCCATGATTTGACTCCCAAAGGGAGAGAATGTGCCTTGGGATGATCCAGCAGATGGAACTGGGTTGTGATGGCTGCCCTAGTATCGGGGTGATCCAGGTATCTTAGAATGTCTTGCTTGGTGCATCCTTTTTTCTGCCATGCCTTTTCCCCCGTGAGCATTGTAGATCCCGGGTGGTCCGTGGTTCTGTTTTCAATAAAAGTTGAAAACTCTCCCCAATTTTCGTTCATGCGAAGAATCAACACGTGAGGATGAGGTGGATTGGTTGGGTTGTCCCGGTGTGTGTTGAAGGCTTTGGCAACCTGGCAAATATCTCTCCACACAATGTACCGACTGGCAGTAAGCTGTGGTTGGAAATCTTCTGGCGTATTCCAAGGGACCACATATAGGTCCTCTCCCAGTTGGTTTTTGAAAGGACCAAAGGGAGTCTTGCTTCTGGCATCCCAATCCAATGCTGTGGATTCATTGATCAGGGCGTTGATGCGCTCCAAGTGAATCTTGTAGAATGTTTCAGCGAGAAGTTCTACACCATCCTCTTGCTGGGTTCCCGTGCGTGCTTGTGTTTCAGCATTGGTAGCTCTCCTTGTAACTCTGCTTCCGCTTTCGCTTGTATTATTGCTGCTTCTGCCACTAATTCGGTATTCTGGCGCTTCCAACTTCCTTGAGGCATTTTGGTGCATCATCCATTGGATCTGGCCCCAGAAATGGTACACATGGTAGGACATTGAGACAGAACAAGCCAGGAGAAACAGAAAACACCCTGTCAAAATTTTCTTGCGGAGACAATCACAACGAGCCAACGCAGTTCTGTTCTTTGCCGATGGCTTTTGCATGGTTGGAAAGCTGTGGCTCGAGTGCAGATGTATGTGCTATTGGCTGTCGTGTACGAATAGTCCACTATCATAGCCACCTGTGCAACAAACAGTGATTCTATAACTGTTCCTCGCAGCTCTCGCCTTCTCTCTTCAGCTTCAGTGATATCAGGAAAGGAAAACTAGCTAGTACCAGTACTATGCCGTATACGGTAGCCACATGCATGAGATGATTGCAACACCTTGCACGGTAGGTATAAGTTACTATGGAATTACACTACTATCGGATAGTACCGGTACCGGTACGAGACCCAAGGATCTGGCAAAGATTGTCAGATTACAGTCGTGCCTGCTCAGCTGGCTCATAATTGAACCCATAACGGATCAATCAAAGAAAACAGTATTATTACTCTTCCGGTACCGGTACTAGCTACTACTAGCTAGCTAGTAGACTACTGGTGCGTTCCGCATGATTAACTTAGGAATTTCAAAGTGCGTTCCGCAACTGCTATCATTTCTGTGGGGTTTTCTAAATGGCCAAAGAATTCTTCAATCGAGAACTGGTGACCACTGCACCAGATTTGCATAACCCAACATGCCGCCAAAGATGCGAGTGTCAGTTTTTGCATACCGTACTAGCTAGTCTACTTGGTGATTGTTTCAGGAACTTGGAGAGGCAGATTAAAACTCTGCATCACTTGGCGCAAACAAAGTCTGGCACAGCCACGTTCGAGGCAGCATCATGTGCTACCGACATGCGATGTCCTTCTTCCGGTTCAAACATATGAATACACATTTCCTTTGACGAGCAGCCAGCAGCAGAACCCAGGTGCTTGCTTAATTGCTGGTGCTGTCCCGCCACCAAACTGCATGTACCGGCACCGGTACCGGTACCGATACCTACACCTGGTGCTCACCTGGCCAAAGCTGGAGCCTGTGGCTAGCCTTTTGGTGTACATGTCGGTGGTGGCTGGCGGCTGGCGGTAGGTACCGGCCCTGGGGCTGCAATGTGGCAAAGACAGCCGCTCTCTGCAACTGGCGCCGTTGACTCCTTCATTCTATTTATGCCCTTCTGTTCTTTATCTACCGAAATTAAATCATTATGCCCTGATTTTGTTTCACGATCAGGATTCTTTGACGGGATGTTAAATCTTCTCATCAACCGACAATTTTCTTGGCATTTGTGAATTAGAGTAAACAGCTGTTGTATACATTGTCTTCACCCTTGATGACTTGAAAGTCACAAGCAAGAGAGAGAAGAAGAGCTTTTCTTGCTCTTCGCTGTTCCTACGTTCCTACTGAAACGTATCAGCGTAACAGCGACTGATGAAATGAGCATGCAACTGGCTACTGGCTACTGGCTAGCTAGTACTCTAGGAAGCTCTGCCTTTCATGACCACCCACCTCCCACAACCCAACTATTATTAGTATCCAACTCGAGCGACCTCCTGTGAAAAACACTTGCTTGTTCTCGAGCTCCATCGATCAATTGCTGAACTTTACGCTAGCCATCCACGCACATTGATATCATTGACAGACAACGATAGATAGACAGATAGCAAGCAGCATAGACAAGATGTCGGGAGTCACGAACATCAAAAACGAAGAAGCGGAGTTGTTGGACGATTCAAGGTTGACAGAGCTGCCTCACGAGCCTCTCTCTCATGGCCGCAACTTATTGCAGTTGGATTGTGGAAGCGGAGAAGACGAGTCGATCGTCAATGGCAGTGAGAACGGCGTCGAAGATGGAAACAGCATGGACGTCGAAGAACCTGACGTGAATTCCGAGACATGCTGGGCATCGGACAATAACAACGACGACGGGAATATCGGCAACGTGCTACTAGACTCCACAGAAGCTCTGCTGGTAGCCAGACAGCACGAACAGCGGCAGGAAGACCACAAGGATCTGGACGAAGAAGACGCCAAAAAAGACGATGATGACGTTGATTTTGATAAGGAACCAAAGGAAACAGCAGAAGAGCTAGAAGACATTGACAGTATCCAGAATGACTCTGTCAGCACTGTGAACAGTGCCGAAGACCGTGAGGCCGCCATTCGAGAAGGATTTTTTGTCTTCTTTTTTGGGTACCTTTCAGACTCTATTGGTTGTGGCGCCTTTGATCAGCTCATGGCTTCACTGATGGCGCTCATGGCACCCATCATGGCCATGGGGACCAAATTGCTAAAAAAAGTTAAAGGAGAGGATGACAATGGACAAGAGGATGCAGTTCAAGAGATCATTGATAATGTGCAAGGCACTGGAGCCAATCCATTCACTTCTGGTGGTGGCGGTGGAGGTGGAGGCGGCCCTCCTCCTGGGGTGGCCGAAATGGCAACAGCCGCATCCCAGGGAGCTGCCAGTGCGGGGGCGGCGGGAACTGCCACTGCGGGAGCAGCTGCTGCTGGAGGTACGTGTGCAAATTGACTTATTGTTTTCCGTAAAAGAGGGGGGGGCATGTTACAACAGAAAACCAATATACTTTTCCAAGCGGGACCGAAACCAAGTGGAGCCCCGCCACTGGATCTGTCACTACAAAACACAGATTACTAACCAAACCAACAAAAGCATAAACTAACATCATCTCTGTATCAAGCTCATCAAGACAAGCACTATTGTGCTTGAAGTAAGTCAATCAGAGCTATATTCAAAAAGTTACATCCCCACAAAGATCCCTCCAAGACAACGCGCATACAGCGAGTGATTGCCATTCCAGAGAATTCCAGTCATTCCACGTATACCCTGGTACTGTTTCTACAGAGGAGTCATTATCCAAAACGCCAATCACCCATCAACAACAAGATCACAAACACCAACAGGAAAATTCGAAGTATCGAGTTGTCTTGTTTCGCCCACCGAGACGCTGTTTGCCACTACAAGAAATAGTCCCCGATCTATCACCTGTCCATAGGAATAGAATAGGAACTGCATCTGCCAGTCGCAACGAGCATACTAGCAGGAATTCCAAGACAAACGATCGAATCGGAAGACAAGGAACTCATTCTGTTTGCTCAGAAGACATCGAGCTGATAATCCTATGCTCAGCCATAGCAAATTACTTTCTGCTCAGTCCATTCTCAACAACCAGAACAACGTCCTCGTCCACTCCCACGCGAAGCCCAGATCCGAGTCGTACACGTACCTCTATCGGCCGATCGATCGAACTGATTGACTGATTCCGATCGAAGTAACCAAGCCTTTCGATTTCCCGTTTGCCAAGCACGAACTCAGTATCTACACTACTCACCACCACAGTGAATCGGTAGAAACTATCTTCCTGCTCCGCAACAAGGATATTCGATCAAACGCCGGCCTCCGATTTGCGCGAACGAGATTTTGAAGCTCTCCCTCATTGAAATCAACCACAATCTGGCAGCAACAACTTCTCTGCAACAACAAGCAACAGCCAACGCGAAAAAGTACACAGCCAACAAGAATCTAGCTATCACTCAGTACAGAAAATCCAAGCCATACCCCTCATTCGAACTCATAGAATTTGGGGCAGGCCCGCACGTCTATACTGCGTCCTCGAATTCTCTAAGACAAATCCACTCGAACCAACCTATCTCCACAACCAGACGGAGTTAGAAGGATCCAAGGATACACACAACAAGCTCTCACCCAGCTCTATCCAACAGGACCATTGAACGCTAGCTAGCACTGACCTCAAGCCCTCCAGCCAACAGGAACCCACCGCGCAAGAACCCTTGCCTACAAGAAATTCCCTTACCCACAAGATATTTCACAAGATGACATCCAAGCAGCAAGCATCCATGGAGGACTATCTCTCTTCCTCCCAAGCCTCACACCGACGGGAAGTTTAGGAGCAAACAAAAAGACAAGAACAAGAAGAAGGCAGCAACCAAGACCAACAAGAAGACATCC